TGGACCATTGAAAGGAGGCCGAAGATGAGGTATACGGATACTAGGATGGCGATAGGCTTTTGCGCATATCTGAACGCAAGCCCCACGACTCCCAAAGCCCAAGACAAAGTGTTGAAAACGGCATCCGGTACTGAGTCGAAGAACCGGTCAAAAAATCCCTTTATTTGCGGCGCCTGTTGTCGTTTTGGTGTCCTAGACCTCTTCATTTCTTCGACCCTCTCCTCATTATCCGCATTGACTTCGGTATCTTCACCCGATGAGTGAGAAGCCTCGCGGGAGCCTGTTAACGTCTGGCGGCCGGGACGGTATGCCTGGCGTTGGCGAAGACCAGGCAACGAGGGCGGAAACTGTCGTATTGTCATGGATGACCGTGTACTGGATCGTCTGCTGTCGACAAGTCTGTTATCGACATCGACCATGGGCATGTAAAACTCCTGCGGTGTTGGTTGGATCCGGTGTCTCATGTTTTCGCGAGACGCGTGCCGGACAGATTGTGGTATTGAAGGCCGGAAGGGAGTTCTCATGATGACCTGGTCATCGTCTTCGGCTCTGTGTAGGAAACTTTCGAGACTCTCGTCCTGTGATCCTCCTATACTGAATGGCTGAGATCCGTCCAGACTGAAGGGCTGGCTCCCGTCTACATGTGAGTGGTCGCTTTGGCTGGATAGGATCATATCGTTGCCATCATAATCGTCGGGCATTAATGAGGTGTCGAAACTGTCATTCTCGCCTCCCTCGACCATGCGCCAAGAACTCGAGACATTGGGCGGCTGCCCTGGTGGTTGACGTCCCGACATGGTTTAGGTAACTACCATGAGTGAGCCCGTAGGGGAAGCTATGATAAGAGTTGCGAAGTTAAAGTTTTATAGAGAGGATGGAGCCGCGATAACATGGAGCGTAAAAGTTCAAGGACGTCGGGATCGGTGGTTGATGTTGGTGGACTTAGGCACCAGTGCTTCTCTTATAGGCTTCAGTCCTGGATTGATTTGATTGTTGACAGCGGGGGAGCTCGGCCAAATCTTAACGGCAACTGATAGCTGGTTCTTTGTTTACCGTGAAGTCGATCCCAGGCTTCAAGTCGTTGAAAAGCAAGGTGCGCACAGACTAATACCGTGTATTTGAGTCACGACAAGGTACCGATACACGGGTATAAGTGGTGAAAACGGAAGTATCAAATGTGTTCCGCGGGTACAGGATGTATAAAAGAATGGGAGAGCCGGGTATGTTCTTTGATAATCCAACAATAGCTTTGAGATATGAGGCTGAGTGAGATGTCGTTAAACCAAGCAACTGGAATGCGACGGAAATGGACTAGGTAAGGTTAAACTGTACATGTAGGGTAGGCGGAGGGAGAGAAGGGAGGGAGGGAGGAGGAGGCAACGTGGGAAGGCAAAGTTAAGGTGGTGTGAGGTACCGATGCACGCTGCTACAGTGCCCGTATGTGCCGCAGCGCATATCCTGTCACAGGACGGGATGATGCTAAGAAAGAGTTCTGGTGACCTTTCTTTGTATCGTCGACCTCGGTCGGTCACAGAGACCAGCAGGACGGTGACTCGGTGAACTTGGAGTTTGGTGAGTGACGTCGAGAAGAATCACGACCAGCACCGTCGTGTGAACGTATCTCACCAAGTCACCTTGCCCCGCCCGGCAGACAGGTGCCCGCTGTGTTGACGGCAAACGGCCCCGAGCGGGGGTGGAGGCCTGGCCAGTGGTGTCCACACTGGAAGCTCCCACCCAGGCGGGGGCCCCCTTGCAGCGGCAGGGGCATATGGGACGACGGGAGCCTATCGCTATCGCCAAGACACTGGCTCTCGGACCTCGAAGCGCGACAAAGAAGCCGCCGAGCTTCGATCCTGTCTGGAAAAGTTTCCCGTTTCCTGTCTGTGATCATACCCAACACCTCAACGACAACCGCACAACCGGACAGTGTGGAGAGGCGACGGGAGGATGCTCTCTCAACGGCTTACAAGATGGACTTCTCGGGCCCTTTTAACCCGCGTTAGGGTACCGCTCACTCGCCCTGCCATCTCTCAAGTCCAGGTGCGCCATCGGCTGTGCTCCTCTTGCGCCAGCGCGAACCCCGTCCCCGCGAAGCCAGCCGCGCCCGATCATCGCGATCTCGGAACACAGCAGGAGCTCTTTATGACATCGATCTACAGCCCTGGATCGCCTATCTTCCTGCCCAATGGCGCCCGCATCTTCAACCGTCTTGTCGAATACCTCCGCAAGCAATACGTTCACTATGGCTTCCAGGAAGTCATTACCCCGACCATCTACAAGAAGGCGCTCTGGGCCAAGTCGGGCCATCTCGAGAACTACGCCGACGACATGTTCACCGTCACGAGCACATCCCCCTCGCGCGCCGATGTTACCGAGGCCGGCGAGGTCGACGAATACGGACTTAAGCCCATGAACTGCCCCGGCCACTGCCTGATTTTCGCGGCGCAAAAACGAAGCTATCGCGACCTCCCCATTCGCTACGCCGACTTTAGCCCCCTCCACCGTAACGAGATCTCTGGCGCATTGAGCGGCCTTACCCGTGTTCGCAGATTCCACCAGGACGACGGTCATATATTCTGCCGGCCGAACCAGATTGAGGACGAAATCAGCAAAACCCTCGAGTTCATCCGACGCGTATACAAGGACTTCCGCCTGGGGTCATATCGTTTGAAGCTTTCCACGAGGCCAGAAAACCATATCGGCAGCCTGGAGGATTGGGAGCATGCGGAAGGCTCCCTCAAGCGAGCGTTGGATAATTCGGGAGAGCCATGGACCTTGAACGAGGGAGATGGTGCCTTTTACGGGCCCAAGATCGACGTAATCCTCAAGGACTCGGACGGAAAGGAACATCAGACGGCCACAATCCAGCTCGACTTTCAGCTGCCCAAGCGGTTTGAGCTCGAGTATCAGGCGCCAGCTCCCGAACTGGAGGCCAAGGGCGAGACGACTACGGAACCCGAGCTTCTTGCTGTCTCCGGACCCGTGAGACCTGTAATGATCCACCGGGCTGTTCTAGGCTCGGCGGAGCGCATGTTCGCTTTGCTGATTGAGCACTATAATGGCAAGTGGCCATTCTGGCTGAACCCTAGACAGGGCATTGTCCTCACAGTAAACGACAGTGAGCCGGTGTTGCAGTTCGCGCGCAAGACGCAAAAGGTACTGCTGGGTACAGACTCTGCAGATGTTCACGTATCTCCATCGGGCCTTGCTGTCGACCTCGATGATAGTGCGCGCAGTCTGTCGCTCAAGATTCGCGAGGCCAAGACCAAGGGTTATGGCATGATCATCGTGGTTGGCCCCAAAGATATTGCCAATGGCACTGTCACGGTTGATGCTACCGGAGGTCTTCAGACAGGCGACAAGCCGGCGCAGAAGAACCTTGTTATGTCGCCCGAGGAGCTGCTGCAATTCATGAAGACCAAGGTAGATGCATACGAATGAACGATATCCTGCCGTTCTGCGTAAGCTCACACTTTGTCTCCCCGTCGCACGAGGTTTCTCACTTTGTCTTTTGGTGTTGCCAGTCATGCGATCCGTCCAATCCCCAAATTGTGACTTGCTTGTTTGCTTTGTAGTGGTGAGACAAGGCTGATCACAGCACGTTGAGCAAGTGCCGGCGATGACGCAGTGCCGCTGCTGCATGGGATGAAAGTAAAGTGGGGCCACCATTCCAGCGCGCGATCGTCATCTCCCCTGTCGTGGGGCCACTTCCAGAGCTTCGGTTGACAGATCGCCGGGCACCTTCCAGTTCATCAGCACTCGAATCAGCGCCACGGAAGTTGGAACAGCCCTGAGCCCCTCCCCCACCGGCACCGACGGGAGCTCTCCACCGCTACCACCATTCCCGTTCCATCCCCTATCCCATCATATGCTGAGACGCGGGCTACAACTTTTAGCAAAACATCGTCCCAGTCGATTCCCTATAACCCGACAGATCATACCAGCCATGGATCCTACCGCTCCTGAACCCGAGAACCCACCGGCTTACATCGCCGCAGCCCGCCGGCATGGGATACCGCTTCGCCAGAGTGCCCCCATCAGACGGGGCCCTATGCCCCTTCAGCTTCCCATCCTTGAGCATCTACGAACCAAGAGGGTGATTCTGGCGTCGGCATCGCCCCGGCGGAAAGCGCTCCTCAACCAGGTAAGTCATCATCCTCACGCCACGGTCCAGTCGGGTCTAACAAATTCATCAAACAGCTTGGCCTGAACGACGTCGAAATTTTCCCATCAGACAAGCCCGAAGACGTCGAAAAGGCCAAGATTACTCCCGAAGAATATGTCGCCGAGACCGCCCGCCGCAAGATCCTGCACGTATACGAGCAGGCCCTCATGCAGCAAGAAGAGGACGAAAAGAACAAGAACGTAGAGAAGCCCGACGATCCAGCCCTCGTTATCTCCGCCGACACCATCATCGCTACACGCTCCGGTCGGATTCTCGAGAAGCCGCGCGACGAGCAGGACCATATCCGCATGCTAAAGCACCTTCGTGACACGCGCATACATCGTGTGTTGACGGCTGTATGCGTGCTCGCCCCCAAGGACAACGCAGCCCACCCCGGGTATGAGCTGGAGACTCACGTGGAGGCCACCGAGGTCTACTTTGCGCAGGCCAGGGACGGACTGCCCGATGACGTAATTGAGGCCTACGTCAAGACGCGCGAGGGTGCGGATAAGGCTGGCGGTTATGCAATCCAGGGTGTCGCAGGGATGGTGCTGGTTGACAAGATTGAGGGCAGCGTGGACAATGTTATTGGGTTGCCGGTTAGAAAAACCTTGCAGTTGGCCGAGAAGGTGATCTTCAAGCAGGGTATGGAGGAGGACGATATTGGCAGCGATGAGGAGGACGAGGAGGACGAGGAGCAGTATCATGACTGAGAGGAGGCACCGTCTGGTTAAACTCCATCGATGTCAGCACAGGGACAGGAGCCCTTTCGACGGTAGCTTTCCTAACTAATGGACCGGGGATGATGGAACAAAGGGCCAGGCGCCCATGCAGAGCCTAGAACGTCAACAAACGATAGACAAAATAATTATGGCAGAGAAATGCCCTTTTAGCAAGAAGTCGGCAAAGTGAAGGTCAGTTTCATGGCGTCTGCTGGCTAATACATGAAATCACAAATCTACAACCTTGAGCCCCTCTCCTTCTCAAGATACCCCTTAATACCTTCAACCACACCCTCCGCCACACCCCAAGACAACTCATACCCTCTCCCACCCAACCCATACGCATGCATCACGAACCCAGCCCCATCCACCGCCTCCCCCTCCAGCCTCAGTCCCCCCTTCCTCGTCGGCCTCCTCCCCACGATATCCCTCACCGGCGTCAACCGCGTCTTCCCCTCCGCCAATATCTTCGGATACGTCCCCTCAAACGCCCTCAACAACCTCTCTCTCACCTTCAGATCCGGCTTCGGATCCCAATTGTCCGGCTCCTTCGTCCCGCCAATAATTGTGCCGGATAACCCCCTCGGCACACAGAACGTCCAGCTCCCATCCGCATTCTGTCTCGTCACCGTCGCATCGCACGGCTCTTGCACCAAACACGTCTGGCCCCTGGTGGGGAAAACCAGCTCATCATCGCCCAAACCGATGCCGGTGGCGTTCACAACCGCGTCCGCTTGGGGGATTGTGGCTCCGAATTCTTGGACGGAGTCTGAGAAGAGCTGGAATACTTCCCCAACGGAACGCACTTCCCGCTTGAACACTTTTCCTCCGCGCGCGATGATCTGCCCCAAAAGGAACAAGCAGTATTGCATCGGGTTGACGCACCAGGTGTCGTACTCACATCCCCATTTTACTTTCTCGTCGGGAAACTCGTGAGACTCCAGAACGCGGAAGGGTCCCGGCAGGCCTAGCTCTTGTGACGCGGCCCGTTGGGGGGTGAGGGAGGTGTATTCCGGTCCGGGGGACTCGAGGTATTCGATTCCGCGGAGGAAGGTGATGCCTGCTTGTTGATCTTGGCCTTGGCCCTGGAGGAGTTTCAGGCGGTGGAAGGTGGATAAAGACAAAGCGTGTTCGCGGGCGCGGAGGGCGTGTTCGGCTTGTTGGGTTGGAGTCAAAGGGGGTGAGGAGGAGGAAGAGGGGGAAGGGGAAGGGAAGGGGGGCACCCAGCGGTTGTGGGCGCCGCCCCAGGGGGAGGTGAAGTTGATTTGGGCACGGGGGTCGATGGACTCGAACGGGGCGGGAAGGTCTTTGGCGAGGATGGTGGTGGTGTAGTTGGCTTCGAGGAGGGCAAGGGCGGAGGAGAGGCCGATTACGCCGGCGCTGTGTGGTCATGTTAGATAATTTGAGACATTGAAATTGTTAGTTGCTATGTCTGGCCGAATACTAACCCGATAACAACGACGTGTCCCTTGGATTTGGACATGTTGATGCTGTTGGTTTCTTGTGGATTCGTGGTGTAGTACACTGCTGATTTTCTGTGAACGAAACTCCTAATGAGGGGCGACGAGGTTCGAGTGGAAGAAGGTCTGAGGAAGAGTGTCGTGGTGGTTGGAAACCTCAAATGCATCAGTTGCCTGACTGATTCACACGACGCGATGCTTGAATCTTGTGTAAGTCGAAAAGGTCTTGTCAATATCTCAATCGCAAGACCTCATAGGTCCTTATATACTATTCAGTTTCGTTGATATCAACACAAGGCTCCGTCTTCGCAATCCTCGGCGGCGCTGGTCAACGGGGTCGCACAAGGCACGATAACCCACACACATACATGCAGGGCACAATCAGAATCAGGCACACGATTGCCAAGAGGAGTTAAGAAACCATGGAAAAGGCTTTAGGCGGACTCGGAAAGCATTCCTGAAACGGAAGAAATGCGGCGCGGCCAGCACCCGGCTTTAGTGTAATGGGTCTGAAGGATAGTGTGCTGCTGGTGGTGAGTGGTTGCAGCCTGACGGAGAAAGTCCCGTCTGAGAGCGCGGGGGAGAGCGGGGAGAGCGGGGATGGGTGGTTGCCCGGTTCCGGCTCGGAGACCGCCCGTAATTCCCCACTTTGGACCCGAGCTCCACCCGGGTACTGCCGGCTGCCCGGAAGTTGACCCCGGAGGTGACCGGGGTTGGTTTGGCATATCTTGAGCTCGCAATAAACAAAAGTCTGGAGGATGGCAGCTTAATCCCTGTTTTCCGGAATGGCAAGACAGGATGACACAATACTTCAGCATTGTACGTCGTCTCGGACACTCAGGCGTCCGTCTGCAACTATAGTAGTGAAACGACGGCTAACCGTAGTAACACGTTTCGTAACGAAGAGGTTCTGTTGTTCTTTTCCTCTTTGCTCTAAAACCGTTGCAAACTCTGATTTCTCTCTTCACCAAATCTCCTCTCACGTGCAAACCTTCAAACGGTTCGCGTCGGGCATCCACCACATACAATCTAGTGCTGGTTTGTTTGTTAGCTTGGTACCTACGTACTCCTAATATACTGGACGAGATCTCTTCCGAATTGTCCTAAACCTTTTAAGGACTAAATGAAAGGCATCAATAAGATTCAATACGGTATATTTTATTTTGGAAAAGGCATACTCACAGCATGAAAACGCCTAGGGAAGTTGACCCGAGGTCTCGAGCTAACAAACAAACCAGTATTGGACTGTAGAAAACATCACCTCTGTCAGCAACGCCCATCAGCAGCCACCAAGCAGCAAGCAGTCCCAAGCAAACAGCCAACAACACCACTTTGAGCCCAACAGAGAGTAACATATTTTTGGAATGTCGCACCGAAGATCTTGCATCCATGTAAGTGTCAAGTCCTGTCTTAAGACCGTACACCATGCCATGCCATGCCATGCTGAGTGGATCTGTGTTCGAGAATCACCAAACGAGGCCGCGGAGATAAAGAATGGATGGCCAAGATATGTATAGAAGCATGTTCTTCTTCTTCTTCTTCTTCTTCTTCTTCTTCTTCTTCTTCTTCTTCTTCTTCTTCTTCCCCGGTGAAATGGCTTTTAAGCCATCGATGCAAACAAATAGGTCTGTAACAACAGTAACCGCAACCCATGAAGAAGTTGTGCCTGATGCCCACGCACGGCATCGCGAGACTAAATGTAACGATATCCGGGAGTCTCCCGTGCCGGTACCATAATAGAAACGTCGAGCTTGCCGCACTGACTTTTGCGGAGGAAGAGAGGGCGTGGAGATATGTATGTGGAAGGAAAAGAAGCATTAACAACCGGTCCTAGCTTGTAAGCGATGTTCGTTCCTGGTATAGAGCGACGCATCTTGTCTATCTCCGTGCATCTCCGTATCGGTGATGGACAACCATATCCAGGCCGGGAATTGATCAAGCCGCGCACGGAGCTCGTAGTATACAGACACCTGGGAATAGTTTTCGAGCTATCTATATCAGAATCAGGGAAACATAGTCGAAGGTTTGGAGGAGGTCCGTCTCAGCTTTGAATTCAACCCAGGCAGAAAAAAATAATGATGGGGTTCCCTGTGAGGAATATCGGCTTATCGAGCTCACAGCCGATATGTAAACGCTCATTATCCCACGAAACAAATATTCCTTGATGCGTACAACGCCGTTCGGAAATGAAGACGTCTTTATAGCCGTACCCATTCGACAGTGACAACGGGGTGATTCCGTTCCTGGCGGCAAAGGCGGCCACCTGAGGCGACCTTGTCGACGCGGCGGCCGTTCCTGATAACCACCACCCTTTAGTATATCAGTTATAGGTAGCACGAGGAGCAAGATTGCGCTTCGACGACCCTATCGGCAGCAGATAAGCCCTGATCGCAATCAGACAGCCGCCACATGGTGTCGGCGATAGCTGCTGAATGGCGCTGAGGAGCTCTTGTGGCGGAGATAGTGAAATTTGACTTTCTTGAACAGCAACCCGAGTGACATCGCGATCTGTTGGGATTACATACCCTCTCGGGACGGGACCAAGTGGTATGATATGTTGACACACTTGCATCCGCTGTCAGGGCCCGGACCTGGTCTTCATTATCTTCATCATCTAAACTGTAGATGAAGACACCCTCAGTATCTGCCGCATCTTCAAAGCATGACACTATCACAGCAATCAATGACTGCCAGATGTAGTAAATGCCAAGACTGCCAAATCCAAAGACTCATTCATAATGACGGGAGGGAATGCAACTGCGTGCACGCAAGAGCGGGAGTGAAGAAAGGCCCAAACTTTCTTGACGGCATCGAAGAAGGCTGCCGAGATGGAAACGACTTCCGCCAGCCAGAGGACAATACAATTCGTCTTGTGAGATGTGAGAAACAATGTGCTAGGATGAACGACTCCATGATGTGTGGTATCGCTCCAGCGCTGCTCGATGCGACTTTGACAAAGGGCGTCTAGATGCAGCGTGATCCGGCCGCTGATTGGCCACTCATCCCCAAGTCCGTCTCATCGGAGCCAGGGGTCCAAGAGGGTCTCACCATCCCAGGCACTTCCCAGAACGGGTCAGAACCGACCCTAGCAGCTATTTTGGGCGGCTATTCCTTCTGCATCTCTATCGTCTTTTTCACCTACTTTCCCGCCGTACAGCTGCTTCCGACCACTCACAGCTCTCCTTCTGTATCTGCCCACCCAACGAAGTGGAAGTTCAACAACCACTCCCGCCACCAGTCTCTTCTCAGTCCACGGTGCCCCGTCCATGTCCCCCTCGTTGCCCACAATGAAGCCGGGAACCAAGCGCTTAGAAAACATGGCGATTGGAAGGATCTCACGCAGATTAACCTGCACTCGGAAAGGATGGGGCCAGCCAGGGCGCACCACACAGCAATGGAGGGCTGCACCTCCACGGCGCTGCTCTTCTTCCTCCACTCTGATCAGATCAGTAACTTTTTTCTTGGGTAGCATCGGTCTTTATGCCAGCCTATGAGCCCTGGTTCGTTCGTTAGTTTTGGTTTTTGCCCGGGCGTAAGAAAGTTGGGAGCGAGAAGCGGGAAGGGCACTGTGTAAGGCGTATGAATGCGGACACCCACGGCAGGGCAAGACCACATGGTCAAACAAATATGTATCGAGGGGGCCCAGTCCTCCTGTGCCCGGTGACAAGATCTTCTCGTCTTGTTCCGACGGATTGGTTCTTCTATCGACCTTATTCCCGCCTCGACGGTCCTGTCCCCCCTGGTTGTCCTCGCTGCTCTCTGCTCCCGGGAGCCGTTGATGCCATCGTCCGGTTGTCTGTTGACAGATCCGTGGGGTTAAGTTCTTCTTTTTATTTGATCTGTGATCATGTCTCGGTAGCAGGTCGACTGCCATTTTCTTGTGATACCCCTATTGACCTTTCGTTGGTCGGTCATCGAGTTCAACGAAGACGAGGAGGAAAGAAGATCGACGACTCCTACGAATAACGACCATTACGCCGGGAATAACTTCGTTGGATCATTCGTACCATATTATCAGATATGTCGACAGCAACAACAACTCAGGCGGGAGGAGGGTTCTCCCTCTTCCCCAATACCAACGTCACCCCAAGACCACCTTCAAGACCGTCGAGAGCTGCAACACCTCAAGGTCGACCTTCGACATCAACAGAACCATCATCGTTCCGGGAGGCAGGAAGGCAATCGCCAATTGGACGGGGAATACCACGGGAAGGGAAGCAAAGGTCGGCTTCGAACTTCAACAACCACTCCAACAACCCTTGGCAGTCAGCGCTAGACTCGGCTCGACAGCAGCGGGAACATCGAGAGCAACCTCAGGAGCAACCACAGCGACAACCACCAGTTGAGAGCATGCCATCGGATCCAATAGTCGAAACTAGTGTTGCTGCGCCCATCTCCGAAGCAGACGCGCCTCCACGATGCGAAACAACTCTGTCCGAGGCAGAGACGCTTGTCGGACAGCAGAGTAGGGGGACCCAACCACCGATTTCATATGCTCCTGGACCTTCGAACGCAGCAGCGGTAGCAGCAGTTCCTACCGCCATTCCCGAACCACCACAACCACCACAGCCAGCTGCCATCCGGTCGATATTCCCACGATATAACCCCGAACTACCCCTAGATCGCCAGGACTACTACCCAACCCAGGCCAGCCCTACACACATTCCCCAGTCCGCCATCAGCAGACCCATGTACTCAGCCCGAGACACCGATCGGCAAAGTGAAGCTGGCACCAATGCTGGTACGAATGGTCTCACTAATCCCAGAAGCCGGCCGGTAGCCAACCCGTCCGTGACCTCTGGATCAGCCAACCAAAGATGGCCGGTAACGCGCAGCCACGAGCCGCCAGTAATCCCAACGGTCAACACCACCGAGGAGCTCCGCGGCCTTTGGAAAGCCGCCAACGGGTGGCGAGCCACGCAGCTCGAAGGGCGGAAATACTGCCTAAAATTGGCATCGGACGCCTACGCGCCCGTCTACACGCTCTCCTCCTCGTCCAACCAGCCCTTCTACTGCCTGCGTGTCGACCCGACCTCAGCCTCCGCCCTGGTCTCGCTCTCGCGCTACGACCCCAACAAGACCTTCAAGGGCGACAAGTCCACCAGTGCGGCGGTGGGAATCTCCGCCGCCTCGGCCGTGGCTTCGTCCGCCTCCTCCACCTCTTCGACCTCCTCCTCACCTATCCCGGGAGCACGCGCCTCATCCAGCACGCCCTCCCCCCGCCCTTCATCCGTCTTCTCCCGCAACACCGACGGCTCCGGCGGGGCCTTGGGCGGCGCCAGCAGCAAGAGCACCAAAACCAAGAAGCACGACGCCAAGCACTGGCAAGAAGTGATTTCCACCACTCTCGAGGCGGCCACGCGCAAGCAACCGCCCAACGACGGGCTCGTCGCTCAACTCTGGCCCAACAAAGCCGCGCGCCTAGCCTCCGACCGGGCCACGACCGACGCGGCGACGGTAGCGGCCGCGGAAAACGAGTGCGGCCGGCTGGTGTGGGACTCAGATTCGGGCAACCACTACCTGGTGCACCCGTCGCTGGCGATGCCGTTCTGCATCACGGTCGAGCGCAACGCGGCTTATAGTCGGACCGAGTACACGCTCGAGCACATCGAGTCGCCGAACCACCTGGGCCGGCTGACGCGGGATGGCACCGGTCAGGGATGGCTGGAGATTGACACGGCGATTGCGAGCCATGTTGAGGCGGTGTACCTGGTTGATGTGGCCATTGCTGCGCTGGTGCTGGTGGCGCATGCTGATGAGCAGTTTACGCGCGTGGAGACGTTTGAGCCGCCGCCGGCGTTGTTAAAGGGCGCTGGTGGTGCCGGTGTTGGGGGAAGCCAGAGGTCGAGCTTGGCGGAGTCGTTGTCGTCTGCGCTGAGGAGAAATACAGACGAAAAAAATGGTGGTAAGGAGGATAAGAAGAAGAGGAAGAAGAAGGAGAAGGATTTGGTTAATGGGATCAAAACCCGGGTCGAGCAGTTTGAGCTCGATATCGAGGCGCAGGTGAATGCGGATATGAAGGCCAAGAACGAGAAGATGCCTGGGTGCACGAGGGGGCTTATTGCCGTCTTGAAGTTTGCTTTCAAGGCTATTATCTGGTGTGCGACGTTGGTGTTCAAGGTGTTTATGCTGTTGATAAAAGGATGCGGTAAGTGCAGAATCTCCCGAAGAAATGCCCCTTGCGATGATGAGAGAGAAGTTTGACTAACGAGATTTGCGATGATTTAGGAAAGGGAGCACGCTAGAATTGAATCCCGGTTTAGGGAAGGATAAAAGTAATCCAAGTAACTTGGCAATACCCCAAGAAGGAAACAGTGAACTGGCGGCTGGAGATCCCAGGAAAAAATCATGTTGATGGATATCATGAAAAGGTGTATATTTTTTTCAGGCGTTTGATGATGGGCGGGTATTATTGTGGTTGGTATTTTGCATCATCATCATCAACCGTTGCAACAGCAGTAGCTATGGAAGCTACCTAGCTGTCCTTTTTAGACGGATTTGAATAAAACCCTGAGATGGGACTATTTGTGGTGATGTCGTCAAATCGCTCCTCGAGAAAAATGAACCTAGTGAAAAATGGAACAAGAGAAAAACAACCCAACGGCACGGAACGGAACAGAGAGAGAGAAAAGGAGACGAACGAGAACGGGCAATCTTCCACCCGGGCCCGTTACCTCTTTCTCTCCTTGACCTTGATCCTCCTGCCGGATTTTGTGATGCCGCCAGACGTCCGTGTCTTGGCCATCTTGGCCTGTGTGATCTCCAGCTCCTGCTCGGCATCCGTTAGAGCCTTGAGCTTCTTCTTGGCCTGCTTGAGCCTGTTCTGCAGTCTCGCCAGGTTTCGCGCTTTCCGATCCTGCACCTTTGCCTTTTTCTCGTCCTCTTCCGAATCAAAATCTTGCATCTCTTGGTCGTCCGCTTCTTGTAGTTTTTGCTCGCGCTCCTCGGCCGCGTCGAAGAAGACAATCTTCTTGGGTACTGTCCTCCCGCTCGAGCTCTTCTTCTTGTTCTTGCTCCCACCCATGTCTTCGTCGAAGTCCTCAAAATCGTCCTCGTCGTCGTCGCTATCGTCGTCCAGGTCGGCGCCACCAGCGAGAATGACCCTCTCCATCAGCTCCCGCACCTCCTTGGCAGCCACGTTTCGCATCGTCCGCAGGTATCCCAGGTCCTGTGTCTTGAGCAGGCGCACCGTCTCCACGTCCATGGCCTTGTTGCCGCGATCGCCCTCGACCGTGCCGGTAAAGTTCCTCTTCTTGCCGTCGTGGGTGATGGCGGAGCCCGGTCCCTTGCGGGACATCATGCCGAAGTAGAATTCATCCTCGTTCTTCTCGGCGACCTTCTGGCGCAGAGACTTGAGCACCTCCTGCTTCTTCTTGTAGTCCTTGGCACGCTTTTGGTAGTCCTTCTTCTTTTCGAGGAGACCGAGACGTTGGCGCTCGAGGGGCTGGGCGCGCTCCTTATGGGAGCGGCGCTGGACGCTGCAATTGGAAACATCCAAGTATTAGTTTTTGTTTGAGTGGTTCATAGGGAGAGCACCGTCGGCTTACCTGTTTCGTAGCGACGACATGATTTTTGTCCGTCTGTATTAGGGAGAGACGTGAGATATGATCCGGGAGAGAGGCCAGCAAAGGGAGATGGAATCAATCGAAGGAAGCAATGAAGGCGGCTGGAAAGTGACCTCGCTTGCCGCTGAACAGCGTCTTCCACGCGCGGCTGGCTCCAAAATTTTGGAGGAGCCTGGACGTGCGATAAGCGATAAGAAAGTCACCCCGCTGACCGCCTAGGAAAGGGCCTGCAGGAGAGTGGGCCATGGTAGGCTTGGCGACGGGAAGGTTCCGGGCCTTCCAATCACGATTTCAGATCCACTGATCGGGCAGTGCAGGACGCAGGTGCTGTTTCACACAGTTGGGACTCGGGACTGCGACTTCGGAATTGACTTCACTCCGTCCTTCTGAAGAGTCTTTTTCAATGTTGACAACTCACTTTCCCTGTTGATAACCGGGGTGATCAACAACATGCAGAGATCACGATATCTGTTGCTGGAGTTCTCATCAGGTCTTTCACGCAGGACCTCACCGGCAGCCTGTGCCGATTCTGAACGCCATGCCCACTGTGCATGCTATGCCTTTCTCGGGCATCTGGAGATGACGTCTGCCTTTGCAAAGCCCACTTTCTTCTGAAATTCCCGGAGGCTTCGGTTCCAAGTTCGACTATAGTCCCTGAAGTCACGCGAGCCTCGATAGCGTCCTCGATGACGATCGGCAAGTGCCGAACGAGCAAAATATCTCGCGGGAAAGGGGCTGAGGTCCGTCTAACAACTGAAGACTCTTGATGATGTCTCAGGGCGTCACTGAGAGGAGCCCCCCAAGGTTCTGGGCATGCATAGTTGGACTGTAATTTGTCTTCGAGCTCCGCCAACGCGCGGCCGGCATGATGGAAGCAGGTTTGACCCAGCTTCATGTCCAGCGGTGGACATGGACAGCTTGCGTGGTTTAGTCTTTTCTTTTGTCTTCTTCGCCGGTGGGTTTGCATCTTGTCTTTTCCTTCTCTCCTTGAGTTATCTTAGCATATCGAGAGTTGGCTCAGCAATGCGCCAACCTCTTCATCAAAACCATGACCCCTTTAAAGGCAAGCGGTCGTAGACTCCAACGTCTACTTCTCCTAGTTGTTTTCTTCCTCGTCTTTGGTTACCTCTCGTATCCCTCATTATCTCGGTCTCAGGGGTGGCAGGAAGCAGAAACATACGAAGAATATGTACAAACAAGTTTCGACTGGGCAAGTCGGCCCATGAAGAACCCGATACCCGAATCCTCACTTATACAGCTTCCCGAAGGCCCTCCCCGTGAGCTTCCGCGTATACAACATGCTTTCACCAAGGACGAACTTGACAAGGCGCATAACGAGACACAATTTCAGCGAAGGGATGCCGTCAGGAAGGCCGCTCAGAAATCATGGAAGTCTTACCGAGCCTATGCCTGGCGACGTGACGAGCTCGCTCCGCAGTCATTGATCGGGAAGGATAGCTTTGCCGGATGGGGTGCTACCTTGGTGGACTCACTCGACACTCTCTGGATCATGGGTTTGAGGGAGGAATTTGATGAAGCGGTGCGCGCGGTGGGAGCTATCGACTGGAATAAGGCATCGTCTTCGGACTGCAGCTTGTTCGAGACGAACATCAGATATCTCGGCGGCCTGCTCTCAGCCTACGACTTGAGTGGCCAGGAGATCCTCCTGAAGAAAGCGGTAGAGCTAGGCGACATGCTCTTCGCAGGCTTCGACACTCCCAACCACCTACCTGCTAACTCCTATAACTTCAAGAAGGCCAAGAGTGGCGAGCTGAAAGCCTCCTCGCGCCAATCCCTCGCGGTCCTCGGCTCCATGTCCTTGGAATTCACCCGTCTCTCCCAGTTAACCGGCGACCCCAAGTACTACACCGTCGTTGAGCAACTGAAAAGAGGGCTTGAAAAGACCCAAGACCAAACAAACCTCCCCGGTCTGTGGCCGAAGTACATCGACCTCATAGAAGGAACCCGCCCCAGCTCCGACACCCTCTTCACCCTCGGCGCCCAAGCCGATTCCGCCTACGAATACCTCTCCAAGACCTACCTCCTCCTCGGCGGCCTCGACCCTTCTTACGAAACGATGCACATCAAAGCCATGGACGCCGCCGCCAAGCACCTCCTATTCCGCCCCATGCTCCCGTCCGGCGACGACGACACCTATGCCGGGTCTCCTCCTCCAGACATCCTGTTCTCCGGTAACGCCGTATCCACTCAGCGCGATAAATCCGAACTCCAGCCGCGCGTCCAACACCTCGGTTGTTTCGCCGGCGGAATGTTTGCATTGGGCGGGAAGCTCTTCGACAGGCCGGACCACGTGCAAATCGGCGAGCAACTAGCCCGGGGCTGCGCGTGGGCGTACGAAGCCTTTTCCACTGGCATCATGCCCGAAGTTTCCGAGCTTGTTCCGTGTGAGAAGAAGGCAGACAAGGACAGTGATAGTAGACTCGCCCAATGCCCCTGGAACGAAACAAAATACCGACTCAAGAAAAAGAAAGCCGCCGCCTTATCCAGAACCTCCTCTTACACAGACAACACCAACCCCAACCCCAACTCCCGGGCTTCCCAACCCAATGATCACAAAACCCCCCTCCTCCCCAAACCCTTCACCAAAATCTCCAACCCGCGCTACCTCCTCCGCCCCGAAGCAATCGAATCCCTCTTCATCCTCTACCGAATAACCGGCAAAAAGGACCTGTTAGACATCGCCTGGCGCATGTTTTCAGCTATCACCAAAGCGACCGAGACCAAGTCTGCGTTTTCCGCCATCGAGGACGTGCACACGGCAAATTCGGGACAGCCGACCATCAAGATGGACTCGATGGAGAGCTTTTGGATGGCGGAGACGTTGAAGTATTTTTATTTGATTTTTAGTCCTGAGGATGGGGCTGCTGCGGATGGGAACCAGGGGGAGGAAGGGATGGGGGAGGGGATGATGGGAGAAGGGGTGAGTTTGGATGGGTGGGTGTTTAATACTGAGGCTCATCCTTTTAGGGTACCGAGGCCGAGGGGGGAGGGGGGGGGGAGAGGGGAGGTAAGAGGGTGAAGAGAGGCGGAGAAGTGATGTTGATATTTCCTATATTATTGTCGTTTTATCCTTTCTTGTTGGGTTAGCATTGCGTGGGTGGGAGAGTTGTAGGTATGTCCTTAAGATAAATCTCTTTTTGGTGGATTTGGTCGGCAACATAGATGCATATAAACTTGAAGGGCATGTATACGAACAACATGGAGGGAAGGACATAATCATTGGAGTTAACGTTAGCATATTCGGACAGGGAACAGAAAAAGAAAAAGAGGACTTAAGATCCTACAAGTAAGGTACCTACCTACCTTGTCGTTAAAGAGATTTGTTCGATTGGTTCCTATTCTTACACAAGTGTTTGTCCCTAGATCCGCCTCCTTTTTGATACTATACAGATGCCTAGATATGCGTAGTCCCCCCTTCCCCTTGCCTTCCGTCCCATTTCGTGAACCAACCCCATTTATAAAAACGTAACGCCATTTCAAATCAACCCGTCCAGCCAAGAGCAGCTGGCCAAGTAAACAAACCCCTGACTGCCCCTGTCCCGAAACGTACAGTAGAATCCCACATGGACCTTCCTCTTCACCCGCTTAGTCGGAAGTCGTTTTTTCACAACAACCACGGAAAAGTATCCGCGGAACTGTGAGAACGTGGGAGTAGTGATTGCCGTTGGAGAGCCATGGACAAGGACCTTGATCGGAAAAAAAAATTAACGCAAAAGCCTCACAGCCTTGCGGCACCCAGCTCAACCCAACCCGGGCAACTGAACCCCGAGTTTTGTCTTCCTCGCTGGCCTGGCAGGTTAGACTCGAGGCGCAAAGGTTTCCTGCTCTTCGTTCGTTTATTTCCCTTCAAGCTCCCCACAATCCGCCACCCTTGTCCAACCTCCCCTCGCTCCATCTCCTACCCCCTTTTCTTTCGTTCCCTCAAAAAAAGCCCATCACGTATGCAAATCCCGATCAATCCCATCCCTCTCCAACCTCGCCTGCTCCAATATCTTGCTCTTCTTCGCCGCAGCCTCATTAGCATCTCTCAGGCGATTATTCCCCACATAACCCCCCACTCTCTCCTTCTGATTCATCTTCTCGAGCTCCTTGCGCGCCTCCTCGCGGTCCTTCTCGGGTAATCCCCACCACTCGCGCAAAAAGGCTTCCTGCTCGGCCTTGCGCCGCGCTTTGCGCTCGCGCTCCCGGGCGCGCTCCATACGTAAAGCGAACCACTCCTCGCGCGCGGCGTCCTGCTCGGCGGGCGTGGCGTGCAACTTCATGCAGTTGTTCATAACCCGGTGGGGCGCGCGGCAGGCGAAGGGGACGGAGAAGGTGCGGCCTAGGGCGCATTCGGCGAAGGCTGTGGGGAGGGGGGTGGTGGTTAGTTGGTTTGTACTGAAGAAGAGAGGGGGGGGAGGGGGAAGGGTTTGGGTGGTGGAGGGTGGGTGGGAAGGTTGAGGAGCTTGGTGGTGAGGAGTAGCTACCAGCTACCGCCAAAGGGGTGGGAGATAGAAGAAACGAAAGGGATCACATGGGAATAGAGACACAAAGCCCAAAGAACAGAACTAACCCTTGATTTCCTCAGTACATTGCCTCCTGACCCTGGCGTAAAAGATGTCTCGGACTTGCGCCTCCTGTGACGCCGAGAGAGGCAGAGGGTTCCTGGAGGGCATCGGCAAGCGCTCTACTTGCTTGTCTGTTTGGCCATCGCTGCTGCTGCTGCTGCTGCTGGCGCTTCCGAATGTTGATGGGACATCGCCGCCCATGGTGATCGTTTAAGTGACGGGAAGTGGTGGTACCGTTGGTGATGGTCGTCGTCGAGGGTGGAGGAAAAAGAAGATTCGAGACCGAATTCGGATAGCGAGTTGTTTCGGGTCGATTGGGTTGGGGAGCGGGGGTTTGAAGGGAGACTATGGCCTCTTCTTCCGAAGCGTAGACTGTGACTTGAATTGGACACGACGGCGGATCGTGTGGTTAAAAGATTTGTCCGGTGCAGCTTTGTGATGCTGCTGTTTACGAGCCGTCAATATGATGGAGGACCTGCGGAGTACGAACTACAAAGTACCTTTCTGAGCTTCGGGATCTGGACCCCATGCAAATGGTGCGATGCCAAGCCATCCGTACAGTGGAATCCGCCCACTCCGCCGGTGCACCGCTCGTGCTACACTACAACTGGGACCAGCTGTGTGGTGTAGTGTATTGATTTCAAATTCTGTGTTTACTTTGGCTAAGGAGAGCTTCAATCACATCGAGGTTCTTACGTTTTGGCAATTTGGTAATACAGATAAGACTTTTGAGTATTTTCTCCGCTTCAATGACGACGAGTAGTATAGACAGACAGCCTTTTGGATACGCTTGATCTTTCCACGGGTCAAGCAACAACATGTTCGGGAAGACACAACCCCGGCATATACAGACATACATGAACGAGAATGGCTTTTCAGCCACTCCGGTCCTTAGTCTCGTGACCTTCCTGAGCCTTTGGCTTCTACACCTCTGGCTTCAAGACCTGAGACCTCTCCCTCTCCAGCTCCACACTCTCCCTTTCCTTCTTTCCCTTCTTGCCAAAGTTGAGCCAGCTTACGCCAGGCGCCTTATTCTCCTTTGCAGACTTGTCCTTGACGTTGATGGCCGAGGCCGACGGACCGACGTTAGGACTACTGGTGACACTTTCATAACTGCGGGCCAAGAAGGCCGGGCTAAGAGCATCCTCGCCGAGGTCGTCGAGGTTATCCATGCTCGACCGGTCGCCGATCGAAACGCCTCTATCCGAAGCACTAGCCGTACTACCGGGTCCCTTCTTGAAGAGGCCACCCCCCGAGCGGCCCGCAAGGCTGAACTTGCCCGAGCTCCCCTTACGGAACAGCTTGCGGACTACGTTGTCCTCCTTGAAGCTGCTTGATAGGCCCGTGCTAAGTGCCTCCGAGGGGGTGTTTGAGAAAGAGTGGTCGAGGGAAAGAGAATCGTGAGATTCGGTCATGGAGACCGACGTCCGCGTAGGCTCCAGCAACATCCCATCGCGAGACTTGCGGGACTCCGTAGGAGATTCCAGCAACATCTCTATTGAGGCGACAATCGGAGTCTCGTGGCTCGGGGATGCCGCACCTGAATCCTTGTTCTTAGCAGTCTTGTCTTTCCCTTTGTCCTTAGCTTTCTTCGCCCCATCCTTCTCCTTCTCCTTTTTAAACAGGGACCCTATGCTGAAGGCCGGAGCGTTGGGGTTCAAACGTCCAATGGCTTTGTCCTTGTCCTTAGACGCATGTTGCGGCGGAGGTCTGCCAATAACACCAACCTCATGAACATTGGGCAGTGGTCCTTCGTCCAGAATCTCGTCGTCGGCAGAGGCTAACGTCGTTTTCAGCGCAGACGGCGACCCATGAAGGGACGGCCGACGAGATGGATTCCGAGACCACGGTGCGTCTTGCGGCCAAATTCGGCTGGTTTTGACAAGTCCTGCTCCGTCCGAAGCGAGCGGTGGGCCCCAAATCGACCCGGATTCCGTCGAAGGCCGTGGGAACTCGTTCGACGCGATACTAGCAGGTCGAGGACTACTAGGGTCACGTTCAGCAAAGATCCCAGCAGCCGGCCTTGAAGAGCTCGCAAAGGGGTTGAAGCTGCGTGTCGAAAACATGCGCGAAGCGGGGGGTGGGCCATCAAGTAGTTCGGGGGTAGCCGAGTGTCGGTTGAACACGTTCCATGTGCTCGAGAGGCTAATACGTCGACTTTTGGCCAACGCGTCGTTTTCGTCCGTCTGGCGAGGGAAAGACTGGCTTTGCCCATTCTTGAGGCTCCCGAGCATTGGCCCCTCGGTCTCCATGACCTTTGCAGCCCTGGTCCTTGGGAAAGAGAAGAGGCTGCCTATCTTGCGCTCTGAACCCACCGCTGTATTGGGTGACCCTATTCCGGTTGTTGCGTTCAACGACCGGGAATCAGGCTGATCCCCGGAAAGTGTAGGAAAGGCCAAGTTCAGAGACGATTCATGCGGGCTACCCGCCAAGCTGGGAGATTCCCCTGAAGATGTAGGCGATTGCGGCTCGTTGTCCAGAGAGTTGCCCGACTGTGGAAGGAAGTTATCATGTGCGTATCTGGCTGTCGGGCTCGGCTCGTCATCGTCTAGGTCGTCCAAAATGTTGGAAGGAAGCAAGGCCGTAGCGGATGGACTGAGAGGAGCAGAGGTAGCTCTGGAGTTTTCGTCGTGACGCGACTGCATGTCCGCCGAAAGGCCCATCATAAACGGTCCTGGGGCAAAACCCGGGGGCGCATTTGCCGATCTCGCGCTGGCATAGCCGCTATTAACAGGTATAGCCGGATCAAGATGTGAATATGTTGGTAACGGAGACGGTACCGAAACATTGGCAAGTGAGCTGGTCGTTCTGCTTCGTCTCTTGGTCTGGCCAAGCGCTCCGCTCTCAAATTCCAGGCCCGAAGTGTTTGCCTGACTGTAAAGACCGAAAGTAGTGGGAGGGATTTGCTGTATCTGCATCGTCAGGGAGCGAATGTGATCGTCAAGTCGCCGAGTAGTCCTGTTCTCGAAGTTCATAGTCTCCTGGAGTTCTCTATGGCGCCGATGCCAGTTTCTCCTGAGCTCGGCTTCTTTCTCACGCCACTCTGCATCCTCCTCGCCACCGGGAAGCTTCTTGCGAGCTTCTTCTAGAGCCCGAACCTGCTCCCTGAGCTCCTTCAACTCCGCTTCCAAACCAACGCAGGACGCCTGAAGGTCGCTGTTGGCGTCACGCAGTTGCTCCACCTCCTGATCATGACTTTCCTGTAGCTGTTTTGTTTCCTGCTCGAACCCCTCCCTCCCCTTGCGCATATCCTCAATGTCCTCTTCCCACTTGGCGATATCGTCGTGCAACTTGGAGCGTTCGTTTTGCTTCTCTTTATAAGCCTTCTCCTTGTGAGCCTTCCGGGAGAGGGCATTGCGCATCACCCGGTCAGTAAGGTTGACATCTCTCCTCAGCTTTTCAGTCTGCTCCTCCTTTTTCTTCTGCTCTCTTCTCTTCTCCTGCTTTTCAGCCTCTAACTCGTTCAACAGGCGTTTGATGTCATCTTCCTCCTTGGTGATCAGCTGTGTCACCTCTTCTGTCTCTTTCCTTATACTCTCGAACCGTTGTGTCAACTCTGGCAGCGTGTGTGTGGAATCCTCCGCAGCTTCTTCCCGTGCCAGAGACTGATCAAGGCTGGTTGTCGAGGGCGAGTGACGTCTGGTAACTGTGTTGCGGCGAGGCCCAGCGGCTGCAGCAGAAGTGCCATCCCGGATCGAGAGAGTAGCGCCCTCCAGAGCTGTTGCTGTCTCCAGTGCAGGAATGGGAGGTCGTGTAGATGCATTCTCGTCCAACGGTTCGGATTGTTTCGTACGATTGGGTTCTTCGATCGTAAAGCTGGAGGGCAACCGGGCATTACCAAGTTGGGGTCGTCCGTCTTGAGCGAAGGTGCGTAAGCGTACAACCCGACTGCCAGCCTGGAAGTTGTTGAATCCAACGGCAATGACGCGGACGTTGTAAAAGTGATCTGGCTTGAGGCCGCTGACGACTATTGCTGGATCTTGGTTTGCCGGAACATCCCCCACTGTAGAATTATGTTAGGGTTTTGCATTTTGCGTGGCGGATTGGTTGCCACCGAGTTCCAAAGGAGTTTGTTCCAGGCGCCTACTCACCAACTACCCCGTTGACTTGAATGAGAAACTTCTGGACAGAGCGATTGGGCGGTGCCCGCGTCCAGTTGACTGTTGCCGAGTTAGGTTTGATACCGGCGAGCGAAACCTCTGGAGGATCTGGCACATCCACGCCGAGTATGCTTATCAGCTCGGGTACGGGTTTCCATAGCGTCTGCCATGCCCGCTGCACCAACCTATAAGCGCATGCGCACGCAGTTAGCTCACGTCCTGAACCGAATCGAACGAGACGACGTCGTGATGGGATGACAGGTGCGGGTCCAACCTACCAAAAGACAGCTCCACCCGTCAGCAACATGCTGGCATGCCTGAAAACCCAAAGATCGATGCGAGCCGTCGTGATAGTGTTGAGGACAGAAGCGTATAAAGACGTCGCAAGCACGCGAACACGGTCCGGAGCAACGGCCCAGCAAGACGCAAAGAGACTACCGGCTGCCACCAAGTTGAGAGCCGTGTTCTTAGACTCCGTGAACCACCAAGCAATGACGGCCGAGGAGATGAGAACCGTGGTCACCAGCGATGGCCATGAGGTCCATAACATAGCGCTGCGATCAGTGCGAACAGGCCAGCTTGATGTTGATATTCCGAAGAGTCAGGCCGAGGTAGGTAGGTCCCAAAGTCTCGAGCGAAGATGCGAAGCCCGGGGGGCGCGACGACGTCGGCGACGGCAGAAATTCGGATCGTGGTGGTGGAGGGAATAGAGGATATTCGGTTGTCGTGGTTTTGCGACGGGCGACAGACCCAATTCCGGCCAAGGTAAAGAAAAATAACACCAAAAGGGGGGTTTAAGGATAGGCAAGAAGATACTCGTGTATCTTTGTACAAAAAGAGAAAATAAGAATGTGTACTGAGAAGACTTCCACAGACTCCCTCCTATCATCCGTCGACTGCAAAGAGATCAATGGCCGGGAGTACCTAGCGTGCAAAAGAAGAAGTGAAGTGGAATGTGTCCAAGCTGGAAAATGGAGGCCCACGACAGCGGCGGGAAAATCAATGTTATGGCACTCTGGGCCAGGTGGTTGCGAGTTGTCAAGACTCTTGATGGAGCCTGGGACGTTGCATACAGAGTGGAAACCAAACTAAAGAGAGGTGGAGGTGGGTGCAGAGACATCTCTGAAGTTTGACAAGCGACAAGTCACAGCGGCGTGAGCGGGCATCATGAGCCGGGCCACCTCACAGCGCTCGGCGGGCGGGCGGTGGCAGCAGCGTCCGTGGCAGCAGCAGAGCAAGCTGTCCCGCTGTGCTTTCCCTGCAAAAGGATTTTCTTTCGCAGTGCCTGGGCATCCACATCCCGACGTAAGAACCTCGTCCCCTGCATTGTCTCTGGGGAAGTGGATGTATATCTGTTAGTGTAATACACCAATATCTTTGGGGATCCTTAACAGAACAGCACTTGGATTCATGACTGGTGCATGCTGAAACATCGTGGACATCAGCCCATGAGGTGCACTTGACTTCATCTCAAAGATCAGACCAACTCCAGACCATCGCCAGCATTTCTACTTGCCTCCTAACTCCCGGTCCTTCACAGTTTGATGTTCCCCCGGCCTCCAGGATCCCCGCAACCGGAAGCCATGGAATGGAAGTTCGCGATGATGCCCATCCCCCCGCCTGCCGCCTGCTCATCCTCCCCGCTATTCTTCCCCAGCTCGCTTGAAGAAGGACTGGTCCGTGGAAGCGGGAGAGAAGGACTCACCCGAATGCTCGCAGGATATATAGTGCGCGACTCTCTTACACTACTCTCTTGCAAGAGGCTCGTTTCATCAGTGCTCGTTCACGTGTCACGGCATCAAAGACAGGCTCTTCAAAGTTGAGTTATCAACTGTGGAAGAGCCGTCATCCAGGGTCTGTGGATGGTGGACAAATTTATATCTTGTATGCCACGAGGGAACACCGCCTTGCCGTTCTGTCGTCCACTTTGTGTTAGTTGCAAACAATGGGGTCTGGACCGGGAAGTGAAACCAGGATAATGAAAGGGGTCTTTCTTCAATGTTTGCAAAGGCTCGGGTGATATCCCAGAGGATCCCATATGGGTAAAAGAAGGTAGCTCTCGTCCTGAGCGAGAACTTTAACATAAAGATATCCTCGTGCTTTCAAAGGTCAAAGAGAGGCTGCTGACAGTTCACTCTTCTCGCTGCCTATTCTGAGATATCCTACCGTTCCCGTCACTAAGCCGGGCGGCGACTTGCACAAGACTGAAACACAAAGTCGTTGCCTCTGACGAATCCCGGGATCAACCTACCATCTTAACTGAATCCCATTGAGAAGATGATCTGGCCGTGGAAGGTTATTCGGCGCCTCTCACTACACTACTCACTTTATATATGTGGTAGCCTGCCTCTAGCTGGAAGGCAACAATAAAGCATCACCAACCATTTTTGCTTGGGGATAGGGCTCAACTCATCAAAACAATCCGTTACGCCTCCAGTTTTCCCAACAAATATCACCACCCGCCCCAAGGACTGCTGACATGCTAATCCTCGGCACCAGGCAATGCATTCAGGCTGGGATTGCCGTCCATAACCCCATTCGGTACTACATGTCTTCCAGGCAGCTGGGGTAAGGCTCTGCTTTGTACTGTATGCGGGACGAAACACAAAATAGGCGCTGGATGAGCCGTGGCTTTCCCCAAAAGCTTCGCACTTTTGTAGATACCTACTTGAGTGTATGTGATATTGCCTCGCCCTTTGTGTACAGTTTGGTGTCACCAGGTGTAAGCCGGTAGAAACCCGGGATACACGGCGGGCATTCCGAGAGTTGACGTTCACATCTCAACCGAAAGATACCTACCTTCAGAGTAGACGGCTGGAATAACGAGAACAAAGTTGGACACTCGTCGAGCGACTGCTTTTGCACATCGACAACCGCTTGTTGACGGCTCTTTGGATAGCTATGTATGACATCAGTCAAGAGAGACTGGCAAGTTGAGAACACAAAAAAGTTTCATTTCCAGACTCGCGGTGTCAGTGTCAGTCAGCAGGACATCAGGGGAACTTGAAGGGTACCTGGTAGTCCAGCACAATAAACATCCCCGTGACCAGCCTTGTCCGCTAATAACGCCAATTTGTGCGGTTGGATTGGCCGGCCGTGTTAGTCGCTGCAGACCGCCGAGGTACCTGGCTGGTAAATGATATTGCGATCTTACAGGGGATCGTCTAGAAACTTGCACCAAGTCGGTAAAGTGCGCGTGGGTTGATGTGGGTTGCAGGCGTGACGATGGGGAACAGCCGGTGCAAGTGCGGTTTTGTGCCTGTCTGCTGCCCTGACAAGTGGCCGAACTCATCAGACGGGATTCGTTGGATTGTTGAGCTTGAGAGAAGGAAACCGTCCTCGTGATTCTGGAAGGTTGGGCGTTGGGAACTTGGGGGTGATCCTTTTCTCTTTCCGCCTCACCGGGTTTGTATGGGGAAGTACAACGAGAAGGAGGAATATTGTTGCCGGTTTCCTTTACACTCGTTGGATCGCGATCCGTTTGCCATACAAAAAGATTTTTTACAACACGAGCTTTTTGTCATGCAGGTTTTGGTTCATTTCGAAGCATATGATTCTGGAGAAAGAAAATCGACGCAAAAAAGACACCTTAATTGCCCCTTTGGGACTTTTTCAGACGACGCTTTACCGTACTGCGTATAATCCCACACTGCAGCCACCACAGGCCTTTTAGCGATACCCACTCAGGACCACTCCCCAAGCACACCAAGCACCCAGCATCCCACTTGGATTGCTACCTCCCTTGTCTTTCACTGCTTGAACCGCGGCAGACCGTCGTCATCACAGATCCGCATTCCTTGGGCAGTCCCCCAACACGGCGCATTCCCATACTCGCACCACGAGACGGGAATTGAACGAGTCGAAACCACTCACGCCCACCACGTTGAGTAATCATCCATTCGAGACGACAGAGCAATTGAGGCCGGGTGGTCAGAGCCTAATATCTCCCCTACGCACATCGGGCGTTCATCCGGCCTTCCCGACCTCGCCCAACACACTAGAGAACCCCTACCGGTCGCCTACCGGTCGCCTAGTTCTACTAGAATAGAAGTCGAGAATCGAGATTGCGGTCGACATTACATAAAAGTCCAGACCGCATGCAGCCTTGACATTTGACTGCCCCCCCCCCATATACATACCGACTACCGACATATCAACAAATACCCCCTCCTCTCCCCTTTGACGATCTCAAGAGGGAGACATCCTTCGACGACAGAACGAGTTGCAATTGCCTACCATGCAGTACGTCAGGAGTCTCGGCGACTCTGTCTCTACCGCGTGGAACTCCATCAACCCTGCGACCCTCAGCGGTGCCATCGATGTGATAGTCGTTGAACAGGAGGATGGAACCCTTGCATGCTCTCCCTTTCACGTGCGTTTTGGCAAGTTCTCGCTGTTGCGCCCATCCGAAAAGAAGGTCGAATTCAGGGTCAATGGCGTCAAGCAGGACTATGCCATGAAGCTGGGCGAGGGAGGCGAGGCCTTCTTCGTCTTCGAAACCACAGACACCATTCCCCAGAGCATGCAGACTTCGCCCATCGTGTCGCCCGCCTCCAGCCCTCCGCTCAACGCCGACCAGTCAGGGCCTCTACAAGAACCCGAATCACTCGATCTGAATTCGGTAGAAGGCAAGACTCGTTCGTCCAGCTTCAACCACAGGCCTCCTCCCACAGCTCTGCTAGCACGAGACGGTAAGCTTTCGGTCCATCAACCACGCGGCCAAGGTCGACATGTACTGACAAGCATGGGTGTCATTAGGGTTGCTCACACCTCGTTCCGTATCACCAGACCCCATCAAGGGAGAATGGTCCCCGTTTCGCCCACATAGCGATGGACTTCTTCGGCCATCAGCGCGAAGAATGCCAAGCGATGGCAGCACTCACGAAGGTTCAGAAGAAGGCGATAGTCACACCGAAAGATCCCGCAGCCCGCCGCCGCTTTCAACACCCGAAGCTCTTCAGAGGGCAATGAACCTCTCCCGAGAGCTCGCCGCCGCCAACATCCCTAACCACATCAGCGAGACCGGAGATCTCATGTTGGATATGACTGCGTTCAAGAACAACGAAGAAGACGCCCTCCGGGCCGAGATCCTTGCGCGCAAGATTCTCACGGAGGAGCTTGATGGCAACTACGACATCGGCGCACTTTTCGGCGTTGACGAGCATGGAAACCTTTGGATCTACAGCAGCATCGAGGCGAAAGAGGCCGCCATGAAGAGGACGATGGATCCCCTACGCTCTGCATCCCACATGGGCAACATCGATGCCGCTTCCGACCCCGGGTATCAGAGCGATGCTAGCGACACCTCAGCCGCCACGACTCTGCCGAGCCACAGGAGAGCTGACTCTGATGTCGGCCAGATGACCCTGCAGACACCCCCAAGCTCTCCCGGCACTTCGGCGGCAGGTGACCCCAACCGAAACTACGCAAAGACCTTGCGGTTGACTAGCGACCAGTTGAAGGCCTTGAATCTGAAACCCGGCGAGAACTCGATGAGCTTCACTGTTAACAAGGCTACCTGCCAGGCTTTCATGTTCTTGTGGAAGCACGAGGTCCCCGTGGTCATCTCGGATATTGATGGAACCATCACAAAATCCGATGCGCTTGGCCATGTGCTGAACATGATCGGGCGCGACTGGACGCATGCCGGCGTAGCCAAGCTGTATACTGATATTGTAGCCAATGGGTACAACATCATGTATCTGACAAGTCGATCTGTCGGCCAGGCCGACACGACACGAACATACCTCGCGGGTATTGTTCAAGACGGGTACCGCCTCCCACGCGGACCTACCATTCTATCACCCGACCGAACCATGGCGGCTCTCCGCCGCGAGATCTACCTCCGCAAACCCCACATCTTCAAGATGTCCACGCTTCGTGACATCCGCAACCTTTACGGGCCCGATCGCACACCCTTCTACGCCGGGTTCGGCAATCGTTTCACAGACCAAATCTCGTACCGCACCGTTGACGTGCCTCGCAACCGCATCTTCACCATCAACTCCAACGCAGAGGTATCGCTCGATCTTCTGAGTCTCAACAAACTCAAGCTCAGCTACGTCAACATGACCGAGGTCGTCGACCATTACTTCCCACCCGTCACCACGCTCATCAAGGGCGGTGGCGAGGATTACACGGATTTCAAGTACTGGCGAGATCAGCCCCTGGATCTCGATGAGTTTTCTGCCAGTGACACCGAGGACGAGGGCAGTGGTGGCCGAAAGGCATCTGCTCCGGCTGTCGTCGATGATCACGAAAGTGAGTACGAGGATGATGACGACGAGGAGGTCGGCGATGGTCTTGTGGACAGTTACATCTCTCGGGAGTCGGTGGATGAATACGAGGAAGGAAGTGTGGCGAGCGAGGACGAGGACTATGATGGAGAGTATGATGGAGAGGGTGATGAGGTGGAGGAGGAGGAAGAATATGAGGAGGAGGGTGCGCACGAGCACATGGTTGATTCCGTTATGGTGGACAGTGTTTATGCGGATGCGGATGACCAGGTTGCTGAGGAAGAGGAAGTTGAGGGAGAAGAAGCAGTTGAGGAGGAAAAAGAGTTGGACAATGATGAGGAAGAACAAGACGGAGGACTCGGTGCCGAGGAAGAGGAAGGGCTCAGACGGGCCGCTGCCGATCTCGAACAGGCAATGAAGGAGCAGGAGAGGAAGTGGGAGCCAAGCGATGCTCATTTGCAAGTACCAGTCGAGCAGAAGTCCAAGGACGGTTCAACAAGCTCGGCTTCGCCCAAGGTGATTGAGCCGGATGCGGATGCTGAAATTATTACCGGGATTAAGGATCTTACTGTTGAGAAGGAGGTCAGCAACTAGAAGAAGCATGTACAAGCACGACGGGAGGGTATGTGATCAAGTATTGTTACTATTGGGAGTGGGAGAGGTTATTGGAGACTTTGCATAGCGATAGATATACACACACACGAGGAAAGGCGCAAAGACGGAGGAGGAGGAGGAGGAGGAGGTTGGGAGCCCAGTCCCTTTTTTTGCTGCACCTGGGGGGAAATGGAGGAGGATGGAGGATGGAGGATGGAAGAAGAGAGGTATCAGATCCTTTGGGCGATTTCCTCACATTGCATAGCGCGGCGCAACTGGGAGGGAAATTCAATGTACTTGATATTTACGGTGCCAACTTTAGTTCATCACTACTCCTAGACATGTCTATCTTTATATCGTGTTTTGCCTGCTCTGTTCATCTCCATGATATTCTTGGGAATACGTGCTTAAATCTTGTGTATCAATACGAGGGGAAAAGGTACGAAGTGGCGTCAGGAATAATACTGGAAAGTCTATTCACGTTCTGCCTTTTGCCTCCATATGCAAAGGATAATGGTATGTATAGAATTCATTAACTGTGTGGTGTAAAGCTGAGCTCACTCTTTGGATACTATCACCTTTTCGGCTCCCTACTCCTAAACGCCATGACACCGCGAAAACACACCCGGTCAACCGCCAGACAGGACACTTGTGCCCCTGAAGATGAACTGTAAATGGCCCTTAAACAGAAACCGACGATATCGAAGCCGCCGAAAAGAGGATATACTCCTTTCAAGCGAACATATCCACATCCTCCATCTCCTCATTATCATCACCATCCTCCCCAAACAAGTCATCCACCGTGCCACCCTCCACCCCATCCCCACCAATATCCTCCTTCTCTATCCCCTCCATCGCATCCCCATTTTCTCCCTTCTTGTTGATGCCCATCGCATCCTCCATATCCTCGTCACTATCCTCCTCCTCATCCCCACTCGTCTCATCCCCGCCAGCAATCCACCCATCCCCTTTCAACCCCCAACTAACCCCATTCAACACAAACCTCTCGCTCGGCAGTCTAACCCCCCACTCATTAGCACTAACCTTCGGCAACGCCACCTTATTTTTCTCGCGCGCCATCTCCATCATCCACTCCTTCGAAACACCACCGCCACTCCCACCCCCGCTTCCGCCACGGAACTGGAAGTTCAGCCGGCTGGCAATCGCCAGCTGCACCGCATTACTTGTAATAGTCGCGTCGCCCACGTTGACGGGCGCCGCGCCCGACGAGGCGGAGGGCCGAGCGCCAGCGTGAGAGGTGTAAGGGTCCGCGGAGAGGTGTAGGGCGTCGGAGAGAACGGCGGAGGTGTGTCGGTAGGCGAAGTCAAGCAACAAAAGCGGGACGCGTTGTTCGAAGGCTGTTACGCCCTGAGCGGTTAGGAGGAGCTCGATTGTGCGGGCGTCGCGGGGGCGGGGGTTGGAGGCTACTGAGGAGGCGGCGGCGGCGGCGGCGGTGGAGAGGGTGTTGGGGTTTGTGGTTGTTACTGCTGTTGATGTTGTTGCTGGGGCTGTGGTGGTCGTTGCTGGTGCTTGCGAGGCACCCGCTGATGGTTGGGTGGCTGGTTGGGATTGGGATTGGGATTGGGATTGGGATTGGGATTGAGAGGTTGCGGCCGTGGATGGTGGTGCTGCCGACGCGTTATTCTGCCCGCCGGGCGCGGGGTTGCCGTTTGGGAGGGGAGCCGTGGTTGCGGCGGCGGCGGACATGGTTGGTGACTGCCGCCGAGGGAGGGGGTTGGTTTTGGTCAATTGGTTGTGAGGGTTGCTATTTCAGGCGAAGCTGAGTCGTGACAGACCGCACGCCGACTAATTATTGTTTGGCGTTTCGTGATAGTTGTGTAGTAGATAGATGGATCGGCAGATATCAAGGTCCGTATGATGTTCGGCGCGGGGAGCTAGCTCTGTTCGCGGTTCGGGATATATTGGATCTTATTGATGGCGTTGTGTGAGAGGACAAGTCCGCGTTTGGTTGTGGAGACTATCTGAGTCGATGGTCGTAACGTGTTTGGGAAGTTTATGTTGCGTCTTTGGAAGGATCGGGTTTGTTCCGGAATGGAAGAAAAAGGAGAAGGCTCTCGGGTGAAGGTGGAAAACTTGACCGGGCGTGAGATGGAAGTTCGAAGTTCCCGTCGTTCATTGACACGCGGACCGGGCGCCAAGACCAAGCCGCGGCACGGTCACTGCAGCGCACTCAGCAGCGGAGGTCGCAACTGGAGGATCGCTCGCACCGTGCCGCAAAAGCGATGAGCCTCCAAGGGCAATTTAGCCTGCCATAACAGCACAGACCATAGCTTATTTCACCTGGGCGATAGAGGGAGGCAGTGACATCAAGCAACCCCTCTGTTGCTCGCCAGCTGCCGGCTAACGTCAGCGGTACCTACATAAAAACTTTGGGGAAGACTTTAGCACCGACAGAATGGCAGGGGAAAGGTTCCAATTGCATGAGATGAGGGGCATTGCATTGCCTCCCGTCACACTGCGAACCCCAACCCCACCATGGCGTCTGCCGATGCATGGAGCGCGAGTCGAGAAACCTGTAATTCCTGGTAACTTTCAGGTACACAGTACGTACTGATCCTTGTATCAAACCCCGCCTGCCGATTTTTCGACGGAAAGAGGCTTGAATTGTGAAAGAGTCATATCAAATCCCCAGATTTTCATAAGTCCCGAGTCTTTTCTGTACATAAGCGAAACTCGAAGCGGGCCTCATCTTCATAGCCATATCTTGTATTACTCCATCTCCATATCTCACTTGACCTTGAATTCAACCTCACGTCAGACCTCACTCGACATATCGACGAATTGGGGAACAGCACGATACCAGAAACGAGAAGATAAAACAGAGGAAAACACCATGGAGACAATACTTCCCCTCCCCTTCCTCGTCAGTGTCAGTGTCCCTCCCGGACTGAATGACATCAAGGAGGGCCTCAGCCGGGACGAAGTCTCGTGTCTTGGCTGCGTCTTCTTCGAGGTCAAGCCCCAGACCCTCGAGAAGATCCTGCGATTCCTCAAGCGTCACAATGTCGAGTTCGAGCCCTACTTCGATGTAACAGCCCTCGAGTCTATCGATGATATCATCACTCTTCTGGACGCCGGCGCCCGCAAGGTGTTTGTCAAGACCGAGCAGTTGGCCGACCTCTCCGCATATGGCTCCCGCGTTGCCCCCGTTGTCACTGGAAGCAGCGCTGCTCTGCTTTCCTCCGCCACCGAGAGCGGCCTTTTGCTTTCCGACTTCGATCAGACTGCTTCCGAGGCTGCCCAGTTCGTTGAGGAGGCCAAGAACAAGAAGATCACCCCCTTCTTCATCAAGCCCGTTGCCGGAGCCGATCTCGAACAGTTCATCCAGGTTGCCGCCAAGGTCAATGCCATCCCCATCCTGCCATCTACTGGCTTGACAACAAAGAAGGACGAGGCCGGAAAGCTCGCCATCTCCACCATCCTTTCTAGCGTCTGGAAGTCTGACCGTCCCGATGGTCTCCTCCCCACCGTTGTCGTCGATGAGCATGACACTGCCCTGGGCTTGGTCTACAGCAGTGCCGAGAGTGTGAATGAGGCCCTCAGGACACAGACTGGTGTCTATCAGAGCCGGAAGCGCGGTCTCTGGTACAAGGGTGCTACTTCCGGAGACACTCAGGAGCTCGTCCGTATCTCGCTTGACTGCGATAACGATGCTCTCAAGTTTGTCGTGAAGCAGAAGGGCCGCTTCTGCCACCTCGACCAGTCCGGCTGCTTCGGTCAGGTCAAGGGTCTTCCCAAGCTCGAGCAGACTCTCATTTCGAGGAAACAATCCGCCCCTGAGGGCTCTTACACTGCCCGTCTCTTCTCCGATGAGAAGCTTGTCCGGGCCAAGATCATGGAGGAGGCCGAGGAGCTCTGCACCGCTCAGACTCCCCAGGAAATCGCCTTTGAGGCTGCCGATCTCTTCTACTTTGCTCTTACCAGGGCTGTCGCCGCTGGCGTTACTCTTGCAGATATCGAGAAGAGCCTTGATGCCAAGAGCTGGAAGGTCAAGCGCAGGACTGGAGATGCTAAGGGTAAGTGGGCCGAGAAGGAGGGCATCAAGCCTGCGGCGTCTGCTCCCGCTGCCACTTCGGCCCCCGTTACCAAGGAGGCTGCCCAGGAAACCGCCCCCGAGAAGATCACCATGAGACGTTTCGACGCCTCCAAGGTCTCTACCGAGGAGCTCGATGCTGCTCTCAAGCGTCCTGCGCAAAAGTCGTCCGATGCCATCTACAAGATCATTGTCCCCATCATCGAGGACGTCCGCAAGAACGGCGACAAAGCTGTTCTGTCTTACACTCACAAGTTCGAGAAGGCTACCTCTCTTACTAGCCCCGTCCTGAAGGCGCCCTTCCCCAAGGAGCTCATGCAGCTCCCTGAGGAGACCATCGCTGCCATTGACGTGTCCTTCGAGAACATCCGCAAGTTCCACGCCGCCCAGAAGGAGGAGAAGCCCCTTCAGGTCGAGACCATGCCCGGTGTTGTCTGCAGCCGTTTCTCTCGTCCCATTGAGGCCGTCGGCTGCTACATCCCCGGTGGTACCGCCGTCCTCCCTAGCACCGCCCTCATGCTCGGTGTTCCCGCCATGGTCGCCGGTTGCAAGAAGATCGTGTTCGCCTCTCCTCCCCGCGCTGACGGCACCATCACTCCCGAGATTGTCTACGTTGCTCACAAGGTTGGTGCCGAGTCCATCGTCCTTGCCGGCGGTGCCCAGGCCGTGGCCGCCATGGCCTACGGCACCGAGAGCATCACCAAGGTAGACAAGATTCTCGGCCCTGGCAACCAGTTCGTCACCGCCGCCAAGATGTTCGTCAGCAACGACACCAACGCCGCCGTCGGTATCGACATGCCTGCCGGCCCCTCCGAGGTGCTCGTCATTGCCGACAAGGACGCCAACCCCGCCTTCGTTGCCTCGGATCTTTTGTCCCAGGCCGAGCACGGCGTTGACAGCCAGGTCATCCTGATCGCCATCGACCTCGACGAGGAGCACCTTCAGGCTATCGAGAACGAGCTCCATCGCCAGGCTATGGAGCTTCCTCGCGTCCAGATTGTCCGTGGTTCCATCGCCCACTCGATCACCGTGCAGGTCAAGACCGTTGAGGAGGCCATGGAGCTCAGCAACAAGTACGCTCCCGAGCATTTGATCCTCCAGATTAAGGATGCCGAGAAGGTTGTCGACCTTGTCATGAACGCCGGCAGTGTCTTCATTGGCGCCTGGACTCCCGAGTCCGTTGGCGATTACTCCGCTGGTGTCAACCACTCGCTGCGTAAGTCGAATTCTCAAATCTTTCCCCTGACATGATCTCTGCTAACACCAAGCGATATAGCTACCTATGGCTTCGCCAAGCAGTACTCCGGTGTCAACCTCGCCTCGTTCGTCAAGCACATTACCAGCTCCAACTTGACCGCTGAGGGTCTCAAGAACGTCGGCCAGGCTGTTATGCAGTTGGCCAAGGTTGAGGAGCTCGAGGCTCACAGGAGGGCGGTCAGCATCCGTCTTGAGCACATGAGCAAGAGCAACTGGAAAGAATAAAAGTAAAGGGTTGATATATAGCTGGGTCATTTTGGGCACATAGAGCAATGGTAAAGAAGCTTTGGACACTACTATGCTATGCCATGCTACGCGACACGAAAATCAGTATCTAAAGCTGTAGGTAAATGTGAAGCTCGAAAAGCCATCGTTTTCCCATATCAGACGAGGTGTTCATCCCTTTTATTGGAAGGCACAGACGATCGAAACATGCAGGTTCATTGATCCTGCAGTGCATATGAAGCGCGTTATACCTGCCTCTACTTGCACTTCGCATTTGCATAAGAACCTCCCGGCCCCCCAAGCAATAAAAAAAAAAAAAAGAAGGGATCCGTTTCATTCGGGACTTGAATTGGACCCCTGGATCGACCGGGACACCGTTCGGGTCCATCTTTTTTTTTTCTGTCCTCTACCTCCACTGTCTCTACAATACCCACACAGCCTTATAAAAGGCGCCACCTGTTCGGTCAGTCACGAGTTCCGAACGAGCCTCGTTCACAGGGACCGAACGTTGGAGAATTTTGTTTCCTGACATCCGGCCTACCCGAGCGCAGGGAAAAGGAAAACAAAAATCCTCACAGGTGCAGGCTTTGAAGATGATGGGGATAAGCATTTGGTTCGTCCAGAGGAAGTTTTATGATAACTCTGGGCATATGTACGTTGGCCATGACATTAATGATACCCCATTAATTAGAAGGGGGTTTTGCATGCCTTGTCCTGTCTTGTTTTGTCTTGTCGAGAGATCAGACTCGGAGGATTCGATATTCACATGTCCGAGGATCTCAATCGCTTCTCGACAGTGGTTGGCTGTGCTGGACTGCTGATAGGTGCGCTATACGGCCGTGTTCTACCGCTCGCTCCATTGGAGCTCTATGGAGCTTTTTTGAGCCCTTCATTATTTTCACAGCCTACGTTGTTGTACCACCACGAGCGGCACCACCGTACCACCCCACCAGCTGCTGTCAGAATAGATTGATGACATGATGCGGTCTCAGACACTCGTTACCCGCGCCGACGGGCATTAAGTTACCAGCCAACAGCCAAGGGCCAAGAATCCTCATCCGTTATATCTCATCTTATTATTCTGTGGTGTTTCGTTCGGTGTTTCCAAGTTTGAAACAACGTTAGGACCCTTGGACCCTTGGCTCCCTCGGCATGGCGGCTGGGCGGCTGGGTCGGCAATAACGGGACTTGCCGTTCGATCTGACTTGTTCCACTTGTGTGCCTTACAATCTTCTAGGGACGGTAGGGCTCGGCCGGATCAGGGTTTGGTCAGTTAATGTTTAATGTCCGGTTGGGTACGTAGTTTGGAGGACAGGTACTCGGGTCTAGCGGGTTAGACGGCTAGGTAAGTATGGGTTGGAGGCCGCCGTAGCCTGTCCAGAAGGGCATATATCTTTCCCTTTCCTTAATGGTCATGGAGGTCATGCGACGAACGGCATTGCCATTGAGAAGGTTTAACACGTTCAACATCAATGGCCTTTGCGTTGAGGAACAAAGCGATTGAATAAGAATATGATAGGGGAAGCAAACATGGTATTGATACGTAGGTGCTTAGCAAACAACTAAGCTCTTGGCCCCAAACCGCAGCTTGCTGTTAGTGCTGCTCTTGTCAGCCTTGGTAAGTGCGCGTGTAAAGATGGGACTTGTATGGATGGATGAGATTATTGTTCGGTGTTGGTTGCGAGACACTGCGGTTGTTTGGCTGTGCTGTGCCCTGTCGATCGAGAAAGAAATACGCGGACAATAAGGATGGCTTGATGGATACCGAAGTAGCCGGCGGATTCTACACTAGCAACATCCCCGGATATCCGGATTTGCCATGGCTTCCTGGCTTCGATATTGTTCGATCTACAGCACCATTCCGTAGAAAGTGCAGCGGTGCTTTTCCTGCGTTTCGTTCCAAATGTACGTGCCCGTCATCGATTTTCCTGTCCTTGTTATAGTGTCCTGACCTCGGTGGCTGGGCTGGCTCGCTGGTTACGGGGACCGCTTCCATCCCGTCGCCGGCACCACCAAGCACCAATTACCCCCCGCCCGGCCTTGATACTGTGTGATTCATCGATGTCAGCGCCGAGCAACACACACCGCGTTGTGTCCCAGATTTGGGTATAAGACGAGACGAACGGGTGGGCTGAACGAGTCTGACCGCTAGGACCGCTGGGCCTCAGTGGCTCTGTTGGGGTGAGTGACAGATATGTGGAGTAGCGGTAGAGGCGCTTGGAAGTTGTGCCAGCGGAAACCCTGGGATATCTCGATTTCTCTGCCCATGTGCTGAGGTGATGCCGGGGATCTGGCGCCAATCGTCGCTGATCCGAACCCATTCTGCCATTCCCACAGCTTCCCGGTGCCGCACGTAGTTGCTCACAGGACAGGCACAGGGAGTACAGGGGCACTGCCCGTGTTTGGTGTAACCAGCGGGCACTCCACCGTCCGCGCATAGCACCGCCGCGGCGGGACCGAGCGAACCAATCCACATTCCAAATCTTCCGTTTGCCCTTTCCATCCTTCCTGTCTTTCTTGCCCACTTCACGCGATCAACACTCGATCAGGTCACTCCTCGATCTTCACTCTTTTTTTTTTTTTTAAAGGGTCGTCGGCCTTTCTTTCTTCGACTTTCTTTCGTTCATTCTCCCCTTTTTGGCTTTGAGGACCATCAATCCCAGCTCTTCCAGGCTTTCCGGGACGCATTTTGGCCCCCTTTGGTCAACACTAGCCACACTACCTTCTCTTCGTTTTGTTATTTGGATTTCATCAAAATACCCCTTCTTGTTGAAGAGAGAGTGCTGGGAAACGGTAGACGAAAGGAACAGCTTTTACTGGTTATTAAACATATACGCTACGCCAATATTGTGAGAAAGAGGCTCAACGACCGTCATCATCAATCATGCATCTCCCATCATCGCTGCTCATCGCAGCTCCCTTGCTCGCCACTGTATCGGCCGACCCCATCAGGATAGCCCAGCGCGATGTTTCCCTGGTATCAACATCAACATCAGAGCAACTTGCCGTCCGAGCACTACCGGATTCGCCCAGCGGCGGATATGCCCCGGCCGTTGTAGACTGTCCCAAGACCAAGCCAACGCTCCGGAAGGCCCAGGATCTCTCGCAGGAGGAGAAGAACTGGCTGTCGACCCGGAGGAAGAACACGATCGAGCCTATGAGGGACCTGCTGAAGAGGGCCAACATCACCGGGTTCGATGCCGAAACTTTCATGAACGAGGCCGCCAAGAACATCTCGCAACTGCCCAATGTCGCCATTGCTATCTCGGGAGGCGGCTACCGTGCCCTCATGAACGGCGCCGGCTTCGTTGCTGCGGCGGATAACCGGATCAAGGACACCACGGGCGCGGGTGGTATTGGAGGCTTGTTGCAGTCCAGCACGTATTTGTACGTAACGTTATGCATTCTTTGGTTCTCGTCTCATTTTCGAGTGTCAACTACTCCGCTTCCGTCCATTAAATGAAGAAATGAGGACCATGACCGTGAATTGCTAACACGACATCTAGGGCTGGACTTTCTGGCGGTGGCTGGCTTGTCGGCAGTTTGTTCTCCAACAACTTCAGCAGCATCGAGACCCTGCTGAACGAAAACAAAGTCTGGGACTTTGAAAACTCCATCTTCAAGGGACCCAAGGAGGCTGGCATTAGTACTGTCAACCGCATCCAGTACTGGTCCGACGTGGCAAAGGAAGTTGCGAAAAAGAAAGATGCCGGCTTCGAGACTAGTATAACAGACTACTGGGGCCGAGCATTGAGTTACCAACTGATCGGAGACGACATGGGTGGACCGGCATACACCTTCTCCAGCATTGCCCAAACCGACAACTTCATGAAAGCCGACACGCCGTTCCCAATTTTGGTAGCCGACGGCCGCGCGCCCGGGGACACCATCATCTCCCTCAACGCCACCAACTTCGAATTCAACCCCTTCGAGATGGGCAGCTGGGACCCGACCGTCTTCGGCTTTGCGCCGACCAAGTACCTCGGCGCCAACTTCAGCAACGGCGTGATTCCCTCGGGCGGCAAGTGCGTGGAAGGGCTGGACCAAGCCGGCTTCGTCATGGGTACGAGCAGCACGCTCTTCAACCAGTTCCTTCTGGCCAACATCACCAACTACGACGGCGTGCCAGACGTGCTCATCAAGGCCGTGGATTCCGTCCTCAAGGAGATCGGCGCGAAGAAGGACGACGTATCCCAAATCATCCCCAACCCGTTCCTGGACTGGAACAACCGGACCAACCCCACCGCCGACTCGCTCGAGCTGGACCTGGTCGACGGCGGCGAGGACCTGCAGAACATCCCACTGAACCCGCTCATCCAACCGCTCCGCGCCGTGGACGTCATCTTCGCCGTCGACTCGTCCGCCGACGTAACGAACTGGCCCAACGGCACCGCCCTGCGCGCCACCTACGAGCGCACCTTCGGCTCCATCTCCAACGGGACACTCTTCCCCTCGATCCCCGACGACTGGACTTTTGTAAACCTAGGCCTCAACAACCGCCCTTCCTTCTTCGGCTGCGACGTCAAGAACTTCACCAACCTGAAAACCCAGACGGTGCCCCCCTTGATCGTCTACGTCCCCAACGCGCCGTATACCGCGCTGAGCAACGTGTCCACCTTCGATCCGTCGTACACCATGTCCCAGCGCAACGACATCATCGGCAACGGCTGGAACTCGGCCACGCAGGGGAACGGCACGCTGGATTCCGAGTGGCCTACTTGCGTCGCGTGCGCGGTTATTAGTAGGAGCTTGGATCGGTTGGGTAGGCAGACGCCGGCTGCGTGCAAGACGTGTTTTGAGAGGTACTGCTGGAATGGCACGGTGGATTCGAGGGATACGGGGGCTTACTTGCCTGGGTTCAAGATTGCGGACGCGCATGCGGAGGATTCGGGGGCTGCTGCTATTGGAAAAATGGTGAATGTTTGGTCGTCGGTTGTTGTGGGAGTGGTGGCGGCTGTTTTGCTGTTGTAGGAGTTGGGTTGGTAGAAGTGCCATTATTTTTGTCTGTCTGATTTGATATCAGACCAGAGATCGTGAAAATGAGGAGGGAAAGGAACGTGCGGGTGTTGCTGTCATGATGGATCATGGATTATGAAACGACGGGGATGTTGGATGATGGATATACCATTGCATGTATGCTTTAGTGATAGTATGATCTGGCCTTTAAGTTTAGCAACTAATTACTCCATTCTTATGTTTTGTCTTCCCGACAAAGGGTTGATGGTCTTGGTGTATGGTGTTTTGCTGTTAGGGTGGAAGGACCTTGTTCTGAGGGAGGTTACCAGTAGATTGTATATCTGTGTTGGTGTCGATAAACTTTCGGCTTTTTCGGATCAAAGGTTCGACGGCCCATTTGCTCGGGGTCACAAATTGAAGAGCCTACCTTACTTACCTACACCACTTACCTTGTCCACCCGACTGCACACCAGGCTCCAGCACAGCTGCCCGCACCTTCCTTCCTTTCATCCCGACCAGACCAGACGAGAGTGCCTGCCTAACGGGTATATAATTTACCTCCTTGGCACCTTCCTTCACCAACAACCGCTTGGTCGAGTGGCGTAACGGTCTGCCGTCCTAATACCTCAAACCAACCCCCGAAAAAGATACCTGTCGGTTCGGGAACTATGATGTACATTGAAGTAACCCAAAGAGCGTTCCACATCGTAGACCGCGTCCACTTGCTTGCAAGTAGGATCTGTTGGTATCTGCAGCGACAGAAGAAGGTAATCACAAATAAACATGGACAAAATGGTTAGGGTGTTTCGATGGTTAACCTTGACCGAGCGGTTGTTGGCCTTTATTTTTTTGTATCTTTTTGTACTTTCTTCGGAGGTGGAAGGGAGGGCCGGGTTGTGTGAGGGGGAGGTGGTGCGTTCGAACGGGAGTTGTGTCTTGTTTTTTTTCGGGTACTGATGATTTTGAGTGAAGTGTATTCAATAGGATACCCCCCTCGTCGTGAACTTTAGGAGTCCTTGTCTCTCCAAGTCTGGCCTTACCTAAGTGTTCACGGTATTTGTGGTATGCAATGGAGGGCGGTATCTCTCCGCAGCGACTCACCTGTGTATACCTCTACTTAGATAATAGGGGTGCTTGCAATTCCAGCGAGCGCAGGTGGGAGCAGACCTCTACGATAGCCATAGCAGTCGGTCAGACCACCTACATCCACGTCCAGGCAACATCTGTGGGACGTCCGTCACAACGGAAGCGCACTGAAAAGGAACAAGAAATTTCTCCCGGGATATTCGCCTGATCGTGAGTCTTGTAGTTCGTGTGCACCTGAGCAGAGCGTCATCCCCTTCCCCTTTTCCTTTCAGGGAGCTTTCAACCCCCGTTCTGGCCCGAGATCGTCTGACTTCCACCTAGTCTGCCCCCACGAACTCCAGTCTCTCCTTGGTCTCGTCGGGCAACGTCGAAAGATACTCCTCCCAAATGTCCTGGTTTGCACCCGCGGGGACGCGGAACGTGTAGACAAGCCCCCCTGCTCCTCCCTTTCTTCCACCGCTACCTTCGTCGTCAGTGCCAGTCATTGCCGCTAGATCCCCCTTCATCTTCGGAGTCAAGATGATGCTCGATGTCCTAGGACTGCCCGCAAACTGCAGATGCAAGGGAACAGGAGGAAAGCTACTAAGCGGCGGCAATGACATTCCTCCCATGTCCGAGCCGAGCGGTTCCTGGAACCTAGCCCCCATGGCCAAGAGCGAGGATGTTGTAACTCTCGCATGAAGATCAGCGATTGAGATACCCCCCAGAAGCTTCAGCCGCGCTCGGGTCCTCAGCTGGTCGCTCAAAGCACGGGTGAAGACGCCTCTCTCCAAGTTGGCCTGGGTGGACGCAGCGAGGAGCTCCAATGAACGGTTGGTCCTCCTCATGAATCTATATTGGTTCGGGTAGTAGGCTGCGTCCATGATGACTACTACATCCGGGGAAGCATGATCGAGCAGAGCCTGGATGGCAGACCATCGCACGCACGACGCTGGTTGCGCCTCGCTGTTTCTCGAGCTGTCAATGTGACGATACAGTCAGCCTGGAGAAAGAATAACACGCCATTCGGTGGGAGGCGGGTAATCCTACCTTGCCAGAATCATTTGTCGGTCGCCGTCCAAGTAACTGTGACTTGACCAATAGAGTATTTTCAACTCGTCCTCCGTATCCGTCTTCAGGAACTGGAGGATTTCGTCCAAAATCCACATAGATATGTTGTGGTTCTGATCCGCGGATGGAATGATCTTGGTTTGGCATGAGCAGTCGTAGTACTCTCCAAGGACTTCTCTGAACTCGTCCATCGGATTTATCAATGCAGGGTCTTCCTCATCTTGCCAGCGAAGGAACAAGGCAGAAACTCTTCTGTAACGATCCCTCGCAAAGCTTTCGGAAGCCCGGACTGTAGCTCCGTGCGAATTCGACGTCAGAATGCTACCGTTTGAAAGACCACCGTTGGGCTGAGGGAACGACACAGTTGATGCCCTGTCCTGCCGAGGCTTGGAAGGCAGAGGTGTTCTGACGCGCGACTCGCTGAACGATGAACGGATCTGTTGCTGAGTTGGAGAGGAATCAATGTCCATAAATTCTGGCGAAGGGGTGCTGAGATTGAGTTTTCGTGATTCTTGTGTGTGAAGATTTCTAGGGGTCGGCGGCACAATGGTTTCAAGCTGTTGCGTCTCTGCAGAGTTGGGAAACTTTTGCGCGAGTTCTTCCCAAGTCATGCCGTGATGCCGGGCATCGCACTATAAGAAAAGCCCAGTAAGTGAACTGGCCTGGACGGCTTTCAAGTTTTTACACGTGGTTGGTATGCACTCACTCCGATTTTCTTCCTCTTGCAGTTTGCACATGAACCTTGTTTTCGTATCAGAGCGGCCCTTCCCCTTGCCTCGGGCGCTAAGGGGCCAGTCCGCCGTCTGTTTCGACTCGAAGACGAAGGAGCGTTCCCGTCCTTGAGAGAAAGTATGTTTTGTGTTGGCACAGACGTTGTCGGAGTAAGGACAGGGGGGGACATGACGCTACAGGATGTAGCAGCTGTGGCAGCAGATGCAATGGTCGATATGGACGAGTTGGTGTCCTTTCTCGCCCGCGGTGAGTGACCATGGCTCTCGACAATCCCGTTGGTAGCGGTAGGAACCTGCAAAACGGCTGGACCGGTGTCTTCGGGCTGCCGTTCCTGATGTTGTTCATGATGTTGAACCGGGCGCTGTTCCTGTTGATGCTCCTGGTGCTGTTCCTCGTGTTGTTCATCATGTCGTTCCTGGCCTTGCTGCTGTTCCTCGGTGTGTTCCTCATGCTGCTCCTGATGCGTTTGTTTCTGTTGTTGCTCTCCATTCGGCTGTTGCGACTGCTCCGCTTGCGATCCTTGCTCTCCCTGACTTGGGTGATGCACGTCACTTCCAGGAGGCGCATCAAGCGGGGCGGATATCGTATGCACCGTTTCCATCGTTGGGTTGCCAGAAGCTGTTGGTGTAGTCATTTTGCCGTTTTATTCCCAAAAAGAATTTTGAGTTTTGGTTAAATAATGAAACAGCCACCAGTCTGGCCGATGATTTTGCCCCTGAACCTCAACACAAAGGATGATAGCTCGCAGAGAAGGATATGCCAATCCCTTCTCAAAGCCGGTATCCAGTTCAAGGTGCGTCCTGGTCAAATGTGATTGTAAGTAATCGGCTGTGAATGCGCGAGCTTTGTGATGAGCGGTTATTCTGATCACAGAGAATATGGCACTCTGCAGGAAGTCAACGTGCCGAGTCTATGAGGCAAAGCATCGATATGCTGAATTGGATCTCTTGGGCACTGAGCCTTTGGCGGCACTCAGCTTGAAAGGCGAAGGCCCCGGTGAGAGAGGAAGGTGAGATGTTAGGAAGAAAAGGTGTGGCCGATGTACGAACGAAGTCGTAGGCTTTCGGCTCCTACTAAAGGACAGCCGGTTGAGCCAATGTAGGTAGCAGGCCAGCAGGACCGCATAGCCGAACGGCCGGTGACGCTACGACGGAGTCTTGTTCTTGTTGACCGAAGACGAGAGACGAACGTTACGTTGGCCGCGTTGACTGTAATGGGATAAGACCGGTCTCGATAAGGTACAGTAGCGGGTTGGGGTAGCAAAAAGGGTACGTTTACTGTCCAGGGTCGTGTTAATGGGTGGAGGTGAGGTTCTTGAGGCACCTGACTGTGGTTAAGAAACCAAAACGACCGAGAAACCGTCTGAAGATGTGTAAGGTTTGCAATGATAGTAAAACTTTAGTGAATTAGAAAGACTCTGGCGGAGACATAAAGGTTCTGAGCAGAGTGCGTGAAGGCCAGAACACGAGGGGGTGTAAAGGGGGGTTCAGGATGATAACAATGTAAACAGCGCTTTGATCAATATCAGGGCAGCAAGAAGTTGAGGGAAAGACCAGAAATGTTCAGCAACTGTCCGCCAGGAGCCGTCAAATTTGAACAGAAAAAAAGAGAGGAAAGGGGAAACAATCTGGTTGGGAATCGATGGAGCAGCAAGAGCCCTCGGTGGGTTAAGGACGCAACAATAACAAGCCAACCGAATGTTGCACGGCAGTCAATGGTGTTTCCTTTCTCCCTCCCCGAAAACCAACAGCAATGGGGGGCTTAACAGACACAGTAGTGATGCCAATGCGATGCTGATGCTCGTGTTGATGTTGATGTTGATGTCTGATTAACTCATAGACCACTCGAACTACTACCACCAAATGGAAAAGGGGCAACAAACTGGAGCAAAGCATCATGAAAGGATGAGGTGAAGAATTTGACCGAGACTGAGAGGTAAAGAGCTATGAGACGTACCTTGCTCCTACTGCTCAGCGGAGTGAGAGATGTCGTTGACAGAAAATGGATACCTCTACAAAGTCGAACGGAGGCTTGACGTCGGTATGTTCAGATCTCGCTAGGACATGGCGATGCTGCTTCGGCTGGGGTTTAAATGGGTGTCGAGGTGATATCAAAAGGAAGCCCAGATAGGCCAGACAAGCAGATCGAACAATGGCCTTCCATTGCGTCTTCAATTGCAATGGGAAGACATCGAGAACGCCGTCCGAAGACTGTGGCCAGATGGAGCGTTGGCGGCATGAGCAGTAGCTTCCGGACTCCACCTGGATTGGGTGAGCTCCCGTCCCGCTTCAGTCGTTGAGGGGCCGATTCGGGGGTCGAAATATTTTCGACGCAGGGTGCGTGTATGGTAATGTAACTTCATATGTATGTACTGTCGCGGTTAGACATATACGCAAAAGTGACACTGTCTGAGCATGCTATGCAAGGTACCCGTCTATCTGCATCTTTCTTTCTTCCATTCCCGGTACGTGCTTCGATACAGGCGCGGGGAGCTCCAAACAACATCAGAACCCTCACCTAAAAAGCGTACCTCTAGGGGCAGCTCTGAAATTGTCTGTCTCCTTCATTCCTCACGGATACACCTACCTCTGAAGTACAGTTACTGCTATCATTTCACAAGACGCATCTGGAAGGAGCCGGCAAAGTCAAGGTTGGGAGGGAAGGCACCTCTACGAGCCAAGAACCTGGAAGGTGTAGGGCAGTCACCGGCCATTGCTGCAGGTGACAAAACCACACCATGCAACGCAAAATTGCCCGCTCTGGCCACTTTGACCGAAAACGGTAGTCAGCGCATGCACTTTTGGTAGTCAGCGCAACCAACTACAAAAAATGCCCAACTAACGTGCACCATTACTGGCACCGCGTTTTGGACTCCATACTTTGGTATCATTTTCTCGATGTCCTCTTTCGTCAATGGTTTTTTCTCTTCGTCAATGGTTTTTTCTCTTCGTTAGCTTCGGGATCGGAGTTTTCCTTGTCGCTTAAATCGGACATTCTTCATCAGGACTATCTATCTCATTTCGCGTTGCGCGCGCACACTTGAGATTCTTGGTAGTGTCAGATGGGAATTTTTTGTCCAACCCCAAATTGCCCCACTTTTCGCTGCCCAGGCACGCCAAGACAAGGGGTCAAAACCACTTTTTCAATATTGACATCTGCGCAAACACTTTACACCTACTTCGTTCAATCACGCTCCTGAAAAAATAGGGTAAAAGAATTTAGAGGAAGCTTTAAAGGTGAATATCTAAAAGAAAGCGAAACTCTGACGGTTGTTTTGGTTGAAATATCTCAATTCTGAGTTGGAGACTTGGCCTTCTATTTGGGTGCGCTGACTACCAAAAGTGCATGCGCTGACTACCGTTTTCGCACTTTGACATTCAGACCGATCCGACGCCGACAAGACTCGCGAATCACCGTCCTACATCTACCTCTTTTGACTTGACCTTGCTCGATTTCAAACTAGTAGCCCGTTATAGTGAACCAGACATCATGACTGCTGTCATTTCACCTGAACAGCTTGGTGCGATATTGTTCCTTCCCGACTTCCCTTGCAACTATACAGTAAAGTAGGGTCCGTGCACCTGCTCTTGCCCTGACCAGACAGCATCGAGAACGCACTGCATCTCATCTCCAACTTCTCCTTCACTACAACCTACCTCCTACCTGACTGCACGGCCAACTCCGACACAACGCCCAAAAGGATGCATCATCCACGACTGGCGCATTGCACAAGATCATGATGATTCTCACACCTCCCACCGCGACCTCGCTTCGAGTTGCCGATATCCGTCCTTTCCACTAGACGGGACACGCCAGCCACTACGAGGCAGAGGAGGCTACCTGGGAAGCTCCGAGTCCGATTCCCCGCTCGCCATCCAGTTCGCGGTGCCGTCCATGTTGCTGGACCGGCTTATACTCGGATGCCAAGGCTCACCTCACCACTCATGGACCTTCTCTAGACCTTGAGGTTCCCTTCTGCTGCCGCTCTGCAGTTGATAGTCGATGCCGGATAGAGCCAATGGTCAAGACTCACCGGGCCATGCCGCCAGCCTCATGATTACGCTACATCCGATAGGACATCGCAAAGCAACAGTTCGTCTCGACGGCAGGCTCAGAACCTTCGAACGTCTGGCCAAAGTCGGCCTCTGCGGTCCTGGACTCCCGGTCTGGATTTATGGCGCCTCAGCATTTGCGTCTACCGTAAACCACGGTTACACAGTACTGAAACCCGACCCCGTTCTCGGGGAGCTTCAACTACATGTCCAAGACGACCTGTAAGCTTCGAGAATGGCCCTCCCCAGACCTTCACCGGCAAGCCTCTCCGAAAACTGGGCTCCCGATCCGTCTCGGTCGCAATGGTTACACTTGCCGAACAGACAACACGCTGTTGGAGGTTTCTCTCTGCACCAGCCGCCAGTCAACTCCACGCTCTTGTGCTCTGTACGACCTGCAAGCACCTCCCTTGGGTAACAGCCCAAGCCGGGTCCTGATATGTTTATATCGTCTTGTCCTCACTGGCCTCTACCCGCCCGCAACGTCTACTACAACGTCATCTGCTACCGTCCGTGGACTCGCACAGAGCAGGCCATAACAACCTGTCTTGGTCTCCATGCCAATAAACAAAAACCAGCATGTCTGTGAGCGACTTCTGGACGACTCGGTATGACTTGAGCGTTACAGATTTCAGCCACCCACCACCAATCCGGCACCGGTCTGCACGCGTCAAATTCACCACGATAAGCGTCCAATGCAGGGCTGGGGACCTGTGAGGTACGGGTTACCTTGCCTGGAAGGAATCAGACCTCGGTGGCTGCACCAGAGAAGCCCATCAGCCATCTGTCTGTGTCCCATTCCGAGTTCCAAAAGTTCCTCACCCGCACCCGACGTATCATACGCTACTTACAATCTCTGTCCCTGTTGGGTGGTTCTCTCGTCGGCACTGCGTGGTGCCAGGCTCTACAATATGTACGAGTCTTGGTCTTACATGAGGCCGTCTGGTAGAAGCGCCATCTACCTCTGTTCCGCACAGGACCCAGATCGATGGACGAGCGGGATGGAGAGCTGAGCGCCAGGTGAAAGACTGAACCACGGAGTACCGGGGACGGGAGCACAGAATACGGTGTGCTCGCATATACACCGGACTTGGGTACGGAAGAGGACACACCCTCTCACCCGCACACGGCTACGGACGCCATACGCCTTACACCTACCAACTCGGCCTTGTAGGCTTGCTTCCCCACGCCATCTTGTCCAGTGGTAACGCCCTCTCCATCTCATACCTTATGCATTGATACCTGTGATACCAAACCTCTCAGAAACGTCCAATCAAGACGTCCTCCAAAGCGTAAGCTCCTGTTGTTGGTCTCTTAAGCTCATTTCTTGTTTCCCGTCTATTCCCTCACTCCATGTGTGCCTAGTCCCTGCACCTCACCTGTTGCAGTCTGTCCACAAGAAGCCAGAGCAACAGAGAGGCCCGCTCAGTCAAGCCGCCGTTGCATTCGACTGCGTACCTGTATTACGTACCTAGCATTTCAACATCACACCCCGCCAGTGTCATTCTCTTCTGTTGCATTCCCACGGAAAACCCGATGCACGACTTAACCTGTTTACGGTCTAGCCCTGTGATGAATTCAAGGTGTGTCGATTTCGCCGACGGGCTGACTCTTTCATAGTTTAGCCATGTTACGTTTGGATATCAGAAGAGGTTCAGCTCGTTGTTCCCCAGAATGCCCAGCCCTCTTCTTCCTCCTCTGTTGCAATTGCTGGTATGGCTATACGGGAAATTCACTTCGACTTGCTCATTATAGGTGATGTATGCCGGCCTCATTGGTTCAGGATACGGTGCATTTCTCCTTTACCTGTTGCCATGTCCAACCATCGCCATCGTCTATCACTGCCAACTGGGTTTCCATATGAGCACCATAACATGCCATCTGCATGTCGCAATTTGCCCAAACAACCCAATCAACCGGCCGAGCAACACCAGGAGAGAGGGACTGCGTACCACCTGGTAAGGTGACTCCACGCCGGTCGCCTAAGCACTCATTCCGCCAGAGGTCTGGGTAAATTCTGGTCGTCCAGCTTTGTCATTCTTCAGCTACTCCTACCCAAAGTTCTATGCCTCCAGAACAACCAGGCCGGCAAGTTATGGTGTGACGAAGCTTGAAAGGCCCAGTCGTTGATGCACCGTCACGAAGTGTACAAGTCTCTCTGTTCATCTTCCCGGCACGGTGAGAAGTATCTCGGCCAACATCTTGCGGCAACAATATGCTGGATGTCACTCAAACGAGCCAGGTCTCGGTTTTCGTCAAGCAATTCAAGTCATTACTCCGAAGTCGCTTGCCATTCCCATCATATCTGGATTCACGCACCCTTGTGCGAGGTTTTTGGGCACATATACCGAGCCGATTTGTGCGCCCACTACACCAGAAACGGACAAGGTGAACGAACAATGAGGGAGAATTCAAACCCAACGGAGAAACCCAAAAGGAAGGAAAGGCAACGCCTTGGGGCATCAAGGTAGCATCGTGCTTACCTACATGTGGTAATGATCCCTTCCACTATCTCCATACCTACCTCACTCAGCAACCCATTTCCTGTGTTTCTTATATCCACCAGTTTCTGTTGGTCTTCTCCAGCTCGCCGGACTGTAGTGACACACGCCACTGGATCGATTGGGGGAAGGTCCAGCTCTCATACGTTCGGCCATTCATTTACTTTTGGTATCTACTCGTCTGTGGCGTTTCGAGCCCAGACGAGTAACACCCTTTCACGAAAGGGGTGGGTATCTTTACACGGGCCACGGGGGCTCGGTATGTCTGCAGCCGGTGGGTAAGTAATATTCCATTGCCTCGGCTCCAACGCTTTATGAGTAGCCGAGCGTGATGATGGAAACAGTGGGCCGTGGATTACCTCTACCAACCCATGCATGAGCGCGCCAAGTGCGGCTCTATCAGATCGGGGGAAGCTGCCGTTCGCAATGTCCGGTCTGGGATGCGAGCTGGGCTTGGTTTGAGCGGCTCCTTGCTTGGCTAAAACGGCCCGGGCCTCTCCTTTTCCTCCCCGAAGCGGCGGCCGACACGAAGCCGGCCAGCAATAGATGATGAGCGCGGGTCTTATCTCGCTCAAGGTTGTATCACGACGACACCTCAAAGATATTGACTATGAAGGGCTCGCGGGCTAACGGGCGGAAGATGATAGGTGGTCATGAAGCTGAACAATTATGTTAGTCTTGTCACATCCACTGACGATTTCTGTTCGTGCTCGGTCTTTCGGTACTATCACCCCAAACCATCACATGAGATGGTGACTAATGTAAGTCCAAGTGTCGTTCATATCTCCCAGTGTGGTATCTCGTCCTCTGTGGCATGATGACATTTTCTCGTCTTTGCCTTTGGACTCTAATAGGAAGTCCAAACTACGAGCAAGACAAAAGCTGAGGCTATGGCCATTCCGACCCCGATTGGATATGAATGTTTCTATCGCGGAGATGGAACGAGCAGATGGATGGTCGGTCAGCGCCTGTCTTCCCATCCATACGCTCGTCCAGCCACGGACCTCTAGCTCGATATGGCGACCACGGCAGGAAGTACGGGATAAAGGAGCTGAAGTAGGTACATCGATCATGGGCAGATAGGTGTATGGCTGGAAGGAAAGAACAAAGGTGAGGGCGGATGCGATTCGACAAAAGAGGCAAGATACGGGGTCTAGATCCACCCAGCGGAGGATGCTGGTTGTTGCGATTCCGCGTCGGACTAAGAGGAAAGAACTGCCCGGTTGGTCTTTTAGCCCGTGAGTGGTTGTGCTGAGCATTGCACTTGCATGCAGAGCAAAAGGGAACACTGTCTGGAAGCTCTTTCTCTCCAGTCAGGAAAGAATGAGGCAAGGTCTTATTGATTGCTGGTTGCGAATCGATCGATCTCGGTCCTGAAGCCCTTGCCGCTGGGGTGAGTAGATCTGAACAAGGTACTTTTTGAGACAAGCAAATCAGGCGGTAGCAGCTGAGGTTCAAGAGGTAGAGGTAGGTAAATTCCGTTCTTGACAGCCAGAAGACGAGTGGCAGGAACCTGAAGCTGTCATCAGAAACGGACCACAGCAGGGGAGCCGGCAACTTCAAACAAGGTAGGCACGAATCTCCTCATCGAAAGTCATTTCTTTCGCCCACAACAGTGAGAAAGGAACGGGGCGGACTGCGCCTTCCCTTGCCATTCAGTTGCTTCCCGTATCTCCCGTTCTTTCCTTCCTAGCCGGTGTTTTGCGCCGTTCGGCTTCCTCTCCCGAGTTCCTTCCTCCGTTATCGGCAGTACGTCCGACTCGGAGTTTGCTGTTGGTCAACCCGGCCTGGAGTGGTAGTAGTATCCCCTAGAGTTGCTATCGTTACTACCCTTCTTCGGGCTGGGCATCTATTGCTACATTGCGAGCCTGAGATCTTCGGTTCATTTCGAGCTGGGGATACTTACACCTAGAGGTACGTGACTCACCTGCTATTCCTTTGGTTTCGGTGCCTGAAGAGGACTGCGAATTAGCACAGGGCAACAACAACCTGGAAGTGAAGTGCCCTGATACCACACAAAACTGCGAGTGCGCGAGGTGGCTTCGTCGGAGTGTTCTTGCCTGGTTATGGTCATGGCCAAGATGTGGGACACTCCTTGCTCAGGGGTAACTGCTCAGGAAACACAACGTGGAGGTAAGTACATAGGCTTTGAAAGTGAAAGAACGGATGGTTTGCAGATGGAAGACCCAGAAAGGTAATGCGAGAAATACGATATTCTGTTAAAAGAAGATGCACGCACAAGTAGAAGTCATACCCCCTACGGCTGACAAAAGAGGTAGCTGGCATCATCATCGGGTCCATTTCGCTCTTGGAGGATGTCATTCTCAAATTACGGAATAGGCAGTTGTTGTGTGCCTTCTCTGACCTCAAGGTGATATGGTCTCATATGAATGTGTGAGCTCAACACTTACCTCTAGAACGATGTCAACTGAAGAATTTGAGACGGGGCAACCAGAACTTGTTGCTTCTTGCCCTCTAGCTTGACCTACGACCGAGCCGGAAGTCAATACAAAGAGAAGAAATACCAGATCAGAAATGCGGTGCCTGGAATTTGTCTTCTCCAACCTGAACATCCCATCGTTTGAGTTCTCGCCGAGCTTCCATCCTACAACGTCACCCAACATCAACACCTGCATCTCTAGTACTTCAAACTTACAACCACCACTACATTCTCTTGTCGATCCAGTTTTTTCTTGAAAGAATGGATAGTTCATCCAGTTCATCCGGTTTAGATTCCGCCAGAAACAACCCTCGGACCAAGCTGCCATTCTACAACAAGTATGTCGAACATCAACGCAAGGCAGAGGAGAACAAACACAAGAGCCACTTGAGATTTCGATCAGGGTCCGTTTTGATCACCGATGGCGCCACGCCTACGGGCCGTCAGATTGCCACCATACTCAACAAAAAGGGGCACTACCGGATTCATGCCCTCTACCCGCCCGGCTATTTTCCCAAAAATGTTCCACCGATGGAGCGGAAAAGGCTCGCATATCCCGTGGACAAGATGCACTTCCTAACGCCGGTTTCGAGACACCGGAATTACGTGTCGTGGTACGATGCGGTCGTGGAAATCTGCGTCAAGCACAATATCCACTACATCATACCGCAGCACGACACCATGGCCATCTTTGCGGCTCATATCAAGGAACTCAGGCGACGCGGTATATACGTCCATACTCCCAGACTGACGTCGATTCACTCCATCGTCGACAAATTGGCAATGTATCGCATGTTGAGAGATCTTGAGATTTGGCACCATCCCTGGGTCTTTCTCGGAAAGGAGACAAACTCTCAACATACAATCATGCAGACTGCCGGCTACATCAAAGAATCAGGCAACTATCCGGTCATGTTGACAGACCGTACGGAAGGGTCGGATTCCGTCTATGTGCGCATCGGGTCGAAGAAGGAGCTGGAAGACTACATCCTCGAGGACGAACGCAAGAACGCAACGGAATTCGTCATCACCACGAACACCTTGAGTTCCAAAGGCTAGTTGCACCAGGCCCAGGGTATCTTCAACAACGGCAAGCTGGAGAAATGGCATGGTTGGACCCTCCTCCCCGTGCAGCAAGAAACCACCTCACATTTTCGCAAAACGTCGGCTTATAATCAGAGAGCAGTGCTGGTTCTGAGGGGAATTGGGATGCACTTAAACTGGCATGGCGGCCTGAGTGTGACCTTCTGGCTGCCGATGTACGAACCTGACGCCGAGCCCAGAGTGATGAGGATTGATATGGGTATCCACGAGCCGATGAACGCATACTATTCCGGAGTCGACCTGATCGACGCACTATTGGATCTGAGACTTCCGGAGAATTCAGGAACTGAGTGGGAGGACGGCCCCAGGTGGCAGGATCCTGACCGCGCTTTTGATATGCCCGAGCATCTCACCGAGGAAGATGCTGCAGCAGACGAGACCGGGAAAGACGAAGTGAACGTTAGACAAGACGAGGTGGAGGCTAGGGGAAAGGATGATGACTCAAAACCCTTTCCCTTGCGAGTGATGCTGGTGCCCAACTTTGACCCACCGACTCGTGGGCGTGACGTGCAAGTTCAAGCTACGGCAGATGTCGACTCCAGCAATGCATCCAGACTGTCTCGCGCGGTTACCGTGGTAGCATCGTCAGATGACGGTCCTACTCCATCTGACGATGCTACTCCAGAGAATAGCATAAAAGACTGGCGCACGTTTCACACACTACGTACTTTCCTGGGAGTGGAGGGGCATGGTGGCGATATTTCCGAGGAAGCAGATCTAGGTATTTCTGAGGCAGCACTCCCGAATGGTGGGAGGTGCGAATGGAAGACGGGCGTCACGACACGTCAATTCGTTTTGGAATCTGAACAAAGGATCACGGAGAGTAGGGAGAATTCCATGCTGAAAAGATTGACCACCGTCCTCGGCGATACGACCTGGCGAAAGTCCAAAGAAGAGCACACCCCTTTCTTCTTGAACCCTTGGACAACCAGCATTCGAAACGTGTTTAACGTGGCTAAACAGGTCATCGACCTGTCAGTGAAGGGCAAACCGGGACCGACACTGTTATCCACGCTCCTCCGCGACGACTGGCCACAGCCGAATCCGAGAGGGCTGAGACGTGATCAATACGCCGACATCTTTAAGACGCATCTATGGGACGGACCTACAATGCCTGATGGACCTTGGGGTCTCGCTCTTCCGGTGGGATCGTACTACCACGCGAAGAGGTTCCGTGTTCACAGCCAAAAAGGTGTCCCTTCACGTAATGTTGCCTACCAGTTCTTTGTCAGGCAGGGTCAAGACTACGAAACAGGCACTCTCCTCCCGTTGGGGCATGTATCTCCGAACGACCCCAACAAAAAAGTCTTTAGGACGCCCGTGATGCTTCCTCCAAACCCCTTTGACCTTATCTGGGTAGGCGAAATGCCCGAGACTTGGAATAGCTGGACCTTTGTTCCGGACCCTCATCGACCACGCGACGGTGTGCTAATTCCCTCTCACAATTTGCCGAAAAAGAAGCACATCGCCATTCCCGATGACCCTCAGACTTGGGAGATGACACCAGGCCGATGCTTCTTCTACCGTGGTAGCAGACACCATGTTCCGTGTGGGAACCGACCTTACAGCTATCGCATGGATGACCATATGCGGTACAAATTCAACGACCGGAGGAGAAAGCTGCCTTATCCTCCAGAGAACTTCTACTTTGTGGATGTTACCCTCCGTCCTCCCGTTTCTCTAGAAGATAGCTTTCGACCCATTGTCCCACTGGACCGCGGCATTCCTCGCACAGATATCGTCTATTTCTATCATGCCTCCCGCAGTCGGCCGTACATGGGTATTTTTGTTCCTGCTGATCACTACGAGTTGGTGCAAAAGCAGGCCTATAACTTTCATACCCCACCACGACTAGCACCTGTTCCGGAATCACCACCGACAAGCTCGCTGATCAGATACAGTGCCTCTAGAGGTGTACAACGGAGTTCCCGTGGCGGTAGCGAGTCGGCCGATCAAAGTCCGCGACTTGATTCTGGAAGAGATACCGAAGAGAGAGGGACGCCAACCGAGCCCGAACAGGAGCAAGATACTGCGGAGGAAATCCTAGGCAAACAGACGGACGAGACGGACGAGTGAGTGGTGGGAGTGGTTTGGAGGGTGTTATCATGCTGTATCGATCTCAGCTCCATCACAGTCTTGTCTGCTTATCTTTGTCAGCGTTTGGAGGTATAGTTTCAGGTCCCAGTGATAGAAATATTGAACAGCGATCCGTTTTGTTTCCCACAGTAAAGCTCCCACGCGGTTTTCGTCCTGCACTGAGATATTGACTGTCCGATGTTCTCACCGGATCAAACCTGACATGAGCTAAGACAGTGTATTGACAACGACAAACGTATGCTGATGTTGAAGTCAATGTCTGAGATGGCGATAGCATATATTGAACGGCGAAGTTACCATACCTTACCTTGCCCGGCACATGTTCCGTTGCAGATCAAAACCTTAAAACGTTAATTCCGGCGGGCCGGTGTGGGGCTTCGGCCGGCTGATGTCTGAGACTTTTTCGCTTTTCGGCGCTGTAGTACATATGTATGCGGATCGGGATCGGATTCGGCCCTCGTGGCCAAGGTTCTTCACTTTCCATCGGCCGGGAGCCGGGGGACTCGGTCCACGCCGGCAAGGTATGAGTGCGAGATTTAAACATTTTATATTTTCTCTTCCAAGCTGGTCTGGGGCTGGTGACTCGCATGCAATGTGTGACCTGGCAGAGAGCGCATTTTCTTCACCTTGGCGAGTCTTGGTTTTACAACTGACGGATCCCAATGGAAATGCTGAAGGAGCCTTTGACCGCTAACTTTTAGTGGGTTTTCTACAGTAGCAATCCAGACAGCGGGAAGCATGATGAGTTGTACAGGAATGGATACCGAGGTACTTTTTTGGTGTCTGTACAGAATATACATCTTTTTGCGGCTTTGTCATGGCGATTCTTCGTAATGCATGGAAGTTTACCTTTCATGTGCTGGTGTGCACACCTTCTGTAGAAAATAATCCTGTGGCGAGGGTGAATTGTAATTCCCGTCGTTTTCCCGCTTGCTCTTCGCTCTATCGCTCGCAGATTCTATAAGGTCTGCGACTTCCTTTTGTCAGCAATACTGGTCATGCTTATTTGTGCCTTGCGTCGCAATTCACTCGTTTCATCCAACACCAGGCGGTGATGTCCAGGTGATTTTGTAGAAATCAGGGGAAACCCTTTTTTTTTCGGGGCATTTGTTGCGACCGGGAACCCCTGCGCAACAGCTGACGTGATAGCGCGACCGATAACACGCAAGGACGGGAGCGGCGAAATTCCCATCATTCACAAAGCAACAAATCCGGCTTTCATTCAACGCAACGCCGCGGCGTCCATCCCATTTAACCAACTGAACCTCCATCCATCCCTTTCCTTGGTACCCCCGATTTGCCAAGCGCCACCACAGCAAACAAATTCCAACATTCTTTTTTTCTTCCCGTCCCTTTCGAATCTTCAATTCTCTCCCGATCGCGACTCAGAAAGTCCAGTCAACTTCGTGCTGGGAAGTTGAGAGAAACAGGTCGGCGCGCCCTTTCTCAACCACATCGTCGCCAAGATGGCGTGGTCAAAGACGACGCGCATCCAAGTGATGCTGGCGATCGATGTCATGTTCTTCCTTCTGGAACTGTCCGTCGGTCTCGCTGTCGGATCACTTGCGCTTTTGGCGGATTCATTTCACATGGTATGTCGCATACACTGGGACTCACCAAATCTCTCTCTCCGGTCTCGTTTTCCGACCAAGACCTTGCGTTGCTAACTCTAGGCATCGTGTATAGCTAAACGATATCATCTCTCTACTCGTCGGATTGTGGGCACTGTCCTTGACCAAGCGGGCAACAACAGATCAGTTCTCCTACGGTGTAAGTTTTGCGATCCGGTGTGGTGCCTGATCCCATAATCTTTTACTGACCGGGTGCGACTGTGATAGTGGCTGCGCGCGGAAATTCTCGGTGCCTTCTTCAACGCGGTATTCCTGATTGCGCTTTGCGTATCCATCGTTCTCGAAGCCGTCGGCCGATTAATCGACCCACCCACCATCGAAAACCCGAAACTGATCTTGATTGTTGGATCACTTGGCCTTGCGTCGAACCTCGTTGGTTTCGTCGTTCTCGGCGGACACGGTCACTCCCACGGCCCCGGCGGACACGATCACGACCATGACCACGATCAAGGCCACGCCCACAGCCATGACGAACATGCGCATAGCCACGCGGGTGCCCACGAGCACGACCACGGTTATCAGAACAGCGCGGTCGCCGAGGAAGGACGCGCGGGGATAGCGAGCGATGCGCACAGTCACCAGACGGGTAGGACCCGGAAGTCGAGCAACGCCAGACACGCCCGCTTCACGAGCATCGAAGACATGCAAATTCATCCGGCTAGCTTCAGGCAAGAGATCATTGAGGCTAGCAGGCTGCAGGAGGAGTCGTCCAGCAGTGAGAATAGCTCCGACAACGAAAACGGCGGACATGATGATGACACCAACACCGAAAACACCCCGTTGATTGGAGGATCGAATGGACACAATCACCAACATTATGGCGCGCACTCATCTTCGTCAAAGAAGGGGCGACAGAATTCGAACGTTCACCGCGAGCACCACCACATCAAGCCGAAGAAGGCAAGCAAGGGCGGACACGGACACAGTCATGCCGACATGGGCATGAACGCCATGGTTCTTCATGTCATTGGAGATGCGTTGGGTAACGTGGGAGTCATTGCTACAGCTCTGGTTATCTGGCTCACAAACTGGCCTGGACGCTTCTACGCCGACCCTGCCGTCTCGCTCTTCATTACCATCATCATCCTCCGCTCAGCCATCCCGCTCACTCTTGCGGCTTCCAAGATCCTTCTCCAGGCGACGCCCGAGCACATCGATCTCAAGCAAATACGGGAAGATATCCAAGACCTGGAGGGCGTAGTCAGCTGCCACCACGTTCACGTCTGGCAGCTCGACGACACGAGCTTGGTTGCCTCGCTGCACATTCAGGTGGACTTCCCCATTTCGGCGGCCGGCGGTGACAAGTACATGGAGCTCTCCAGGCAGGTCCGGACCTGCCTGCACGACTATGGAATCCACAGCGCCACGATCCAGCCCGAGTTCTGCCTCGACACGACACACAACCATACCGGGGAGGCCGCGACTTCGCCCCGCCTGGACGGCTCGCCCGGATGCGGCAAGGCGGATGGGAATTGCCTGCTTGCCTGCGTTGAGGATTGCTCTGGCCGGGGATGCTGCGTTGTGCCGGACGCGTCGAGGCCGGAGAGCACTCATTCTCATGATGGGGATGGCCATCATCACCACTAGGCTTGGCTGGATTGGCTGTTCTATGATTAATTGAGCAGCAATTTAGAATCCATGGGTTTCACTTCTCGACGTGACCAAGGTCATTTGTTGTTCTGATATATCTTGAATTTGGACCATGGAGTGAACATGAGCATTCTATTCGAATCATCATTCCTGGCCAATATGTTTTCGGCATGGTGCATTACAAAGGGGTAGGGTTTTTTTTTCAAGCGTTACACGGAGCAGCGGAATAGGTGTTATGGTTACACTTGGGTTTGAGGGAGGGAATATTGATAAACGTCATTACGTGCATGCGAGTGAGAGGATACACAAAATATCATAGGTATGGCATCTCTGTACTGCACATGAGGTCTTACAGCGCCGATATGTGTCTTTTGAGCATACACAGCATCAGAATGGAGTAGACTTTTGCATGTTGGCCTTCCTGTGGCCCTACAAGTAACTGAGCGGTTCACTGCCACACTGCTTTCAGACGAATATGAAACGAATTCACAATCCACTGCTTCATTCAGGGAGTATGATCTGCGAGGAGGCTCGGATGAGATGTTACATCCTCGTCTAGGGGAGGATAGCGGACATTGATATTGCTCAACTCTATCAAGCTCCGACCTCGCAACTGCCATCTGCGCACGAGCCAAGTACCGCGGCTTTGTTCCCGATCTGACATGCCGCCACAAATGCTTATCTTATCCCGAGCTGCCGAATCAACGACAACAACTCACCGAATGACACAACCACTTCCGTCCAACCCCGTCACTTCCTCCATCTCACCGTACATAAAAGTATATCTCTCATTAATTGTTATTAAGCATTGAAAAGACTTGGTGACATTCAATTCTCACCTGGATGAGATTACTGCGATTTTACTGATTTCCTGATTCAACTACCTTTGCTACGACAACCCAAACGAAAGGACAAACCGATGTACCTCGTTTTTGCCTTGTCCTCTTACATAATATGTCTTGCTGAATAATTCTTGAGTTCAGTTTCCCTCTTTTTCTCCTTGCACTCTGTTCACGCTTCACCACCAATTACCACCATAGGCAAGATGGATACATCCGGTGAAGCCAACCCGGATCTTGAGTCTTTCCGTGAGCAATGGAGAGCAGAGGTCCGGGCTAGACGCCCAACAACCCAAGCCTCATCATCTTCCCAACAACAACCACAACCACAACAACCACAACAACAAACGACACTCTCCGCAGCAGAGCTTGCGGCAGAACATCATCTTCACCCCCGGAAACCCCCGCCAGCACCGGCCAAAAAGGTTGTTGCACCCCGTCAGGACTATGAAGACGACTATGTTCAACCGAGGTCTTTTGATGCACCAAACGATGGAGCTGCGGCCGCGTCCACGTCGGCACAAGGAGGATGGACGGTGAACAAGACGATGAAAGATCCGGTCACGGCGCTTGATCACTATGAGAAAGCGGTGGAGAGGGAGGCGGCGGGTAGCTTGGGTGATAGTCTGAAGCTGTACAGGAAGGCATTCAGGGTATGTTTTCAAGCAGTTTTCTTGAATCGCACAACATTTCACTTCCTTATAGACGCCCAGAATCTGGCTAACTCGGGATGTTCACAGATGGATGATAGCGTGGATCAGAAATACAAAAACAAGTACTTTCCAAAACAAAAGGCCAAACCGCCTGCGGCGGCCCCTGTTACTGCTGGTGGTACTGAGAGTGCTGCCGCCGCGTCAACACCGGCGGAACAGCCGCAGACCATGAAGGAGCTGATCAACAGCTTTGCGGGGTTAGCCATCGAGCCGGCCGGTCCTCCTGTAGAAGGAATGCCACCGCCTCCGTGTCCCATTGCGTCTCTTCCTGAAGAGCTTCTGGTTCACATTATGCGCGACGTGGCAATCCTCGACGTTGCTGACTTTGCCCGTCTTGCGCAAGTTTGCAAGAGGTTCGCTTTCCTAGTCGCCACCGAAGATCGAATCTGGCGACGCATCTGCTTGGGCGACGAGTTTGGGTTTGGTGGCATGCACTACCACTGGCAGCGGCAACTTACTTGGGAACCGTTGACCGAGGAGGACCTTCTCACCGAATTCGAGGAGCAAATGCAAGCACAGGAGAAGGCCCGAGCAGAAAAAGCCGCGGAGCTCGACAAGGACGCCGCGGATGATGATGATGAAACCGCAGAGACCCCAGACGTCTCTCTACTGCTCCCCCTAACCCCCGAACAACGAGCAGAAAAGCACGCCGAAGAGTCGCGAGCCACCACCCTAGCCTTCTACAAGACCCTCTACAACTCCAGCTGGCTGCGCATGTGGCGTCTCCGTCCCCGCATCCGCTTCAACGGCTGCTACATCAGCACCGTCAACTACATCCGCACCGGCCAGGCCAACGCCAACGCCACCACCTGGGGCAGCCCCGTGCACATCGTCACCTACTACCGCTACCTCCGCTTCTTCCGCGACGGCACCGCCATCAGCCTGCTCACCACCGCCGAGCCCGCCGACGTCGTCTACCACCTCACCCGCGAGGCCGTGGCGCTGCATGCCGGGAAAAAGGCTACGAACGCTAACAACGCCGTCCCTACACACCTCCCTAGCGTGCCGATGCAGTACGCCCTCAAGGGCCGCTGGCGGCTGACTTCGGCGGCGGATAACCCGGCTGCGCCGTTGAATGAGATCGAGGGCGATTTGATTGTTGAGACGGAGGGCGTGGGAAAGTATATCTACCGCTTGGATTTGACGCTCAAGTCGGCGGGAAAGATGGGGGCCAAGAATAATAAGCTTGTTTGGAGGGGGTTCTATAACTATGATAGGATGACGGATGATTGGGGCGAGTTTACGCTGAAGCATGATAAGCCGTTCTTTTTCAGTCGGGTTAAGAGTTATGGGGTTTTGGGAGAGTAGAGTAGAGAGCTTGGGTTCGGGGCTGCTCTGTAAGAATGCCGAGACTGGAAGGGTTTTGATTTTGGAATGATATGATGTTCATCCAGTTCAAGTTAGATTGTTTGGCGGGCGGTTATTGATGGTAAATGTATCAAGATTTTTGAGTAATAAAGTGCAAATATTTCGTTAAACCACCATGGCTATGGCTGATATCTACGGCACTGTTGTTGCTGTGTAATATTTGTTACCAAACTTTCAGGGGCATGTAAAATATACGTACCTGTATTTTACGTACCCGTATCACTCACCTCGGTCAGCCGCATCACGCACTCGGCATACATTCTGCCACATATTCCCGCCTTTCGGCTCTCCGGTTGGTTCTTGCCTGCCTGCCTGCCCGCAATCAGCAACACCGACGGAAGCTTTGAGAAGCTCAGACTTGAGTTCACCTGTCATTGACGACGTCACTTTGATACAGTAGTACGTACCGACCTTCATTTGAATTGATCGTTCATTCACTAACGGACGGATCAAACTAGCATTCATCCAAGTTAATCTCAAAACAAACCCTCCCTGCTCACTTATCAGCAGCAGCAGCAGCAGCAATCAATATCTCAAAGTCTTGGCATCAAACCATTTGAAGCAATACAAGCAAAATGGCCGCCAAAAAGCCAGTCAACTGGTGGCTCTGGACCAAGATGCTACTCGGGTATGCTTTCACCCCCTTCACCCCCTTATTTCACCACCCCCTCGATGAACACTCCCGAAAAAAAAGAGATCTAACATGCCCCTTCCTTTTCACCCAAAAAAACAGTGGAGCAGCCATCTGCGTCGGCGGTCCCGCCTTCACCTACTGGCTCACCCCCACGGACGAGGAGCTCTTCCAGAAGTACAACCCGGAGCTGCAGAAGAGGAGTCTAGAGCGCAGGTTCGAGCGTCAGCAGGAGTTTGACGACTTTGTTACCAAGTTAAAGGAGTACTCCAAGAGTGACAAGCCGAGTAAGTTTTTTTGTGTCCCTTTTTGTCGGTCCCTTGGTTGGTGATTCGGTTTCAGGTTCTTGTGGGGGAGGGAGATGGATAGAGATGGGGATTCGGACGCGGATTAGGATAGAGATGGAGATGGGGATGGGACAAAGCAGGATGAAGATGAGATAAGTGAGAGATGAGTATGCTTGCTGACTTTGACTTCTCTAGTCTGGACGGTTCAGGCTGAGGCCGAGGAAAAGGAGAGACAGCAGCGGGCGTCGGTGCAGAAGAGTCTGGCGTTGGCGGACGAGGTGAAGGCTAGGAAAGAGGCTATGAGGCGTGAGGCCGGTCTTCCGGTTGAGAAGTAGTGGCTGGGCTGGCACACGTTGGGGGTGGTCATTGGACTTAATTAGGCGCCTTGGGTTGTATCATTATGGTCTGTACAAACTGTGTATTCATAAGATGGGTTCTGAAGAGAAGGCGTTCAAAAGGGTCTTTGGAAATTTAAAAATAGAGATGATCAACTTTTGGTCCCGAGCCCCGTGTGCAACATCACGATTATTCGTCAGTAAAGACTCAAGGGGAAAACCCTTGCTTCGCTCGGGAGAAGAGAGCAAATCATAGGACGATAATCAACTTTGAGCATATCGTGAAGCTAATGTCTTGTGTACATCCACGTTTGCAAGTATGGGCCCATGAGGAACACCATAGTAGACGATGATGTCAATTGTCAAATCTCAAGGTGAGGCGAGCTTGCTTTCTCGGTGAATAGGAAAAAAGTCAAGGTGAGCAGCAAGGCAGGTGGAGTAAAAATTTGATGCGGCTCCTCTAGCTGAATATCCCAGGCTGTCCAGCACATAGGACTGTTCCACAAGCTGGTGATGAGTATGTCGATATCAACCGTTTATAGCCCACAGGCAACTTCCAGTTTCACCAGTGATTGTAGCCGGCTTGTTTACTCGAACGTTTCGAAACATGCGATAAGCTCAACATGGCGGCGGGGGTGGAGGGATTCTTAAAGAACATTGTTTTTAAGCATGCACGGACCAGCTGCCCAACCAGCACCGCCGCGAAACGTTCACACACCACCCCTCTCTCCAGCCAGCAGCCTGAACCCCCCCAGCCCGCAAGCCCAGAGCCCACACTGCCGCCCACAGGTCCTTGATGAGGTCCCAGCGCCAAACTAACCCTGAGCTCCAAGGTTCACCGAGATCTCCCGCACCTTTCGCTTTTTCCCCACAACAGATCAATCTCACATCCTCTCATCACCAAACAAACCGCCAGCAAAAATGTCGGATGTTCAGGAGCGTTTGAAGAAGCTGGGCGCCTCGGCCCGTATCGGTATGTTGTCGCCCGTGTTTTCGCTCTGTAGGATGAGGTTCTGTTCGACAGGCTAACAATGGTGGTTTCCCTCCGCTTTAGGGTATGTAGAAATTTGAATATCACTCGTCCATCGCTCTCGCACACAACACGCACAAAAAAACGAGCCAGCACCGAATTACCCCTCCATTCTTTCGCGCGCGCCCTCGAATACCCCCCACACAAAACCTCCCCACGCGAGCCCAGAGAAAGGCGATGAGAAACATGCAAATGCAGACAAAACGAGAGGCTTTTGATTTCTGACAATGGACTTTTTTTTTGAAATGAAATAGTGGCAAGGGTACTCCCCGCAGAAAGGTCAAGAGAGCGCCTGCCCGCTCCGCTGGCGATGACAAGAAGCTCCAGGCCACCCTCAAGAAGGTCAATGTTCAGCCCATCCAGGCCATCGAGGAGGTGAACATGTTCAAGAGCGACGGCAACGTCATCCACTTCGCCGCCCCTAAGGGTACGTACCGATACGCCCAGTTTCAGTTTCGCGATATGGAGGGGCCACCTTGAACTGGGTTTGGTCAAAACTCTTTGTATGCGAGAGTTATGACCTACTTAGTCAGGGAGCTTCTTGACATATTGCGACAGCTAAGCTCCAACGTTGCTTGGGACTTGTCTGCTAACAAAATGTGTTTTCTTGTGCCACAGTCCACGCCGCTGTCCCCGCCAACACCTTCGCCATCTACGGCAACGGTGAGGACAAGGAGCTCACTGAGCTCGTCCCCGGCATCCTCAACCAGCTCGGCCCCGACTCCCTCGCTTCCCTCCGCAAGCTCGCTGAGAGCTACCAGAACATGCAGAAGAACGAGAAGGACGCTGAGGAGGATGACATCCCCGATCTCGTTGCCGGCGAGAACTTCGAGAGCAAGGTCGAGTAAATTACAAAAAAAATAAAATACTCCCTCTCTCTGTTTGATTCCCCCAAAAGCGCGGTCCTTACCTCCTTCATATTTGCGGTGACATTTATCATGGTGTGCTGCGTTGGGGAACCACGGGGTCTCTTCAAACCCGCTCTATATGGTCGTTCAATGTCTTCTTCTGATGGCTTATTTCGATGCGGAGCTGGGAAATGATCTTTACATGGTATTTCTGCTGTCATCTTTCAGTTTGGCGACAACGGATGTTACTTGGTATATGTGGCAATGAGGCGGAAAGGCGTGTGAAATCGTCTTGGACCGTCTCGTTTTGCTCCTGGACTCTACTGAGAAAGACTGTGGTTGAAGTGATGGATATATGAATGACGCATGCTACATCGGCAAACCAACGATGTATATAACCAAATCAAAACAACTATCCAAGCACTGGTAAATGCAGACCTTGCTGCCTCTCAACTGTTGGGCTGTAAGGATTAGGGATCATGGCCCATATGACGACAAGGAAAAGATGGTTTGGAGACGAGACATGTCTTGCATCCAAGTGTGCATCTGAATGTCACTCGTACTGTACATGACGACTCCATCAATCTCAGCAACCACTCCCCAGACCCTTTCTCAACATCCCTCTTACTCAAGCTTGAAGCTCCCGTCCCCGGTATTCCTCACCCAGCCTTTCAATGCCACCCTCTTCGCCTCCTCCTTCGCCCTCCGTCTTCCCGCAAGCAAGCTACTTCCATCCTTGATCTCATCATAGGCAAGATCCGTACTTCCCAGGGCTTGCTTGATCTCGCCATCATCCTCGAGCTCCATCGCCGAGCAAACCTCCCTCGCCAAAGCCCACATCTTCCGCCGAGAGACCAGGCTGGCTCCCCGCGGATCAAACTGCTTCCGGCCCTGCAACACGCCACCCACCAGACCCTCTCCGTCACGCGGACCGTTGAGCGTCCACGACGTAGCGAGGTTGCTTGCTATGAGCTTTTTTGTCTTCGTGTCCGTCGGCTCCGTCGACGCAGAAGTAGAACTCGAAGGGAGTATAGCCCTCCTAGAAAAAGCAAACTCCATCCTCGTCGTCTCCACCCTAAACTCCCGAAAGGTATATCCCGCACCAGCCAGCTTCGCGCTCACGCTCGTGTCAAGTAAGGGCGCCATCCGTCCCTCGTCAGCGACAGAAGAAAAGAAACACCGGCTACAAGCCGCAACGGAGTACTGTGACTCGGGCAGGACGACGGTAGACAGGTATGCGTTCGCAGGCGAGACCAGAGTGCTGGTGAGAGAGGACAGGAGCGATGTCACTTGCTTCAGGGCGAGCTTGTCGGAGCAGGACTTGGATAAGCTCGGCGGAGCGTCGCCGCGCGAGGGCTTGCGGCGGACGATGCCGAGTTGGGAGAAGTAGGCGCGGCCGGGGAGGGGGGTGTCATCTGTTGATGCTAGTGCTGGGGTTTGGGTTGGTAGGTCTCCTGGTGTTGGGGAAGGGATTTCCCAGGGCGAGGTGTCGTCTTGGGCGGCCATGATTAGTTCCATGCTTGCGTCTCCGCCTGTGAGGGGGTGTTAGTCGTTTGCCTTTATTCTGTTTGACTCTCGTCTATGGCGATGAAGGATTTTGCGCAACGGGGACACGTACAAGGTGCTTCAGAGCAGTACATGTGTAGGGACACATCTTCTCTCCAGGCATAGGGCTGTCCTTGCCATACGTTTGTTGTTCCTTGTTGTTCGTTGTCTTTATGTTGTGCTGTGGTCCTTCGGTAGATGAACTCGGACTGCGAGACACCATCACCCTGAAGAGCGAGGCGTTTACACTCTTCGAGGACGAACCGATTGAAAGCTCGTATAGTAAGTATCTCGGCGTGCCAGTCATGAATGGCCACTCCATTGGCTTGGGGCAACTTGGATGCCGGAAGGCACTTCATACCAGTTCTAAGACCGTCATTTGCATCTTTAGCTTCACCAACAGAAAGAACCATCTCCCGTGATCATGAGGCACATTGGACACTCGAGCGGCCTCAGCAGCCTTCGTACGTACTTACGCCAAAGCTACACATTTCAGTCCGCTTGGGCCTAGAGATCGTATTAGTTAGGATTTTGGAACTCTGCTAGGCATACGACGAGTACCACCTTTGGCTACAATGCCGGCCATGGGAACCCATTCATGAAGACCATTGTCGCGGACACTAGGCTTTCGTTTGGCGGGGAGTTTGTTGAACTCTTCAAGAACAGCAGAGGCTATTACGTCTGCATCAATCATTGTAACTTTGCAAAGGCAAGGTCGGTGTAATTTGACGTTTTCGTAAGTTTGGATGATTGGGAAAGAACGACTTGGGACATCCTCCAAACTCTCAAGATGAAGCACTTGTGCTTGACAAGGGTTGGGGTTAGCACTTGATAACCACTGCTCACTGTAAAATACCACCAAATAATCAAGCAGACTGCAGGCACCAAGTTCAGATCATTAAAAGGACGGAACTTTTCGGATGGAGGTTCCATAGGGGTGTTGATGAGTGCACCTGGTTCATGCCATTTATATCGTGGTGGTACTTCGCGACCCAAAGGTGAAGGTTGATGTCGTCGATGGTGAATTGGGCTATCGATTTGCTGGAGGATGACGTCCTACAGCCCGGACCAGCTGGCAAATAAGTGGCGGCAATTGAGTCCAGCCCGTGTTGCCAGCCCGCTGCCAGCCCACTTGAGCCACCCCAGCGCTGAGATGGGCCGCGTGGTCCGTGCAGCCAGCCTATCACAGGGCAGCCCTATCGCACAACCTCGCTGCGGAAAGAAATTGAGGAAAATCGACGCTGGAACATTGCACCTTCGAGGAAGCATCTCCCGACAACCGACAATCTCGACAGCAAACCGCCACAATGAGAACGTACGACGATACCTTCTCCGGCCAGAGGATCTACCCTGGAAAGGTACGCGTTTTTTGCCCGTCCAAAATGATTTACGGCTCTAAAATGCGACCGGGATCGAAAGCCGTGGGGAATTGGTCTTGGTCTTGGATTGGGGAGGGACCGACTTGGCGAGAGCGAGCGAGAGATATTGACGGATCTCGTCCCCGCGACGCCGACGACATTTTGATTGAGGGGGATGATGAAGGACCAACAAGAACAACAAGAGGAGGGATATACAGCCACCGTGACAAAAGTGCTGACATGTTTTCTTTGAAACCGTTAGGGTAAGCTGTACGTCCGTGGCGACAGCAAGATCTTCCGTTTCCAGAACGGCAAGTCCGAGTCGCTTTTCCTCCAGCGCAAGAACCCCCGCCGCATCGCCTGGACTGTCCTCTACCGCCGCCAGCACAAGAAGGGTATCTCTGAGGTACGCAAGAAACTACATATCCGCACTCGGGCCCATTCTTCTTCACCCGTTGCGCACACCGTCACCAGCCCCCTATTCTACCGATTCCGCCGAAACAATATCGAAGACCTCGAGATTATGACGGAGAGGGATATCGCGAATACGGATACATGGGACGCGCGCGCAGCTGGGTGAAGGGGATGATGGGGGGAAACCGTTGCGCGAAGCAGATGACTGACACCCATTACAGGAGGTTGCCAAGAAGCGCTCCCGCCGTACCGTCAAGGCCCAGCGTGCCATCGTTGGTGCTTCCCTCGATGTGATCAAGGAGCGCCGCTCCATGCGCCCCGAGGCCCGCTCCGCCGCCCGTCTCGCCGCCATCAAGGAGTCTAAGGCCAAGAAGCAGGAGACTCAGGCCGCCAAGAAGGCTGAGAAGGCCAAGAACGCCGCCAACCCCAAGGCCCGTGTCACCTCCAAGCAGGGTGCCAAGGGTGCGCCCGTCAAGGTCGCTGCCAAGTCCCGTTAAATGCGGTCTTGTCGGTCGGGGGACACGATGATGTGAAAGGGAGAATGGAATGTCTTTACGGTCCTGCGTGGCAAGCTGGAAGGGATACGCGGAGTCGGTCTGGTCGGTTCTCGGTTCTTTTTTTTGCCTGCACTCAGCTGGAGGGTTTTCGTCTCGTTTAACGAAAACAATACAACAGCTTGGTTTCTGGAAGGGCCGGTTGCATGGATCCCTGCGTCCAACGGATATGACATCAAACGCTTTGCATGGGTAGCTTAACAGAATGCCGACTTATGCATTGGTCAAGAACGAACAAAACACATATCCCACCTCCCTGTGATACTAGGGAGGCGAGAGACAGTTTCGGGGCCGTTGGGACGAAGGAACGGGGATCTGGCAATCATAATATAACGCTGCACGGCGAAAGGTTCAGCGGGCAAAAGGCATTCCACGCGGCTTCTATTCTATACTTCGTGATACTCTATCAAGCGGATACCCAGTCACAACAAGAGTCCTCAGCGATCACCATCGCGTCTCCCTTGACATATGTTTTGGTTCCCATTATTTCTCTATATGAGTGTTGCCGGTGATATCATTAAGTACTATGCGCCTTTGTTGTGTTTATCCCCTTGGCTTTTCCATCCCCCTTTTATCCGTTTAGAGCTTAGCCAAGACACCCTCGGCACCAGTGTTGGCAATGCTCTTAGGCACCTCATCCAACTCGGCGTAGGTAACCTTGCCGTGGTCAATGACAATAGCATAACGCTTGGTGCGGTCACCCTGAGTCCAGCCGATGGTCTTGCTGAACTTGCAGTCGGCGTCGGACATGAAGAGCTATTTCAGTCGTTGCGTGTCAGTTATTGCACTTCAGGTTTCCCGTACGTTCTGTTTGTGAGGAGGGAGGGAAGGACGGCATGAAATATCACTCACAATAGACTCATCCTTGACACCGTTGGCCTTGCCCCAGGCAGCCATCACCCACGCATCGTTGCTGGCAATGAAGACGATCTGGTCGACACCTTTGGACTTGAACTCCTCGAGCTTGGCCAGGTACGAGGGGACGTGCTGTTGCTGGCAGGTGGGGGTGAAAGCACCGGGGACGGCGACGAGGACGACCTTCTTGTTCAGGAACTCTGTGTTGTGGGTGAGATTGCGTTAGTAACTCGTGAAAAAGAACCGGATGAGGTGAGTTGTTCAAGTAACCCATGGCATGTTTGCTTACCCTTGCTGGCATCGTACTGGATGGGAAGACCGCAGACGGTCAGGTCGGTGTCGCCGCTGGGAGCGACGTAGGTGAAGGTAACACCTTCGGGGAAAGAATCACCGGCCTTGAGAGCAGACATTTTGTTGGTATTGTTTTTGGAGTATGTGAAGTTCTTCGGTTTCAAGCTTGTTGTTTCGTGGGGGGAAAGGGGAGGTGTGAGTTTCTTGTGGTTGAATTTAAAGCTTGACGGAGCTACCTATATGAGAGAAGCTGATGTGCTGTTATCAGATCATGTTTCCAATCACAGCGGGGTCGCTTTAGAGGGGTTCTCCGTTCTCCGTTCTCCGTTCTCCGTTCGGCGGGCACGGCAGGAACCATTGCGAAGCCTCCAGTAACATCAACCGGAAGGCATCGACAGTGGAGACAGCGATCAGTTGCCCTGGAAAGGGTGGCCGTTAAGGTGCCCTTTCTCAGTGAACGTCAATACTCGTCGGTTAGATGGGAACGCTTGCAGCCAGCCAACCAACTTTCCTCGTCCCTCTTGAGAACCGACGAGTAACTTCCAGGGCTTGCGGTTCCTGTTCATTGTCACGTCAAAGTGGGACAGACCTCGAGAGGATTGTTGCCTTGGATTGCGCGATCGCCGAGCTTCATTGCATGTGCCAGATCAGAAGCGAATGGATGGCCTCTTTTACTCATTCTCTTTTCCAAGTTCCAAAAACTCTCAGTTTTTGTGTGGCCGATAACCCAACGATTCTCCTCGATATTCCTCACCTCCGAGAACGGCTTTCACCTTTCACTCCTTTTTCCTTTTGCGCCGTATTTGAGAGAGAGGCCTGACGTCCCTCGGTTTCATCTCGGTGTTGCCCTGAGGACCTTGCTGTCTCTTGAACCCGTCATTGTAAACACTTCTTCTGGTTCTTCAGACTACGAACGCTGGCGGTCCTATCATTGGGCCACCTCAGTCATACATTTTCTGCCTGTCACTCAAATCATGATTACTCAACTATATCTTCCTGTTTCACTACACTAAGGGCTTGACCAAAAGAGGTGTCTCGCACCGAGCTGTAGCGGCTCGCTTTCGAACCCCGCCAGCTCGGATCCTTCTATGACTGCTGTCTTCCGTCAGCACGTGCGACACGGAAATCATAGTCCCTGGACTATGATGACCTTTGATTTGTATTAAAGGCCAGGCGTTCATATCATTTGTCTCTTGAATCATCCTGCACTTTGTCTAAGAATATCCAGGAGAAAGTCGCTGGGTGTTCACCCTCCTGTTCTACGATTATTAAAGTTCCCCTGTTACCCCTGTTTTGGTACCTATCATACCCTTTAACCGTCGCCATGGCAACCGAGTCAAAGCCCCCATTTCCGCCGTTCACGGCCGAAACAGCCCAGATCAAAGCCAAGGCCGCGCAAGATGCATGGAACACAAAGTGACTATACCTTCACTATCTGCTTGAGGTCCGATTTCGTTGGCTGACCTTTGTCGAACTTGAGAAATGCGGAGGCCGTCCAGATGGCCTACACTCCAGACTCCATCTGGAGAAACCGCGACACCTTCCTGCAAGGTCGTCCAGAGATCGCTGAGTTTCTGAAGAAAAAGTGGTCAAGAGAGAAAGGCTATCGCTTGAGGAAGGAGCTATTTGCTTTTACAGACAACAAAGTCAGTCGTTATTCCTTCCTGATGGGGGCAAGATTGCTGCCCAGAGCTAACTTCCGTGTCCGCTGAAATCAGATCGCCGTTCAGTTTTGGTACGAGTGGTATGACGAGTCGGGTCAGTGGTGGCGGACATACGGCCTTGAGGACTGGACTTTTGCCGACAATGGCCTCATGAGGAAGCGGCAGATGAGCGGGAACGATGTGAAGATTGCGGAAGAAGAACGTTGGTTCAAGGAAGGTGTCAACGTTAACGAAGTGACAATCACCGAGAAACACTGGTGAATGACTTTCAGGTTGGTTCACTTGGACAGAAAGCTGCAAGGTACGACCTACAAGTTTGGCATGAGGCAGGTCTTGGTGCCAGATCTTGGTGGGAAGGAACATTGATGTATGACAGGGCATACGCAGAAAATATGGCAGATGCCTGTTTATCTTTCTCTACAACACCGATAACTTGAGCAGGCGGTGGCAGCACGAAAGCGTCGGATTAAATTCCATATTTCCACAGCTTCACAATTCCGTCCGAACAATCTCAGCAAGGAACCAAGCCAAAATTTCCTAGATTTCGACCCCGCTGTCCTTCTTGCGTTCGAACCGTACTTGCTCCCATCAACTAAAGCAGCTTCATGGGAATCACCAAGCGGCCAGGAACACTTGACCAGCAAGTCCCAATCATTTCGACATGTCGAAGCACAAAAATTCTTTGTTCAAGCCTAATCCCAGGTCAGTACAGTCATGATTTTGTGTATCGTCTTTCTGAAACTTGACTGACTTGGACAGTGTTTGGGACGTAGCTCCTCCAGGCGTGAGTTTGGAACTGGCGAAATGGTCAGCCGATCATTTCCAGCGACACGGCCGGCCTTTGAGACTGGCTATCGACGCACATTACTGGCAAGATCACTTTGATAATGATTTCAAAGTCGACTGGCTACGCAAAAGTTTGTTACCATGGGCGGTCATAACTTGACTTTGGCAATGCAGAATGCTGACAACTGATTCTAACAGACTCTCGCGAGGTTAATGCGGTCGAGAAAACAGTCATGTACCAGATTATGACCTTGCTGGAGCTGAGCATACACCTCATTTTCGTCTTTGATGGCCCAGATCGCTACAACCAGCACGATCTTGACTCAAAACCAAGCAAGCCAGAAAGTATATGTTTGCTCAAAGACCTATTGAACCATCTAGGTGTCCCTTTTCATCAGGCACCCGCGGAAGCAGCACCCGCATGCGTCAAGCTCCAACAACTGGGTGTTGTCGATTCGGTTTGGACGAACCACAGCGTGGCTCTCACATGCGGATGCCGCGAGATTGTCTTGTTCAAGGAGCAGCACCGACACTGGAAGGGTGCAGGGATAAGTGACGAGTCCGTGACCAAGCACGACGCCCTGGCTTTGCTGCAAAAGTGGGATCTTGACCAGTCGAGCCTCGTTCTAGCGCTCCTGCTCGGAGGATGCGAATATTCAAGAGGCCTTCCGGGATGGCTCGTCTCAGTTATATATGCGGGGCCGAAAGATGTCGGTGTAAGTTCGATAAGAATTCCGAGTTAGACACCGCGCCGAAGATGGTTAGATTGCGACGATAGGTCTCAACTACCGAAATCAAAAGGGGATATAGGAGGGCAATCTCGTGCTCATGCTCCAATCCAGCAGAACGATGAAACGAAAACAACGAGCTTGTCTTCTGATCCCGAGCTCACTTGCGCGAGACTTACCGACCGAACAAGCAGAATGACTCGGGATGCCAGGCTACGATTCATTTTCCAGGTACCCGGGACGGCGCTTGGACCTTAGACTAAAAGGAAGGAGAACTGGCCCCCATTCGGAAATGTGGCGAGTCTGTTTTGATAACGATCACCATGTCCCTGTTGGGAGTTGGGGTTGTCGCCAGGGGTGCGTTTACCAACATGGCGGCCAGGGGGGAGGGGGGCAGATCATTCATTTGGGTTCTGGGAACGCAGGTGGCAGCATCAGGAGCGTGGGAGACTGGAAGATTTTAAAGTATTTATCGGAAAGAGGAAACGGTATTAACGGCTATTTCTCGTGAGAAGGGGGTTACAGAGTTTGGTCCGAATTTTGTTGATGTCTTCTGGTGATCCTGGGGGTAGGCGCAAATATATCAGTTTGTTGATGAGATACGTATTGCGCGCTGAAGGAATGTATGGAAAACAAGGTTCACGATATTCTAGCACAGAGAACGTGTTTCATGTGCAGATGAAAGGATTTCTTGATAGATGAACGTTAGTCGGTTCATCAGCTTTCAGCTGTAGCACATTGCATTCTCAACATGATCGTTAGTATGAGACCTCTTTATCTTCAGGCGGTGATAAGAGGAAAGATACTATCTTTCAACGAACCAACTAACCAACCGAACAAACCGGTGTTAGCCGAAGGTAATTTTGTACGAAGTATGTGAGCCTTGGGCGCCCTAGGACGTCCAACTGACTTGCTTCAAAAGGATGTTGACCGAGATGAGGTGAGTGTGGAAAAGCCTTCTTGTTGTGCTGTTTTATTTTCGGTATCCGATAGTGGGGAGGCGCTCTGGTGACACCAGGCTCTGGGGAATTCCTGTCGATACCCCTCTGCATCGCCTCTATGCAATGGCGGCAATGAAGATTCTTAATTATCTCGGTCCACGTGTGATTGTGTAAGTGTGGTTTGTGTGAAGGGGGAAGTGAAGACGTGCGTTCAAAACATTGTCCAACTTCCTTCCACCTTGCATTGCGCAAAGAACAAACACCTTTTCCAACCCCAAACCAAAAAAGAAAAATCCAAAACCCTCATTTTCCATATCCTAAACTATGCCCCCATCGAATAAAGAAAGCAAAAAGCTAAGTCGCCCAGGTAGGTTTGTAGAACGAACAACAACGCCCCAGCTGCAGACCTACGAAAACCGCCGCGCCAAGTTATTCATCAACGGTAACCACTGCGCCATGAGACCACAGGGCTCCCCGTTGTGGTAGAGGGACTAGGTAACGGACCTTATATGCCCGCTGGTGCCTGGGCCAGGTCCAGTTTGTTTGGGGCGGCGCGGGGCGGGTCTCATTGTCATCCGATGTCTTGGGAAGAGGGAGTGCCAGGCGGGCGGCGGCGGGTGGCAGGAACGGTGATAGTTAGGTAGGCAGGTAGGCAGGCACCTGGTACCTGTACGCAGCGTGCGTGGGTTTATGAATGTCTTGGTGGCGTTGGCCAGCCAGATGTGAGAGACAAGAATTGAAAGGAGTTGAGAGGAGCGGCTTGACGATGGGAACCTCGAGCGGTCTGTACGTACAATTAACCTTCGGGGAAAATTCGGGCTTCCTCTTCAATTATTAATGTTCCTTGCCTTAGTTTCCCCTCTGAAACAGAAGAATTGTATAGAAGAACCAATAGGTGAGAGAGTCTCCCAGTGAGACTATTGATGCGGCGAAGACATACAGGCGGGAGAGCTGAAAGAAAACCTAAGAAGAAAAAAAAGGGAACTGAATCAAAACGACGTTCGAGAACAGCTTTCTGTGACAGCTAGCTCTAGCTCCAGGCACGCGCGCAGATGTCTCAGAATCACGACCTAGCCAGGCCGGCCGAAACCGCCCAGAACGAACATCGACCGTGGAGAAAGAGGGGAAAAAAGGGGAAAAAAAAAGAAAAGAAGCAAATGATGTCTTACCTTGAATGTGGACTGAGAGAAGCGAAGTAAGACATTATACATCGACATCCGTGCTGGGGCCTGGGGACTTGGGGCACTGGGGAGAAACAAGGGTCCAGGGGTCTTTTGAGAATCTAGAGGATACTTTCACTGCCTGGGCGTGCACTATGTTTTAGCCATCAGGCTGTAGGCTGTGTCCACTAGCCTCTTGAGTCTTGAGTCTCTTGATGTGGTTAAAGTCCAGGGGCTCCAGGGCGCCGATGGATATCCTCCACGACCTTAAATTTCGGTCCTGGGTCAAAGAAGGGAAAGGGTGACTTGATTGGTCCATAGTCCATACACAGCACTCACTTCGCCGGTCCGCCCTGCGGGGAGCTTATGCTCCGGACTCTCCCCAAACCGTTGTCCATGAGGATTTGCAGTCATCGGCCTCCACGTGTATGGAGCTGAACGTTGGCACGTTGGTGAAAAAGAAGGGGTGGGAGATGGGCTGTGGAATAAAACGGCTTGGCTTTACGTATCAATGACGAGAGAGTGGCTCAGTGGGTAGAAGTTCGGAGACTTTATCATTGATGAGGTGGAAGATGAACGGCAGGAGTCTGGAAATACGCAGCCAGTGTGAGGGAGTGAAGGAGCGAGTCCCTTCTCAAGACAAAAGCTATTCGCCTCAGACATTGGACTTTTGCGGTTTCAAAAGCGGGAGAGACATTGAAGTGAATCCATTGGAGCTCTTGTAGCAGCCAGCTGCTGTTGTGCAACCGCAGTGAAGTCTCAAGGGAAGTCTGGGAAAAAAAGGAACGTGTGCTGCAGCCACTATCAACCACGACCCGTCGAGGCCTCTGACAGTCTCTGTCGAAAAAGTGAACCCCTAATGGGTGCAGCAGACTCGTGCAGCGTGCTAGGCCCCGCCGATCAAGATCAGCCTGTGGACCGCACTCAGGATGTGAGAAAAAAAAAAGACCACTCGGGTTTTATGGCGAAGGAGACATATCAGCTCCATATCTGGTGTTCTTAGCGAACAGGTACATAACGTCAGTGTGAGAGTAGGATAAGAGGATGGGAATAGGATTGGGAAGTTGGAACCGAGATATGGCTAAAGCGAGTCCACTGTAAAGGGCATTCGTACCGAGCGAGACTGAGAGACCGGGAGCCCCGTTGTCTAGGAACCGAACGTGGGAAGGGTTGGGAGGAACATCAGCCCGTGGCGAACGGTCGGGGTGTGAAAGACGACGGTGTGGGAATGGAACCTTCATCCCCTTGGGGCCCGGGGGAGACGATGAGGTGCATGGATGAGCGGCAGGGATGTCTCGGGGACCGGATATCTTTTCGTGAGGGCATGGGGTCACATTCCCAATTCCCGCTCATTTTCGGCCTTCCACCTTCACGGGTTGCTCGGTCGGTCCTCTTCGATATCCAGTTCTGCCCATACCCAACCCCATTCCTCATTTCCCATCCTCTTCTGCATAATCCTTCTCGGCTCCGTACCGGGCACATCTCCGATTGCCAATCGAGGCAGTTGTTATCGCAACCGGCGAGTTTTAAGTGCAGACCTCGGTAACCATTGCTCGATGTCCAGGGGCGGGGGAAAGCGCTACAGCCCAAACCCCAACCCAACCCAATCGATAACACCCCAGAATAGCATCCGCCAATATCAATCATGAGCGGACCTTGTCACTCACCCTCACAATGCCGTGCGGCTGTCATTTTTGCGTGTTCCGGGGCGGTTGGTTGGCGGCAGTGAATGATGGTTGGCTTCGTAGACCGGGTAGGGAGTGTGCTAACCCACCTTCCCTTTCCATTAGTTGTGCTCCTTGGCGTGTGTCCAAAAGCATTTCCTACCTCTTGGAAGACATTGGCACCCTTTTTTCAGCTTTCATAGTTCTCTTTGCACAGCACGGCCGACTAACCGGATGAGAGCCTTGTCGTTTCCACCAGATGCGATTGGCAACCGTTGTTTGGTCCACAGGACAATGGGGGAGATCGCCAGTACCCAGTTCCACGGCACCACTGAAAGAGGCCGGGCTCCCCTCCGTCGGCCTTCTTCTTGGGGGATCTGATTTCCGATGAAGAGTTGCATCGAAGATCAGGAAGCCATTCCACCGATCTTCCACCACAATGGAAGCATCCTCGGGTCGGTCGTTGCTACGGTGTGGTTATGATCACCGAAGGCTTCCACGCTGCAGCGCTGCCGTGACAGGGACAAACAACGATGGAAGGAAATTTGCGTGGAATGCCCGTATCTGACTTGTCGACTCGTTCTGGCAACAATTCGATTTTCTCCGCTCTCATGTGCGCAATCAAGACAGATGCATGTCTCAAAAAACAAAAACATTGAGGGCGGACCTCGAGAGCCAAGCCGGCCGTGTGTCCCGCCAATCACAAAGTTGCTAGACAGCCTCATCACGGCGATCCCTTCCCTTTGTAGCCTGGTAGCCCAGTGTCGATATTCCCGATGTTTATTGCTTTTGATCGAGGAGGGCGTGGAGGGGTCCAAGCAGTAAAAGCCAGTCCTTGGCTGCTCCTCGACAATCGCAGGTTTTGGGAGGAAAACCTTGACGCCCTGAACCCATTTGTTCCTGATTTGTAACGCCTCCTTCGCCAGCTCGGGCGTCGAAAAGATACTGATACCAAATGATTCTGCTTCGTTGGATGCGCCACGCATGCTGATATCGCCATGTGGTGTAGTGTCAACAGGCTTGGAAGCCCTCTTTCCCTGACTTCGAGAGGGGTCCAGGTCTCAAAAAGCGATGGGCTCGGCTCTGGCAGGCCAACTGCTGGCTGACGACTTCGATAGTGTTATGCCATGTTTTTGTTTTTCCTTTACCTGTTTGTCATTTTCGACATCCCGCTTCCGCCCACCCTGGCGCGCCTGGAACCCATGGATGATACCTGATCAAGATCGAGATTAACGGAAGTGATCTCTAGTCGGGATTTGCTCCAGGGACAAGCAGGTACTATATGAACGGCCGGCCCTCCTTCTCTTATGCCTTCCCTTACCCCGTCTTGCTAGCGCTTGAAGTTTCGTGCAAACCATACCGGCACCCTATCGCCTCGCCCTGAAACCCCCAGTGTCGAGTGTCCTCCTTCAGACAGCAGTCCGACCCATCGTTCAGTCCACCATCCCATCACGATGGGCCTCCTCCCTCTCACATACCGACGTCCAGCTTACGTCGACAAGGACAACATCGCACTGAGCGACGAGCCCAACGCCGGCCAGAACACCCTCAGCAATGCCCCTACCAACGACAGTGAAGCAGGACTAGAGAAAACAGAACAAAGCCTGAAGCCAGTCAACTCGGGTACTAGCATCGCGGGAATCCCGCCCGCATTGAGCTTTGATAAGATTATCGAGGGTGGAACATGTCCAGTCAGTGCTTGATCCTGCCTCACACATAAGACATAGCAGTGACTGACTAGCCATATAAAGCCGTGTACCGTACGAGACTTTATGAACTACCTGATATACGTTGAACGGTCAGCCGAGAACCTGCAATTCTTCCTATGGTATCGCGACTATGTGAAGCGTTTCGAGCAAGCCAAGACATGGGACCTTGCCCTTGCCCCCGAATGGACACCAGCCATGGAGGAGGAAGCCATCCAGAAGATCCAGAAAGAGCAGGCTGAGAAGGCCCGCAAGAAGCCAAACAGCAAAACAGGAGATGTGACGGTCGAGATATTCAAGGGTACCGATTTCGAAAAGGGGTCGACCCCAGTGCTGTCGAGTCCGAGAGGCCGGAGTACATCAGACTTGCCCGAGGGCACTCGAACGGGCAGCAACAACCCGTTCGGAACGCCGCCGGATACTCCGCGCGGCTACCACCAGGAGCATTTCTCCTCCGAGTATGTCGGGTCCAGTATGGCGACGACGTACCGCACGCAGGCGAGCGATGCCTTTACCACAGCAGGCATCAAACCACCATGTAAGCATTACGTCTCTTGCCCGTCTCTTCAGTTTTCATATGCCACACTCCCGCGAATGCAAAGCATGCATGTGACAGCTGCTGTCAATTGCCGAGTCGAAAGGGGTAACGTTGACTGACAAAAAACCCAACCCAAACAGTCACCATCCAGCCCTTCCGAAAAGAAATCGACCGTGTGATCGCCACTTATATCATGGATGACGCGCCCCGACAGCTCAACCTCTCCGACAAGGAGCAAAAAGCCGTGCTTCAAGCGCTCGCGCACACGACGCACCCGTCCGCGTTCCGCATCATCATCACGCCCATCGAATCCGCGCTGCGTTGGCAGGCGCACCCCAACTTCATCCGCTGGTCCATCTGCAACGGCAACCCGGCGCGCGTTGTCTTCGCACGGGGGCTCGGCGTAGCGCTCATCCTGCTCAGCACCGCGGTCGCCATCGTGCTGACTTTGTTAAAGGCGGGCCGCGGCTACCGCGCGCTGCCGGCCATCGGCTGGGTGCTGGGCATCTCGACGCTGATTGCCGCGTACAAGGGCATGTGCGTGGTCTTGCACGGCTTGCATCATCGACATATTCGCCCGTGGGAGTTGTTCAATACGGAGGATGAGGACGCGGAAGAGGGCAAGGCGAAGCGGTCGTTTGACAGCTTCGGGTCTGGTAACAGCTATGAGGACGAGCCGTGGGTGGTCCGGTATCAGAAGCGCAACGTGATTCGCAAGATCTTTGATCGCGAGGTGTGGATCCAGGAGCCTGTGTTGCGCCAGATTCAGGACACGATTGCGGTGCAGAGCATGTTGTGCGCCGTGGTGCTGTCGGCGATCCTGACGGCCATCTTTGTCGCCGTGCCTGGAGGGGACTTGTTTTGATTTTCTTAAGTTTCTTGCAGTGTCTTTCAGATATCTGCTGCTATGTTTTGTTTATCTGATCGATCTGACAACCTGGATCAAGACAAGACTCTTTGCATCAGTGGATGAAGCTTGTACCTAAAAGTGCGGGGTGGCCCATCCAAAAAAAGTTGGAGATCAATGGAGACGGATGACTTCCTTTCCATTCTTCCTTCCAATCTCCGGTCGGGGTTCGGACGTGCGGGAATCCCCGCCATCATGCGGCGCCTGTCACCAAATCACCTTTCATTCCCCGTTCAATTTTGTCCCCGCTCTGGGGAAAAAGTAAACCGGTTTCGGTAACTTTCGGCGCTGTGGAGTCGTACCTGCGCCGAGCCGAACCGTTTCCCCAGAACCGCGTGTTGGAGGCATGTTCCCTCAATGCAAGGCTTATGTATCATTACGTTCTTTTTATATCGGCGGTTTTCTTTGGCTTACGCTACAATCTTTTTGGCTCAATGCTGGACGGAACCGGCGGGGTAGGCTACTCTGGGGGGCTTGTGTACAAAATACTGGAAGGGCAATTTGTATTTCTTGTTTTTGTTGGTCTTGGGTTTGTGTCGGAGTCGGAGTAGCTTCTGCTGGATGACCGGGATGGAATTGATGATTACTGAAGCGGAGGAGGACGAGGAGGAGGCATGGACGGCAGGCAGCATAGTAGGGCTAGAGAAATGGGCAATACTATCTATGATCCTTCAAAGTATGGTCTCACAGACTGTATGGAATGATAGACAAGCGGATCGACGGCTAGTTGAACTGTTGCGCCGAAGTGGTGTTACGTATGGATTTCCAGCTGTCCGGATGGGGATCTACAATACAAGTACGAAACCGTTATTGCGACGCTCAGGCTGACGAGAGATGGCACGGAAGACGGCGCAGACGAAGACCTGAGTAGCAGGATCGGGTAACTATAGGAAAGCTCAGACAAGACGGACTAAATTGCTGATGAATGTTTCATCGGATGACAACGTGACGTCCTGCACCAAAACAAGACGGAAGGATCATGATGTGCCGTGCCTCGGGCGAAAGGGCACGTAACGGTATTTGTTGGGGTTTCTTTCCTGGACACCTTATCGATAACCCGTGCGGGCCGTTTTGTGGCCCACCTCTGACTAGATCACCACCAAAGGCGGCACCCGGGATATGATGTACAATGTAGTTTTCAGTATCCCTCCTCCTTTAAAAGGTCTGACAAGTCTGTCTCGCCCAAAAGCGCTCTCCGAATGGCAGCCCTCAAAGACACCCTCATGCCTCCCTGAACCGCTCTTGTTGTTCTAACCTCAACCTACCCTTTATGAACAACAACAGATACAACATGTCGTCAGAAACCTACCAAGCCGAAGCCGAGGCTGTTGCTCCCCACCCGCAACACCCATCGTCGCGACCGCAAGCCGACCACCCACAACCCGAATCCCGCGACCCAGAGCTGAAGAATGACGGCATACCACCGCAGGCCGACCAATTGACCACTCATCTCTCTCCGAACGCTGCCCTGACCACTCCTACAACGCCCACCGTTACCAGCCCAGAGATTGCGACTGCGTCAACTCCTCTCACAGCCATAACCTCTGCGACAACGTCACCTCCTTCAGCCAACCGCCAGCGCGCATCTACATCCGGTCCCCTTGAGCTCGACACTGCCTTGAGCCATCCGGGCTCTGTTCGCATTAATGTTAAGGGCGCATTCATTGTCGAACATGGCAGCGCTTCGCCGCCACCGACACCAAGTGGAAGCAGCAGCCGCGGTGGTTCACCAAGTCGTCAAGAGTCTAAGGACATCAGATTACCGAACCACACTGCGGTAGTAAGCCATATCGCGGTTGATGTACGTATACCCTTCTACAATTCCTTCCCGTTGATATCCGATTGGACGCATTGCTAACGGTTGATACCTCGGACAGATCGGCGGTTCTCTGGCTAAACTTGTGTACTTCTCCCGCGAGCCACACTCCACGGAACCAGGTGGACGTCTCAACTTCGTCAGCTTCGAAACCGACCACATTAATGACTGTCTCGAGTTCATGCGCGCCCTCAAGCGCAAACACGAAACGCTTAATGGATCCGACATTGTCCCCGAGCTGTGCGTCATGGCCACGGGCGGCGGCGCATACAAGTATTACGACATGATTCGCGACGTTTTGGGAGTCGATGTCATCCGTGAAGATGAGATGGAGTGTCTAATAATAGGTATGTCGTTCTTGCATACTAGCATGGCGCTATTTGAAACTATTGCTAACATGCACAACTACAGGACTTGACTTCTTCATCACCGAGATCCCCCGCGAAGTCTTCACCTACTCAGAACAAGACCCAATGAACTTCGTTGATCCCTCCACCCACGGATATCCATACCTCCTGGTAAATATCGGTTCCGGAGTGTCGTTCCTTAAAGTAACAGGGCCTCGGGACTATCAGCGCGTAGGCGGAACGTCACTCGGCGGCGGCACGCTTTGGGGCCTGCTCAGTCTCCTCACCGGGGCTCGTAGCTTCGATGAGATGCTGGACATGGCATCCAAGGGTGACAACAGCAAAGTCGACATGCTCGTCGGAGACATCTACGGTACCGACTACGGCAAGATCGGGCTCAAGAGCACCACCATTGCCAGCTCTTTCGGAAAGGTTTTCCGTTTGAAGCGACAAGCCGAGACGGAAGCCGAGGACAGCGGTGGCCTTAGCCCGGTCGACGTTGACGAGGTGCTATCCAGCGCCGCCGAGGCCGACGGCCCCTCTACATCATCAACAACATTACCTGGCAATAAGCTCTTTTCGAGCGCCGACGTATCGGTTTCCTTGCTGTACGCGATCAGTAACAACATCGGACAGCTCGCCTATCTGCAGAGTCAGATACACGAACTCAGCCACATCTACTTTGGTGGATCATTCATCAGGGGACACCCGCAAACCATGAACACGCTCAGCTACGCCATCAAGTTCTGGAGTAAGGGCGCCAAGCAGGCGTACTTCCTCCGACACGAGGGCTACCTGGGAGCCGTCGGCGCGTTCCTGAAGCGGCAGCCTCAGAATTGGGGCCGTAGGGGAAGCTTCGATCAGGCTGCCGCCATGGAAGCGCGGATGCATGCTCGGACGAGGACGAGGGACGCTGACGACGAATGAATCATGCTGTCGTTGGTGTCTTGAATGAGAAACTAGGAGGAAGAAAAAGCGGATACCCCCGTCATAGAGAGAAGGAATGGTTCTTCTTGAAGTTTACATGTTTTTAATAGCTTCATTGCTGGCGTTGGATTTTAGGTATCTTTGTTTTCTGATGGGAGGAAATTGTCTATCTTCTCATCCAGATGGTACACGACGAGCGCAAGCTTTTGATTTCTGGGGGTAGCCTTGTTTGTTATTATTGTATATCCTTTTTAGTATTTGTATCGTTATCGCTCGACTTTGGGCGACCCGTTTTTGTTACGAGATACCTGGATAAACTTTGGAAGCAGCGCGAATCTAGAGAAAGAAACAGCAATTATTCTCCATTGACTTTGCATTCTACTACAACCTCAAAGATCCCATGAGTTCAAGAGAGCCTTTGGCAACAACGATTACAGATGGTGAAACCGCACGCATATATTGGAACCCATAGAAAAAAAAGAAAAGCCTTGTATGTCTAGCGCTGAAATCAGCATTCGAGATCAATCCAGAGGTGAAGTTACCTTCCCCTTGGATAGTTATAAGCCGCGTGCTTTGCCGCCTCCGGAACTGTACCTTATCTTCACCCACACTTCCACCCACCTTCCACCGTCAAACTTTGTATCTGATCAGACCAGAATCAAGCATATCACCAATATGGAGACTCTGGATATTTCCGACACAAGTCGACCCAGTTCTCCATCTGATGCACACACTTCAGATTCGTGGCGCCGCCATTGCACCTTCTTCAACGTCAGCCTCGCCGTAGCCATTGCCGTTGCCGTAGTCGTAATCGTACCCCTTGTCATAGCCACAATCATAGTCACAGTCGACGGGACATTCCAAATCCTGGCGTATTACTTCAAAACCCTTTTCTGACGAAATCCCCGCCTCTGCCTGTTTTCGACTTTCGACTTCACCTTGGACTCCGGACTTCCGACTACCAACTATGCCGAAAACCACCCCTCAATGGCTTGTTATCGATCGATCGATGTTTCGTTTCGTTGGAGAAAGTTTAGGCCTTGACAACCTTCTTGACCTCCTCCTTCACGTTCTCCTTCACCTCCTCAGCAGCGGCGGGGAGGGTCTTGTTCTTTTGGGATTGTTGCCAGAGGAGGATGCGGGAGACTTGGACGATACCGACGATGCCGAGGAAGAAGTTGACGGCGGCGAGACTGTAAGAAAACGAGGACGGTTAGTTTTTGGGTTGTGAGTAAAGGGGTGAGGGTATACATGGGTATACAAGTAGGACGAAGGAGGAGGAGTATGAATATGGAGATGGGTATGGATATGGAAGGGGGAATGGAGGGTATCTAGATGGTGGTTGTTGGGGATGGGATGACGTAGGTTTGTTGATGGGGTCGAAAACGAAGGGCGACGACAAGATGGAAGAAGGGAAACGCACAGGTAGTTCTTGGGCTTGATGATCAAGCACCAGCGGGTCCAGATGAGACCGGTGGCAGTCAGGGCGCCGTTCTGGGTGAGCGAGAGCTTCTCGGCCGGGCGCGCAAAGTCGGAGATACCTGCGAGGACGAGACCCCATTTCATGACAGGAGCCCTGTAGTTTTTAAATGGACATGGATTAGCTTTTGCTCTTGATCACATCTTGTTGTCTGATGAATCATTTTTGGTTTCGTGTGTCTTTGGCTGTTGCGCCAACTTGTTGAAAGTCCGAGTAAGGTCCCAAAACAACATACCAGAAGTGCACCGTCTTGAAGCCAACGGGGCTGTTCCACATGCGCTTGAAGAAGGACTCTTGCGCCTGCTCCGAACTCGCTGTGCTCTGGAAACGCTTGCCGCCATTGCGGGCGGCGTTGGAGGTGAAGAAGGTGTTGCGGAAGACGGGGCGCGCAGCGCGGAAGAAGTTGTGCATCGGGGCCATTGTGTCGGAGGGGGCTTGCGACTCGACTCGAAGTGGGATGGTTCGTGGTGGGATGTCCGAGTTGAATCTCGAGTTGGAGGTTTGGACTTCTTGGGGCGCCGGGGCGAGAGTGGAATGGAGCTGAAAGTGGAGGCTCTCAAGGTCCGGTCTGAACTTCGGAGTCGGCGTTAAGTTGTTAGTCAGTGACTGGGTATCAGTGCGGAGAAAGCCGCATGCCCAATGTTGTTCGCTAACAGCCCCGGACCACCTTATCAGTATCAGAATCTCGTGAACGCACCTTGAAGTGGTGCAAACTTAATGAGGGCGATGGTCGTGAAATCCCTTCAAAACACTTCTCCTTTGACCAATGTTTTAAGCTGAAGGCTTTCGACAAGTCATCACTTTGCGCCCAGAGCAAACAAACCGCTGTCCCTTGTTGGGGACTGCGGAGATAACAAGGATTTTGTCTTGTCTTCCAGTGTGTTGTGGCTCGTGCACCGTTGGGGAAGCCCGACTTTGTGCACCCTCTTCAAACTTTTGTGCAAAGAGCTTTCTTATGCAATCGGCTGGGGTAATTGTGCATCTCGAATCCCAGGTGGAGCTCTCTGGTCGGCAACCTCGCCCGCTTGCCTGCTTGTCGCAAAGGTGCCCGTAGGACAACGACGACCATACCCCCATCTGCCAATTCTTGCACCTCTTCAATTCGACATCGTCTCATCGCAAACATGTCGGGCAGATTCGCTTTCAGCAAGGGCCTGAAGGAGGTCCGCTTCCTGTTCTGCCAGACGGGCGAGCACAGCGCTGCCACAAGGTGAATGATCCCAGCCCTACAGATGGAGTCTCCCGTCAACGCAGCATGCGTGAATGACTCGAGCCATACCCGCTTCCCCTGATTTCGATTTGAGCCCCAGACTAACTTTAACTCTTTTCAATCCAGATCGTTCCTCCTCCGAAACTACCCTACCATGAAGAAGGACAACCCTGCGACACCGATTCTGATCCGAGATGCGTCTGGCACGCTGCCCAAGGTCTATGCGAGATTCGGTTGGTGGATCCAGACCATATGATATCATGCTCTTCTCGTTTGGTTTGGTTCTAATGCTCGTCTGTTGCAGAGTTCGGTAAGGAGAAGAGTCAGTCGTTGGAGGGTAGGTTATGTCATCCTCTACGCTTTGTCTGGACCGATAACTAACACAGATGATTATAGGTCTGTCCGACCAGCAAATCGAGGAGACAGTATCATCCCTCGTCAAGAACAGTTCTTAAGCTGAAAAGAGAGAGGAACCTTGAAGCATGTCTATAACACCAATTTCCTGGAAGCCATATATAACCCGCTGTGATGGCATAATGACACCCGCAACCCCATCAACGCAACCGATGGATTGTCACGATTGTTGAATTTGTCGAGAAAACCTCCTGCTTCAGTCGCCAAGGTCTAAGTCCCATGCTTCTGGTAATAGAGTACCCGAGACGAGGAATTACGGTTATCATCCATATCAGTCTCCAGCGTCTGAGAGAATCGATCCCGAGAACGGTTATTCCAGCTTCGCAGCTTCGCCAACCTTTTACCTTTCATAGGACGAAGCAGACAGGCAACCGAGATACTTTAGCGACTCTAGGCTGCCCTTCGAGGGTCGGGTTACAGAAACATCAGTTGAGTAGACTTGTGTGTTGCGCGGGACTTTCGCTGTGCTGATACCGCCGTGAATGCCACCAAACGCTTGGTGGGCTGTTTGTGCGGATATCGCAACTTTACAATCCGACAACTGGAGTGGCCATCCATTTTGCTTGTTACAGTCCATGTTCCGTGTTGAGCAATTTGGCAACGAAATCGAGATACTTAACCAGAACGTACGCTGAAAAATACTTTCGCGGTTGGATGCTTCAAAAGCGATATGCATTTGGGTAAGTGTGCGGACAAGTGATGCAAACAACATCAGCACTCGTCCGCGAAAGAGGCTGCAACCTTCCCAACTTCCAAGGCTGATGTAACTTGGGAAAAGGGGAGGGGAATGGGGCTTGCCCTCAAGGAGACATCTTCAAGTGCCCGCTATAGAAAGAGTATGTCATAAGGTCCAGCAACGCCTGTCCTCGTATCTCAAGACTGTCTTGTTTGTTTTCAGCCCCTATCCAACGATTTTTCAATTCCACACCCAGCCAGCTAGAACTGCTGAAGCAGGTCGGTAGTACCGCTTTTGTCCCTGAACAACTGCGCACGCTGTGATGGGGTGCCGTAGAGACGGGATCGATGGCACGCAAATGTACAATTGCACCTACCCAGCCGTGATCGAATCAGAAGCCGACGACAGAAACACGGCTTTCCATTCGACAGGCTTCACACCCCCAAAAGAGGCAAGCCAGGGGATGAGCAGATCGTTTTTGGGAGACCTCCAGACCTCCTTGGCGCGTGATGTTGCCCCGCGTTAAAAGAGCGAGAGTTTTGGGGTGTGGCACTCAAAAGTACCCCATGATATAAGTACGTCGTCGCATTTTTTCACCATATGCTGAGACTACATCACCTCGAATCCGTCACAAGAGCAACCGTAATCGAGCTGGATTACCTCAGGAGCGTGCAAAAGATTCCGGTTGTGCCGAGCGAAAACCCGGTAGAGACAACCACAAAGTTCCCCACAAACCTTTTGTTTCGCCTCACAAGAGAAAAGATAAAGGCCATCACCCCTCCTTTCTATCCCGCCTCCCCCGCCTCGCCTATAAGACAGGACGATCCAACTCAGAAGACTACGGGAACACCTTGTTCACCGACAATACTATCCGTCCAGGCTATATCAACTGTGTTCATCATCAATATCAGCCGCAGGAGCGCAAAGATGTCCAGGATCTTTGGGCGCAGGTCAACCTCCCTGAAACTTATGAGCCCTCCGGACTCCATGCCCCTCTCGGAACAAGAGAATCGCGATTCCTCAGACAACCACCATGACTCGGCTTACTCCTCGCTGTTGGATCCCATGGTGCGCGCAATGGAGCCGCCAGAGCACCGCCGGACCAAATCCACGCCAGGCGCATGGATGCAAGGCTTCGCAACTTCTGGACAAGATGTCTCACACCGGACCTGGTTGAGTACCGCCGAAAGACGCCCCTCATGGACTGGTGAGCGTCCGCCTCCTCGGAAGCTGGTCAAAGACCCCAACGGCTCCGGCCGGCCATCGTTCTCCGTCGAGCTCTCGGATAGTGACGGGGAGAAGGAGAAGGGTGTCCTACGACGACAGCTTACCCGACTGAGGAGCTTCTACCGACGAGAGAAGCCAGGACCCTGAGGAGGACACCGCCGGTCTCCCTCTGCTTGCTGCTGACTTGTGGTGTTCATACTGGTCGATGATGCCATAATTTTGGCGCCGGGGAAAACCGATCACGACAACTTCAAACTTGCGGCTCGCCCGGCATCGTGGACTTTGATGTTCGGAGGACTCCCATTTCTGGGGAGGATATTTTAGGCATATTTGCTTGAAGACCCGCTCCGCCGACACCGAGACCGCCCCGCTTTTTTCTTGGCAGCCAGTAGTATCACGATCACAACTCTCATCGGTTATCGGAGTCTTTTTATGCCATGGCTATTCTTTAAAACCTCGCCGGACAGACGACAGCACCGAAAGCTCCCTTATCTCACTTCACACAACACGGACAGTAGACTTTTAGGTCTTGGTCTCTGATACCATCCCGGTGACGCTCACTGCAGGGCATAATCCACGGGCCCTTTTCCATCTTTAAAAAGTTTCTATATCCGAGGCAAACGTCGAGTTCTTCCGGGTCAAAACTAAGCGGAGTCGGATCTCAACAAAACACTCTTGCAGCCCCATGATGGCGGCCTGGGCTTCTAACCTCCGCCCTCAGGTGACAACATCTTGTCTCGTTCTTGGGGCAGTGGGTGTATCTTTGGGGTTGAGTGTCCGCATGTTGATGAGCCAGAACTCGACCAAGAAGCAAATAATAATACCGTCGCCAAGAGCCACCCAACTTCCACAGCTGTCCAAAGAAGAGATTTCTTCACTTCCGTACCCACCAGATGCTCTACCAGGCGCAAGGGACGTTGAGACCCCATATGGAATCATCAAAGTGTTCGAATGGGGGCCCGAAGACGGCGAGAAGGTTCTTCTATTACACGGCATCAGCACACCCTGCCTAAGTTTGGGGATTCTAGGAGAGGCGCTAGTGGAAAGAGGTTACAGAGTCATGCTGTTTGACTTCTTCGGGCGCGGCTATTCCGATACTCCAACGGACATCCCCTTTGACATCCGGCTTTACTCGACGCAGATACTCCTGGCCTTGGCATCTTCCAAATTGCCCTGGACCGGCGACAACGGATTCCACCTCATCGGTTACTCTCTAGGCGGAGGCCTGGCCGTCTCCTTCGCCAAGTACCATTCACACATGGTCCGATCGTTGGTGCTCGTGGCAAGCGCAGGACTGATCAGGTCAGAACACGTGAGCCGAAGGAGCAGGATCCTCTACTCCGAAGGCCTGTTTCCCGAGAGTCTGGTTCGGTGGCTCGTACGTCGACGGATCACTCCCCAGCCAGCGACAACGACGTCCGAAGCCAAGATGGCTAGCGAGGTCGTGGCCACCACCACCACCGAACAGTCCACCAAGAAGCATCACAAGAACAGCGATGCCAGCGGCGGTGACTCGTTCGACAACGCGGTTCTCTCGCCCCACAGGCCCAATAGCACGGTTTCCTCGGTGATGGCCTGGCAGGTCCAGCATCAGCAGGGATTCCTCACGGCTTTTATGAGCAGCATCCGGCATGCGCCCATTTACGAGCAGCGGGAGGATTGGATAAAGCTCGGTCAGCTCTTGGCTGCTAGGCGAAAGGCTTCTTCTTCTGATGCCGACGAGAGTGCAGAGGGAGCCGGAGGCCGGTTGCCGGGACTCTTGGGTGGAAAGGTCTTGCTGGTTCTTGGCTCAACGGATCCAGTCATCGTCAAGGAGGAACTGATTCATGATGCCACGTCGGTCCTGGGTGAAGATGGGTTTGAGGCTGTTGTGCTGGATTGTGGACATGAGATCGTCATGACGAGGGGGAAGGAAGTGGCTGGCTTGGCGGCGGGTTTTTGGTCACGGGTTTGAAGAACTAAACGCTTGGATATGATGATGCTATACGTTGGATATATGAATGAACCGGATACGAATACACACTTTTAATATCATTCCTTGTCGCGTGTTATCGTGCGAGTGAACATAGTGCGCCGCAAGGTGGTGAAATGGAATGAAGATGTTGGATCCGTGTGCCTGATGGGAACACAAGTGAAAGTGCCCTGAAATGTCATGCTAGGTGCTAATTTAGCGGCTGTCAAGCGGTTCTTCAGCACGCACTTGCCTTGCATCCAGCTGCCCAAAGCAGCCTGATACAGGGGGCCGCATTGGTCGATCTGCAAGCTGCCGTGCAACCACAAACCCCACCAAGGCTGATAGCCTTCCAGGTTGAAGGAAATTTCCCAAACAACCTCCAAAACAAATCGCAGCCTCGACCAAACATCACCACTTCAAGCTCAGTGCAGCCAATTTGCGACATAACCACGGTTGAATCTTGAAATACGAAAGATCAGAACCACATCAACCTCAAGTCACCAAATACTACAAACCCGAGCCGTCACAATGGCCGCCACAGCTCCAGCTCCCTCGCTGAGCTTCTCGCGACCAACCTTCGCCAAGCTCTCACCTCACCCTTACCTCCTCACGAACCTCACCGACCCCGAGAACCCCTGCCGCACCAATGGCCGCGTCCCGTACGAGGCCCGTCCCGTCCACATCCACACGTCCTCGCTCGCCCACGCCAACGGCAGCGCGCTGGTCCGCACCGGCGACACCACGGCTGTCTGCGGCGTGCGCGCCGAGATCCTCCCCGTCACCAGCATCCCTCAGTACCGGCCGCGGGAGCCCTCGTATGACGAAGAGAACAGCAGCGACAACGACAGCACCGATGTCGACGAGCTAAAGGACTACGACCTCCTGGTCCCCAACATCGAGCTAGCCACCGGCTGCGCGCCGCAGTTCCTCCCCGGCGTGCCGCCCACGACGCTGGCGCAGACGCTCAGCACGCGCATCTACTCGCTTCTGCACAGCTGCAAGGTGGTGGACCCCAAGGGCTTGAGGGTGTGGTACACTCCGCCTAAGGAAACCAAGGAGGAGGGCGCAATGGAGGTGGACGAGGCACATGATGACCAAGAAGAGGAGGAAAGGAAACCGGAGCTCAAGGCCTACTGGGTCCTCTATATCGATCTACTGTTCGTCTCATTCGACGGAAACCCCTTCGACGCAGCCTGGACGGCCGTCATGGCGGCGCTGCGCGACACGAAGCTGCCGCAGGCGCGGTGGGATCCGGATCGTGAGGCGGTGGTGTGCTCGCGGAGCGAGGAGGCGAAGACGGCGCTGGGTGTGCGTGGATTGCCTGTTGCCTGCACGGCGACGGTGTTCTTGGAGAAGGAGCACGGAGAGGATTCGGGCGCGTCGGCAGAGAGGAAAAGCAGGCACTGGATCTTGCTGGATCCGGATAGGCTGGAGGAAAGCTTGTGCAAGGAGACGGTCACGGTGGTGGTGGATTGCAGTGGGGAGGAGACCAAGGTAAAGAGCATTGAGAAGCATGGTGGTACGGTGATTGGACGGGAGCTGATGAGGGGGTTCGTTGGTGTTGCTGAGGGGAGGTGGAAGGAAGTGAAGGAGGCGTCGAAGTAGACTGTCTTCTGACAGACATCTCGACTTGGGCTTGTCCTTCTCACGAATTTCCATACCTAAACGTGGGCCACGAAACGAGAAAGCAATGTAACGGATTTGATACCCTAAGGATGTACGATTGAACAAAATGCACGGTCGGAGTGGTCTCGATCATCACCATCGGTCATGATCCAACTTATAGGACCTGGATAGCCGATTTTGCCACCAACACAATATTCTACCAACATGACAAAAATGGAACCAATACACAAAGTTCCCGACGAGCAATGCCAGGACCGACGAGAAAGTGAGAACGATGAAAACACGAGGGCATAGCCGGGCAGCCGGACAGTGAGTTCGGTGACCGATGGGCCGACTGCTTGTTATCAAGGGAACCTTTCCTGATCTGATGTGGAAGGGCCATGGCTGTTGCTTCCTAGAGGTACCAAACTTGAGGAAGGAACGACACTCCCTCTGATAAGGTGAGTACCTCAACGGCCATCCCATGACGTATTACACGATTGCAGTGGGTGGCAGGTGAGGGTTAACCGGCGTACCTTCCATTTTACAAACGACATTGCTCCCGGTTATGGGCCGGTGGTGAAAAGGTTTTCTCTTTTGACGGCCCGCCCTTCATCTCCTTCGTCATCCTTTTTACTCACCCACACTCTCTCCTCCTCACCCACCCTCATCTTTGTCCTCTCTCCCCATCCACGCCTTCGACTCATTCCTCTTGAAGTCAGCGTTTTGGAGACTTATGTTCAAGAGGCCAACTATCTCAGCATACTCTCGTTCCGCGCCTGCGCGTGAGAGACCACCAGACTTTCACTTTCAAATCAGGTCCACCTACGCCACCATCCGTTTGTCGGTCGATGTCGTCAGATCATCCTCAGCCGGCTATCATGGCCCCTCTCACCACCTTTCACCCCTTCCCGAGACTACCATGGGAACTCCGGAATGAAATTTGGAAGCAGTCTATCCGTCCGCTGGATCGGCCTGGAGCCCACATCTTTTGCTTGGACCTGCGGGAGCCGGAAGATGTTACAGCGAAGGAATGTGACGTACAGTGTCCTCCTATTCTTTCGGTGCCTTTGCGTCATGAGTGCCCGCGCCCGCCTTTGGGGATTGTTGAGAAATCCGTTCACATTACAGTTCCGGCAAAGACATTGTCGTCCGGACGCGCCGGTAATCCGTCAGCGTATATGATCGATGGTGGACTTTGGACCGCTTGCAAGGAGTCACGGGAAGTTATGGAACGTGCCTTCAACCACCAGAAGTGGGATCCGATACGAAAGGCGTACCCAGCATATCGAAAACTATGGAAGGCAACTATTCACGACCGCATGCACATCCGCCGCACCCCTCCTCCACCTGACAGTGATGACTCGTCTCCTCCTCCACCTCGGCCCCGACGTTCGCCGCGCGAAAGACCCCCCACTCCCGTTAACCCCTACGACGCAGAGCGTGGATATTTCTCGATACCGGCAACGGCATTTTTCTGGTCATCTCCTTCAATGCCTCATTTGTCGTCTTCTAACGAACTCAGCAAAGCGGACCATTCCAAAGGCCAGGCTGCGGCCTCCCCGCATTATTTCACTGTTCTTCCGATGCAAGATCTCATTATTATTCGGCCCTCGATTTGGACCCCGCATATGCATGAGGGTTACTGGCGCGCGTTTGAACACGGGTTTCCATTCGGGGCAGAAAATCATGGCTTTCCTGGATTCTGCGGATGGAAAGGTTTTGCGATCGAGTACGATCCGAGCTGGGGCCAAAAGCCGGAATTTGGCGCATTTGGGCATAATCGCGCTACTTGGTGGGATAATGGTTCTTTGAAGTGGCCTGACGGTACTGTTGGTATCTTCGACATCATATACGATGCCATTTCAAACTTTTCCGACTATGAGCAGATTCAGACGATTTGGCTCATTGACTACCGACTCAAGCCTAAGCACCATACACCCACAGCCATTGGAAGGCCTGATAACACTAAGAGGGTATTTCATGGAGGTGACGGGTGCCAGTTTGTGGAAATATATTCGGAGTTTGTTGAAAGTGGTGGTGATTATCTTAATGGGTATTACACTGAGGGCATTGATCGTGAAAACTCTGCCATGGGCGAAGGATCGTGCCATTGGTTTATTGAAGAGTTTGAGGCTTGCATGTTTGGGGATCTCTACGACAGCGACGAATCGGTCGATTCTAACTACTCGAGGTATCCTCCGCACATTGGCCTGCTTGCTTGCCTGCCCTAAGCTTGTGTGCGGTAGTCGGCACTTTGGGGTCTCTGGAATCGACCAGGGAATTACTGTATCTGACTTGGCTGGTCTTCTTCACTCAATGTTTTGTAGTTTTTGTGTATCTGCTGCGGATGGTATATAATGGGTTCCTTGCGGGTTACCGAAAACTTGCCTCTTTAATGTAACTCCATGTTGGTCATTCTAACCCCTCCCTTTCATGTTTTCTCGTTGAACTCTCTCGCGAATATTCCGTAGGTTAGGTTTTGGCAAACATAACACAAAGCACAAAGATAAAGCGATGGTGTATGGGGTCAGGCGCCGCGCTGGGTATGATGTGAGCAGAATAGGTTAGTCGTCTTTAAGACACAGGATCTCGGTATCACCTCAGGAATTCTATCCACCGTTCTGGGCCCAGAGGGCGCCATTACCTTGCGGGATCTGGGTAATTTGGATGTTCAACATGATGGTCGGTTTAGCTCGGTGTTTTACAGAGTTCGTAGTTTTCACATTCACGGAGAAACCAGGCTGTTTCGACACTCAACGGAAGAAATGTTGTTGGTGAAGTATCAACGATTGAGACGGTCGTAAGAGGTCAAAAAGAGTAGACTTTCACATCGATTGTAGTTATTGTCTTCTGTAACTTCCAACGCGGGTTGTGCACTTCACACAGTCACAAGCCCTGAGCGACGTGAGGTCCGCTCATCATCAATACTAACGCTGTGTACTTGTATGAGAGTAGAAATATGATGACAACGGCGACCATGTTAGGTGCAACCTTTTGACCAAAGCAATAATAAGTGCGATGCTGATCAAAACTGTACGGCGATCGATATGTGAATAACTCCTCAGTGAAGTATGTCTCATCGACCATAGAAATCGATATGCGCGACCAAGAAAGATAACAATGACCTCTCCAAGTGACTGTGTCACGGGAGCAGTATTCGGGTGATTTTCGGTCTGTTTCTTTTCTTCTCCTCTCCTCTGTGACTGCGCCGTGCCTTCTCAACAAACACGGGCGAGACGGGCAGGTGGGGGTTAACTGGCGCACCTTCCATCTACAAACGACAACTATGGTGGTCAGCCCATTGTGAAAAAAAAAATTTTTGTTCCAGCCAGTCTTTCGTTTTGATTCCTCCATCCTCCACCCCATCGCCCCCTCTCCTCCTCATCCCCTCTCCCCCGTCCACGCCTTCGACACTCCTCTCAGAGTCGGCATTTTGCGAGGCTCACGATTATAAGGGCCGAGCCACTAGTTCAACAAATCCTCCCATTATACTTGGGCGTCAAGATACAACAATTGCGCTCACATCAAGATCACCCCGATTCACATCACCGTTGGTTGTCTGTTCGGGATGTCAGATCACACTCAACAGCCTAGCGGCACCGCGGGGCCTCTAACTACATTCCACCCGTTCCCCAAGTTACCCTGGGAGCTTCGTCACGACATTTGGGACCTCGTTGTTCGACCGCTTGACCGCCCTGGAGCCCACATCTTCTGCATCGAAGAGCGGGAGCTGGATGACTCTGAAGCTAAAGAATGCGACGTGGTCTGCGGCCCTATCCCTTCGGAATCTGGCGAGTCCAACCTTCACATCAGAGTTCCGGCTGCAACTATGTCCTCCGGACCCGCTGGTAACCCGTCCATGTACATGATTGATGGTGGACTTTGGACCGCCTGCAAGGAGTCACGAGCGGTGATGGAAAAGGTCTTCAAGCACCATATTTGGGACCCCAAGAGGAGGGCCTGGCCGCAGTACTATGAGGCTTCTTTTCCACTTGAGAGGTACAGGTTCATTCCTCCACATCTTCGAGCACTACGACAGTCTCCAGTTATCAAAAACCCTTATGAAGGGGTAAAACACGAAACCGATATGATACCGGCCACGGGATTCTTTCTATCGGCACCATCGTCTCCTTCCTCGTCGTCATCCGCTCGAACGACTAAAGCAGACCGACCCAACCATCAAGTCACAACCTCCCCGCACTATTTCAGTGTCTTTCCCCATCGAGATCTCTTCATTATGCGGCCTGCATCGTGGAAAATAGATGACATCTGGTCTCGGCTCGAAGTTTTCTTTCCCTTCGGCTCGAAGAAATGGGGATATTTCGGATTCGGTGGGAAACATGGTCTCGCATTCGAGTACGACCCGGCCTGGATGGAAGGATCTGAAGATGATTACTACCGGGATGATTCTGGTAAAATCATGGGCGTTATTAGCATTGTCGACAGAATAACTTCGGTCATCACTCAATGGGATACCTCCGAACCGGACACTATTTGGTTCATTGATTACCGACTCAAGCTCAAGCAGGACACACCCGCAGACAAGAGAGAACCTGATGGTAATCAAAAAGTGTTCTATGGGAACGATGGACGTCGATATGTTGAGATGTATTCTAAGTTTGTCGAGGGTGGTGGTGACCGTCTCCAGTGGTTTTATACCGAAGGTGTTGGGGGTGAAGACTCGTCCATCAGTGAAGAATCTTGTCATTCTTTTATCGAATATGTTGAACTTGAACTCCTGGATATGTTGAACGAAGATTCCGAAAACGAATGGGGTGATGAGGAAAGGGACGGTCCAAAGTTCGGAATTCTTGCTTGCTTGCCTTAAGCCTGAGTAAGACATGTTGACGATGGACTGTCGGTGAAGTCTCAAGCAGCTATTGTACTTAGATCACTTTGAACTTAGTGTCTGTCGGTTTCTGTTATCTTGTTGCCATGAATCCCATTGTCGGGCTCTCAAATCTACGTAGCTCGACATTTTCTCTCCGAGTGGTAAATTAAGAATCTTAGTCCATGCGATCACATCCAACGCCCGTACCGGCCTTGTTTATTCAGTTTCAATAATATCGATTGACCTTTGCCGCCTGACCTCTCCCTTGATTTACAGGGACTGGCGCGGCGGGTATTCTTCCATAGAGGAAGATGGTGAGTTGGTGATAAAGCTGATCCAGACAGTTTGACGTATTTATCGAATTTCAACAGTGGTTGGAGCATGAGATGAACACTTAGTGATAGGATACTGAACGACAGTCTGAGTTTCGAGATATAAAAGCTAGAGAAACCATATGTTGACTCATTGATGAGCACTAGGTAACAACAGCTTCAGTCCCGTTTACCTCGTCATTCGTTTGGCTGTCTAGACTTGTCAAACCCTTCAGTAAAACCTCAGCAACTCACCGGATTACAGAAAGTCAAACCCAGAAATCTATTCTCAGTCACATCACAAACACCGAAAATCTTTCCCGCTGAGAGCCTCTCGCCGTTTGGCTTCCTCGCAGACGACATCCACAGCGTTCCATCTTGTTCAGTCCACAAAACCACCACTGTTTGTCTCTGTGCCTAAGATCCATAAAGATCTGATCACCAGCTCACAGAATTCCAAGTTCCAACAACGCCCTCAACCATTGTCACCTTCGTCTCACGATCTCCAACTCACACATATCTCAAAAAGCAATACGGCCTTGACGAACTCAAGATGTCGCAAGACGAGCTCGAGGTGCCGCAACCAAGGGCCACAACCCCCGCCGACGAATACCACTGGTACCTTCTCTACCAGCTGATCCGCGGCCTAGAGTGGCTCAAGCTGAAGGTTGTTCAAAGCGACGACGATGAGGGTTCGCTCGTGCAGCAGCTGTCAGCCAAAACAAAAGAACGCCTGAAAGAAACCTTGGACAACGAAATCGAAGAGGCCAACACCGACAACCTCCTCTACGCAGAAAACATGAAGTACGAAGACCGGGTTAAAAACTTCCCGCAGGAGTCCTATTCGCATGACCTCCGCCTGGGCAAGTTCCGGCAGCAGGAAGGCTATGACGAGCGGCTGGATAGATTCCGGCGCGAGTGGACGGAGGAGGCGGCTCTGGAGAGAATCGCGGAGTTGTTTGGGGTGTGGAGCGATGTGAGGAAGAAGCTGGGGCTTCATGAGGAGGAGAGGGATATGGTTGCTGTTAGGGAGCATATGCTGAAGACGGTGGCGGATAGACAGGCTGCTAGGTTTAAGCCGACTTATTCGCTTTATCCAAAGGTGCCGGAGGAGAAAGTGATAGAGAAGAGATCATCACCAAAGTAACCACATCGTACATATGAGAGAGGGGCGTGCCACTACTAGTACTAGTAGCAGCGGCATCAAGTGGCGGGCCCTAGAGAGCTGGGACTTGCGAAGGAAGAGACAACTTAGCTTTTCGTTGGTCAAAGGACGTTTGGGTAGTGGTGGGGGATCTTGATGGAAATTGGTCAAACCGATGATAGCAAGAACAAGTGTAACTCAAACAAATAAACCCCTTTTTAAACCCCAAAAATTAAAAAGGAAAATCCCAAACCTTTATTTCCAATATCTTCAACCATTCCCCAACTTGATAGTTGGAACAAAAAGCTAAGTCGCCCAGGTAGGTTTGTAGAACGAACAACAATACCCCAGCTGCAGACCTACGAAAACTGCCGCGCTAAGTTATTCATCAACGGTAACCACTACGCCATGAGACCACAGGGCTCCCCGTTGTGGTAGAGGGACTAGGTAACGGACCTTATATGGTGCCTGCCATTGGTGCCTGGGCCAGATCCAGTCTGGGAAGGTGCGCGGGAGGCGGGTGTCATGTCATCTGATGTCTGCCTGGGGGAGGGTGTGCCGGCCGGTTGGGCGACAGAGGCAGGAGTGGCGGCAGGAACAGTGGTATGTACCTACGCTGACTGCGGATCGCCCAGGAAACTGGACGATGGATCAGTAAGGAAGGAGCGAGGGTTCAGGGAGAGGGCAGATGTACCTCTGTTAGTGAGGCACATGCTTAAGTATGTAAAAATTCAACGCTCTACTACCCCTTCTAACAGATATTTCCCTAGTGTACCTGTCATGGAAAGGGTTCCTGCCGAATGTATATTCTTAGTAACCGTGACCGGTAACTGAGGAGACCTTATGGTTCTTCTCTCAGAAACCGTTGTGAGCTGTCAACGGTGGAGCAACCGTTCTTCCGCTGCAACGGTTGTGCCTTCTTAACCGCCCGGCAACCGCCCAGCAACCGTAAGTTTCTCAAAAGGTACCCCAGCTAAGTGCCTGGTATGGAAGTGAAAGAGAGAGGGGGGACAGACGCTGCCTTGGAAGTTTTCCCATCGGACTCAGCTGTTTAGTTCAAGTACATGTAACTACATAAGGTACATACTTCATAAATCGTGGTATTGGTTTCCGGTGAAAGAATCAGTGACAGTTCGACAGGACTCTTGATGCTCAACGCACGTGTTGGTGATAGGTATATATCCTGAGATTGACGTGACATGAAAGATAATGAGAGTGTAATGAAAAAAGAGAAATCCAAGCCCCAACTCCCAAAACTAAAACCCAGACCCCATCTATGATGCTCATCGTATGCCAGTGGGGCGTTGAAAATGAAGGAGAGGAACACAGTGACCGAATCAGAATACCCAAATACTCAGGAAGTCCGGGCAGCAACTGAAGTGATTTGTCTGGAAAGAGGCAATGGGAATGATCGTAATTGAAAACTTCAAACAAACGTAAATGGGAGTTATCCATCGACACTTTCTATCCCCGAAGGCCACCACATCAGCCAAGTGTCTGTCTTCCCGGTCCCTTGCCCCAAGGCACCTTACAATTGTGAGTCATCCCCCCATCACTCAACATCCAGCTCCACAACAACCCTACCCTACCCTCCCCCTTCCCCCTTCCCCCTTCCCCCTTCCCCCTCCCATAATCCCTCCACCCTCCCGACCTAAAACCCTCTAAGGCTTCGAGTCCTGCGCAGCCGCCAGATTGCTCTTCTCAAAGCACAAAATAGTCGGGGGCTCCGACAAGTTCAAGCTGGGCCCAATCTCCTTGAGCATGGCATGGGCGAGACACTCGTTGTCGTAGTAGCGCATGTCGTCCATGGAGGCGAACTCGATGTACGAGGCGACGGTGTAGCCGCGGGCCTTTTGGTCTTCCATGGTCTTGCCGGCCGTCAGTTGCAGGATGTAGGGCTTGCCGTTCTTTTGGGAGGCGAGCTGGTCAGTTAGTGGTTTGGGTTTGGTTTGGTTTGTGGTTTTGGAGTGTTTTTGAGATGGATCGGGGAGAAAAGAAAAGGGCGGGGGTTGGGGGTGGGGTTATAGGAGAGAGCGGGAGCTGGGGAAGGGAAGGGACGAGCGAGGAAGAAGAGAAGAGAAAGGGAAGGAGCGGGTCGGGATGGGTCAGGAGGAGACGGAGATCATGATCGAGGTGGAGATATGACGACTGGAATAGGAAATCAATGAAAGCAATAACAAACCTTCTTCTGCTCCTCCGCGACAACATGATACGCATCCAACAACCTCTTCTGATTCGTCTCGTCCGGAATCTTGAACAGTGTCATCCGGTGGATGCGGGGACCACGCTTGTCGTTTGTCATGTTGTCAATGGACTGGTGTTGACGGACGTGAGACTGAGTTTATTGTGAAAGAATTGGATAATAACAAGTTGAAAAGATAATGGTTCTTCTCAAAAATGTAATATTTTTCGAGGAGAAGAAGATGAGACGTATCCCCGACGGTGAGCGAAGCCAAGACTATCTTATAACTTAGAGATGTCTTGACCATGCAAGGCTGAGGAACAATCGAAGTTAGGCAACTGGAAGGAAACACGAATTCTGCTCTTTGCTTTCCTGCTAGATGGCGGTATGAAGATGGCATGAAGGATGCCGTTGAATTGGTACATGGCATCGACGTCGTCTCTTCTACTGAATGCAGTCTCGCACGCACTTAGCCCCATCACCAAGCCACCGCTGTGTTTACGATCTGACTTTCATGACAAAGCGGAAACGTTATCGTAGAGTTCGTTGTGGCCGAAGGAGGCGTGTTTCTCCACTGCATGCCATGCCGTGAGCAAGGGCATCAGTCACTTGATTCGATCGAAGTACCATGAAAGTGAGACACACGATAGTTTCCGGAAGCGAAGCGCATACAATGTGCTTCGAGAGAGCTTTAGCTTGAATTGCCGAGACATAGGAATGCGCCTGCGTCTGTGTTGTCGTGGTGTTCAATTGGACACTCGAGACCAGAAACCGAAGTCCAGAGGTCGGAAGTCGGACGTCGGACGTCGGAGGTTCGAAGAGGCTCTCCCTTCCTGCCGCTTAAACATCGTAAAACCTCCTTCTGGTTTGTGTCCTCCCTTCGCCCTGGCAGTTGGCTGAAGTGGCTGGCTGACACGACAGGAACCCGAGGACGATAAAGCAGCAAGCAGGTAGATGCAGGTTTAAAGCCACGATCTGCAATGTCCGACTGCGGGTTGTGCTTGGACTGATATACTGGTGTTTAGAAGGAATATCTACACCAGCCATCAGTCTACAATATCATCGAGTTTGGAATTTGCACGGAAACACCATAATGGATGCATGGTGTACCACAGGAGTTGACCGGTGGGGAAATTCCAGATCGACAGTGGTACAATGCCTCGAATGCCTCAAAAACCATGGGAGTGGTCTGATGTGAGTTGAGGATGTAAAGACTTCGGAAGTTGACAAATGACTTACCAACCATGGGACGTCGATCATTCTTGCATATACGCGTTCAGGCCAGACACCATGCATGCGGCCATGCCAGCCTGTCCAAGAAACAGGCACATAGATGTATATGAGGTTAACATCTTCCTATCAGGCTGACAGCTGACCAGCGACGTCCGCTTAAGTAAGGTATGCTTTGTTCGCAGACACGGAGGGTTATCGCATCAACCCTCTCTAACAGATCCGATCCCGAGTCCAAGGGAAAATTCCGAAACAGACTTCTAACAAATGACCAACCAGCCCGCATCAACGCCATTAAAGCACACCAACAGCGATAAGAGACCCATATCCCAATGCCAGAGCAATGCTAGAGGAACAACGACGAGGAGGAGGAACACAAGGCGCGCGCATACGGAAGATAACGGAACCACGAAAACAAACAAACAGCAGCAACAGCAGCAACATAATCAAAACCAAGAAAGCAGACAAGACTGTACTGCGGGTATCCTTTTCCTGGCCCTGGCTGGCTCTAGCTGGCTCTGGCTCAGCAATTGTTCGAACAACACCAACAAACATCAGACAACAACAATGACGACCGATTTTCACTTTCCTCCACCTCTCCCACCCACAATTCGAGCTTTCCGTCATTCACCCATCTCCAACTCCCAACTTCCCAACTCCCAAGCCGAAACCCCTAAGCCTAAGCCTAACCATTCCCAAGCCGTCACCCCCAACCCTCTGAGCCCTATCCACCGACTTCGAGACTTATGCCGACCTAAGGCTACGTATGATTTGAGAGAACCGAGTCACGGACTCGGCTGCATCGGTACCAACTCCACCTTGGTTTGTGTCGTCTGCTTTGGGGAGGGGGAGGGCCGTTGGGTTTCTACCGGGTTGCCATCTGGCAACAGTGCCTGATTCTGCGTCTGCGTCTGCGTATGTGCTTGTGCCTGTGACTGCCCAGCTGCCTGCTTATCCTGACTTTCACGCTCCTCGCTTCCTTGCTGCCGCTGGCTTTGGCTCTGACCTCCTGTCTGTGCTTGCGTTTGCGTCTGTATTTGTCCTTGAACAACAGACTCGCCGAGCCCGCCGAATCCGCCTGGCGAACCTGACCCTGAAGCAGCCGGGTTTGAAGCTAAACCTGTCTGACCAGCACCAGGACCAACACCAGCAGCAGCAGCAGCACCAGCATTAGCATTAGCAACCGTCCCCATGACGATCCTCATCTTCTCCAGAAGTTCCGGCATCCGATACGGCTTGATCAGCACGTCGTCGCATCCGGCCGCCTTGGCCTCGAGGATCTGTTCTATGCGGGCGTTGGCGCTGACGGCTATGATTGGTAACCTCCCGCCCGTGATCTTGCCCTGGCGCTCCAGCTCGCGAATGTTGCGCGTGCACGTGAGCCCATCCTGGACGGGCATTTCGATGTCCATGAGGATGACTGACAGGGGGAACTTGGTGGCTGGTGTCGTTGTTGTCGTTGTTGCTGGTGGTGCTTGGCTTTGGTTCAGGAAACCACCATTGACCGGCGGCGGTGGGTTAATGGTCCCATTCATAGCGGGAATGGCGCCTTTGTTATTGATGCTGCCGTTCATGGGCAGCGCAGTGCCAGAAACCCCATCGCTCACATACCGGTCGGTCCGCTGCAGTTTATCAAGACATTCCAGGCCGTGGTTTGCTACATCGACGGTGAATCCCATGTTGGCGAGACCACGTCGTGTGATCTGCTGATTGATCAGGTTGTCCTCAACGACCATGATGCCGCGAATCTGGGGTGGTGGTATTGTCAACCCGCCAAGCTCAGCTACAGGACTGGATGCTATTGGGCTTGGCCGCGGCGACGATGTCGAACCTCTATGAGGATGACTGGGGCGCATGGAGCGAAGATTTGGAGCCTTGGCCATCAAGTCTGACATGGCAGCCTTTGCTGCCACCGCAGTCGCCTCAGCATCACGGAGAGAGCTCTCACTGGGGTGGTAGGCTTCGATGTAAAAAGCAAAGGTGCTACCAACACCCGGTTGACTGGCCACTCCAATGGCGCCATTCTGCAGTTCCGTGAGCCGACGGCTGATGAACAACCCAAGACCCGAGCCTCCATACTTGATATGGGTACGACTGGACGCCTGGACGAAGCGCTGGAAGAGACTCTTCTTCTCCTCTTCAGTCAGACCCTGGCCTGTATCTTTGACCTCAAAGGTGAGGAACATGGGTTCTCCTCGGTCATGGACGCTTGCTGTGTCGCTATCCTCGGCGTAACTCTCCTGGGACCTCGGGATGAACTGCACCGAACTGGTGGCCTCGGTTGGACGTGTCAAGCTCGCACTAAGCCCGACGGTGACGTTGCGGGTTGGACCAGTCTTGGTGAACTTGAGAGCGTTAGTCAGTAGATTGATGAGAACCTGTTTTAGACGTGACGGATCGAAGTCCAGGTATTTGACGCCAAGATCGTAATATGACTGGTCGACAACCATGCTTAGGTTGATATCGACTCTCCGAGCCTCGACTTCGAACATCTTGAGCGCTTCCTTGACCATCTGAATCGGGTTCACGGTGATGGGTGTAATAGTCAACAGCTTGGAGTCGAGCTTTGACATTGTGAGAATATCATCAACGATGCGCTTCTGATGTTGAGCACACCCAACAATAGTCTCTGCACTGTCGATGCCGTTATCCAAAAGCTCACAGACCTCTGCACGAAGCTCGTGATTGGGCTGGTTATCTGTAGCACCTTCGCTCGCATAGCTCCGCGCATCGCTGTCGCTCCCATGATGGTCGCCACCGACAAGTTCCTGAACGCGTGAGAGCGTGGCGGTGATGGCATCTGCGCAATGGATGATAGCACTCAAGGGGTTGCGCATCTCATGGGAAGTCATGTCGATAAAGTTCTCCTGCTGGCGCTTGGACTCGATCGCCTCCTCCTTCCGTTGCTTCTCCCTATCCAACTGCCACTTTTGTAACGAAACGTCACTCAGACAACCAGTGAAGCTTTGTATGACACCCTCGGTGGATCGCACAGGCATCAGCGTCGCTTGTACCCATCGCGGCATAACCACTTTGTGGCCCGCTCCGTCATCGGCAGTCCACGTTGTCCGGAGTCTGGCTTCCACATTCTGGACTTTATCCTCGATGACCATCTTCTTGAGCTTCTTCATCACCAAGCCCACATCCTCTGCCCAGACGCAGGTCTCTAATGGCCTAATAGTCACCTCAGTTGGGTCGACCTTCTGCAACCCGCACATTTCGTAGAAAACATTGTTGGCGCCTAGAAGGCGTCCCTCAAGGTCCATATCGTACATGCCAACTGTTGCGAATTCGGCCATCCTTTTGAGGTTCTCAGCCTGCTGTGCTCGTCGAACCGCCTCTTCTGCGGCATGCTTGTGTGCCGTAACGTCCGTCAAGCATGTCATGGTCCGTATGATGCTTCCATCCGGGGCGCGTTCTGCTTTAGTGGTGGCAAAGATATGGCGCTCCTCAGACTGATCGATAGGGACAAGATCCAGACCTGCTTTCTCGAAGCTCGGAGAGTTGCGGGTTAGAGATGGAGCGACGTCCGTGTGGTTCTGTGGCTTTACCCTGAATTCGAATTCAACGTGATGCTCCGTCTGCAGTTTCTCGTATGCGGTGACAATGTTTTGGCGGTCCTCTTCTTTGACACAGGCAAGGAAGGCACTGGTTCCCATGGGGCCGTTTCCTGGGAAGCCTGTCATCTTGTACCACGCGTCGTTCGCAAAGGTTATGTTCCCTTGAGGATCACCGAAGCACATGCCGACCGGAACGAATTCAACAAGAGCTTCAAACATCTTTATCGACTCGTTCGCTTCCTTTGTTTGGACAGCCAGCTTTTCTTTGAGCATGGCTTGATCATAAGCAGCCTGCTCTGCCGCATTGCGTCCTCTCCGTGCTTCCTCCTCAAGAAGGACCACGGAGGCCAGAGAAGTCGTAAGTTTTTGACTCAAGAGTAGTATGTACTGACGATAGTCGTTGTCGTAAGGGCGTCTCGGGTTTAGACCCAGCAGAAGTAGCCCCATTGCGTCTTCCTTCTTTGTCGGCCGAATTGGCATGATCACGACAGCCCGGCACGGATCATCTTTGAAACCTCTCGTCTGCAGACCACGGAGATACTCCTGCGGAAGCGTGCCGTCCTTGATCTGAAGAAGAAGTGGCTGGTGTGCTGTTACGGCCTCCCTAAGCGCTGGTGCTAGAGCATGCTCGTTTGTGCTTAGGTTGATCGCGGTTTGAGCAATCGGATGGCCTTCTGGCACCCCCAAAGCTCCGGCCAGTCTGCATTGCTTTGCAGGACCATCGCTGCCAATTTTCATAGCGCTTCCTTCTTCAAAGGCCTCCACGCTATACAGAATAGCAAGCGGTATATCGTAACAAGGATCGACGTCGGAAAGTTCCTGGAGTGTCTTGTCCCAGTAACCCTTGACATCGCGTGCGGCAACCAAGTCCTCACCAAGGTCAACGAGCATCTGCATGCGACGCTCCCATAGTCGCACACTAGTTGTGTCCCCGACCGGATGTATGAATCCTACGCACCGTTCCTTTTCGAGGATAGGGACGAGCGACCATTTCAAGTATGTCTCTTCGAGCCAAGGAGGACCTCCTTCTACCTCGGGTTCCCTTTCGATAAAGAACCTCCACTCATCCTCGATCGTCGGGTCTTCTTTCCGTGCTATACGCGACATGGCATCCTTCAGCTGTTCGCCGGCTCCCTGCCACGCGTTCTCCACAGTCACTCCGAGTAGTGATGGGTGTTTCGAACCGCATAGCTTGCTGAATGCCTCGTTGTAGAGGGTCACGTAGTTGGTGCCCCAGTAGATGGCAATGGGGCGACTGTCAGCGAGTATTTGGTGGAAGGTCTGCTCCAAAGTTGGGGGCCAGTCTTTCATGGGACCCAGTGGTGTTGCGGCCCAATCGACACTGTGTATTACTTCGAGGAATGACCGTGTTTCTTCATCATCAAGAGGTCAGCTGGAGACTCATGGTGCCATAGCTTGGCCAATACAAGGGGCAGGGACGCGTACCTGGCAAAATATCTGGTAGAATCCAACCCGGGTCCGTAGTCGAACGCTTGAGAGATTGGATCATCTCTGGGGAAGCCAGTGGGTACTCGACCGAGCCCAAAGGAAGAGTTGGCGGTCCAGATCTTGTCCGGCTAAGTAACATGTAGTCGGGAGGTGCCAGGCTCAGCGAGGATGTTGAAGATGGTACTGCAGGGGTAGCCGCAATGGTGGTGGTACTAGCCGTGGTAGCAGCAGTTGTCTGGATAGACTCGGGCGCATCATCTTCAACGGGAATCAGGCGCACCGGGGGAGGGACAATGCTTCCGACAGGCGAGGCCTCGTCGACCCGAATATTTCGCGGTGGTTCAGAGGAGGGCGGTTGGTCGTTTGCGCCCACAACGACCATGTCAGGGCGGACGATGGTACGGGTCCAGTAAATGTTCATGAAGAAGAAGTTGGCGGCTGCCTGGGCACCGGGCAGGTCTGTAAGCCATTCCCACAGCTGGACATTGTTGGGCTTGCGGGTGGTGATGGCGTCCTGGAGGCGGGCATCGGCATCGAGGGCGGGATTCGTGTAAACGATGGTGGGCGGGTGCGGGGTTAGAGCGACGATGAAGGACGGGCGCTGGTCGACCTCGAGCAGATCGATAATGCCGGAGGTCAGGAAGGACGGATGCATTATTTCCACCGGCAGGGAGAAGATGCTCCAGTTGGGACGGGGTCGGTCACGGTCGTCGTCTCAGTATGACTGCTGCCGGTGCCTCGCTTGCTTCCAACCGGCACGGCGCTGCGGCTGGACAGCCTGAGAAGACTGGACGGGACTGGACTGGACGTTGCGAATGGCGATCCACCAAGCCACCCAAGCCGGGGGGGAAATACCCAACGGGGGAAAGTGATATGTCTGATACGAACGCGGGATCTGGGATACTCGATACGGATAGCCGCTTTCTCTCGATATACCTCCTCTCGGTGGTGACCGGCGCGGAATGGGTGAGCCAAGGAGCCAGAATCGGAAGCGAAGTGGTACTGTAAGCAAAAAGAGCGAATGTGACTTGCGCCTTTGCGATCTACGACTATAGAACCTAGACGTAGACACGGGAACCTCGATATGATCAAGGGTAGGGGCAGAGGCAGAACTGGAAGCTGGAGTGAGACACCAGCAGGAAGCTTTGGTGGGGATTGGGTGGTGGTCGTCGTGGTGCTGCTGTAGGCGAAGGCGCGCAGAGACGCATTTGATATTCGAGCGAAGCCACAGTTTTTCCTTGATCTCCAGCAGGATTGCAGGCTTCCCGTCGTTCGCTCCCGCTTTGGGTGGTGATGGTCAAAGGATAGGATGGATGGGGGGGATACCTTATCGTAAACCTCTTGAAAGGACTGAAGGAATATCCGCAACCCACCTATCCTTTCCAAAGAAAAGAACAGGATCCGGAAAAAGGAGAGAGAGCTAAAACAGGCTCAGGCAGGTGAACCTGGAAAGGTCACACGGGCGACAGGACGGAGAAGAGTTGGTTGGTGGTGTAGCAGACGCAGCCTCAGGGTAGCCGACACGGGATCTGGCGAAAGGTGACGATAGTGAGATGGTCCGGGGGAGTCGGGGGACGGGGACCGACAGGAGGGGACCTTGGAGGACCTTGGAGATCACGTCTATCGTGGCGTATCGTAGTATTCTGCTGCTGTAGGCCCGGTGCTATTCGGTGCTAGCACGATACCCCATGTGTAGGCGCGCAAGCACTGGTAGACATGGGATGATTAGTGGAGGTGAGGTATGGGGTAAAGGCGAATTGAGGTTCCACGTTTCCAGCCTTGGGTTCAGGGTTGGCGAGCGTTTAAAGCACCCGTTTACTGCGTAAGCCCGGGGCAAGTCGGGTTATACCCGTCAGGATATCCGGTGAGTATGAGTAATCGGGTGTCAGGGGGTAAGGCCTGGAGTAGTTGTCGGATAAGGTGTTGATACCGACCGGAGGAGATGGGCAGTTGATGTTTTGATATCCTTTCTTGTGTGGTGTTGAGGTCGAATTGGGCTCAGGCTAAGGTAGGTAGCAGGTATCCCGGGCCGTCCGCGGTAGGCTAGTGGTCAATAGTGTTGGACTGAAATCGGAGAGAAGTCCCAAATGTAGGGTCCAAAATGGGCAACGTTATGCCGCTGACGAAGAAAGAGGGCAAAATTGTGTAGCTGGAGACTCTGGAGACTCGGTCGTCCCTTTTGGTGCGTGCTGTACCGTGCAAAATTGAATGGAGAGAGGGTGGATGGGCACGGATGGGAAAAGCATCCAGTGGGAAATGCAACCGAATTGTGCTTGAATCCAGTGGGAATCCCTATGGGAGAAGGCGATCGCGGCCCGATTTGGTTTGGCGTCTTGGCTTCTTTTTTCTTTGGGCTGCAGTGTCACTGGCCAGTCGACGGCCAGTCAAGATGAGACGCCCCGTTCGTCACCGACCGTCACAAGATTCATGATGTCTGTCATAAAGATCGGAGGTGCGACTCACTGTAGTGTATTGGACCTACCTCAACCTACCTCTGCACGCCCTCGGACGACAGCTGTAGTGAAAGCCTGCATTAACACCTTCCGTCATAATGCACTGCCGGGTGATGCTCATTTGGCGGGATTACGGGAGTAACAGCGGGCGGGCAGGCCGGAATCGTGGCCGCAGATCGGGCGTCGGCGGTTTGGATTTTGCAGCTCACATGCCAGCTCGACGAGTTGATTAGCTGCAGCACTTGATGATGATTTGCAAGTTTCTAAAATAAACAAAGGACCCCTTTTCGAGAATACGAGAGTCTGATCAAGTTTCCACCGACTGACTCTTTCGACTCTTCGCCTAGAGATAAAGATACCTATGTCGGACCTGAGGTGACCCAGATACTCGGTGGTTGCGCTACACATATCACAAACAACTCACAGCCCGATGAGTTAGCTCTTTGGTTAGTAGGTCTGTTGGCTTGAGTATAGTTTTCTGCCAGCTTACACGGGGGACCGTCAATAATATGTTGATAACATACTCTCGACTTGAGAACCCCATGTCCTGTTATCCCACCCGTCTAATAAATCTGTTTCTGTCTAAATAGTGCAACCACACGCCTCGTCTGTTTTTGTGTATAGCACACCCTTTCTCAGCCTCCTACGCAATACTTTTCCGAGCGTATCCAGTATTTCCGCAACAGTGCCGAGTCCTTTTGAGAGCCTTTCCCCGTACCTCCTTTTCCTAGCAAAATACCGACCCAATGATAACAACAGGAAACCCAACAAACCAAATCACATCCCCGTAGGACTCTCAAAGCTCACCAAGGGCTTCCTCCAGCGTCTTGCCCGTAAGCAGCTTAAAGGCCTCCTTGTACCTGGCGCTCGTAGCTTCAGCAATCTCCTGAGGCATCTCGACGCCGTCCTTGGCCTTGAGCCCCTCCTTAGTGAGCCAGTTGCGCAGAAACTGCTTGTCGAAACTGTCCTGGTCCCGTCCGACCTCGTACTCGCTGGCCGGCCAGAAGCGCGACGAGTCAGGCGTCAAGACCTCGTCAATGAGCACAATGTCGTCCGTCTCCTCATCCAGGCCGAACTCGAACTTGGTGTCGGCGATGATGATGCCGTGCTCGCGCGCATACTCGGCCGCGGTGGTGTAGACCTTGAGCGCCAACTCCTCAATGCGCGCCGCGTACTTCTCTCCAACGATCTCGGCCGCCTTCTCGGGGGAGATGTTCTCGTCGTGTTCGCCCAGCTCGGCCTTGGTGCTCGGGGTGTACAGGGGCTTGGGGAAAGGAGAGCATTGCTGAAGGCCGGCAGGCTGGGGGATGCCGTGGACTGTGCCCGTCTTCTGATATTCGTTCCAGGCGCTACCAGTAATATAGCCGCGGACGATAGCTTCGATGGGGAAGACCTTGAGCCTCCGGACCTGCATGCTACGGCCCCGGATCAAGGCCTTATCTTCATCGCTGACCGAGGGAGGAGGAGTGAGGCTGATGAAATGCGTCTTAAGACCGGGAATCCGCTCCCCGAGGACTTTGAACCAGTGAGCGGTAAGCTGAGTGAGGATGGCACCCTTCTGGGGAACACCATTGGCCATGATGACATCGTACGCCGAAATGCGGTCGGTAGTAACGAACAGCAGTGTCTTGTCATCAATTTCATACAGGTCGCGGACCTTGCCGCTGGTCAGCTTGGGCAGCGACTGGAGCTCAATGGTGGTTACCACGGGGATCGACATGGTTGTGGTTGTTGGTGGTGGTCTGGTTTGTTCGAGGTGATGGTGGATGATGGGACGGAACCAGAGAAGCAAAGCTGCGCGGTGCAGTATGTGTCTTTATGAGGCGATCGGAGGGTGCGACTGGAGATCACTCGATGAGTAACTCTGGTCAATCGTTCAGGAACGAATGACTCTTTCGATAACAAGAAGAGCGGGTCCCTCGCACCTCCAGCTGCACCACTGCAAGCGAAGCAGGACAAAATTTTCAGGTGTCTTTTTAGTGTCGTAGGGCTGCTGCACAATGAATGCACAATGCAGACTTGTTGCACACCACGGCCGAGCAGAGCCCGTGGTGGCATGCCGGCCCACGTGTGTGATCAGCGCCGGACCGACCGTCCGACCGCTGAGACTTTGCTTGAGGGCAGGGTGTGTGAACAATAAATGCCACAATTTGGGTTGTCGTTTGGCCGGTGAGCATGGCATTTACTGTTCAGACAGCCTGAGGGGGTCACCGTTTTACCGTCACCTCCAGCGTTCATCCACCGCCACCAACCATCATATCGTCTGTTCTCGAGACTCGGACCGTTCCATGATTCATGAATCTGTGAGTGTTGGGTTGTTGAGAGATGTAAGTATATAGAGATGAGAAGTGAGACTTCAGAGTCGAGCCGAGCCCGGGCAGCTTGGGCCTCATCACCAGTATCAGACGCTGTACGCTGTAGTGACGTCGAAGCAGCCCTAGAGGTAGCAGGCGAACGGGAGGGAACAATGCAGTGGACCCAGTGGCAGTTAGTGAGGGGCTGAACGTACCTGAAGATTCCTTGATGATGATTGGTCTCATCCCTCCACAGTCCATCTCCGACTTTTTGAATTGGGTTTCTGATGCTCCCCGCCCTTTTCCGTTCTTGTCGTTGGTTCATCTCAGCAACGTCTTTTTGTCGACGAAACCAGATGATGGGATTCTTCTCCAACCCTTGCCCAGAGTCAGACCGAAAAGGATGAATTGGCGCTAGCCTCCAGGCTCAACCCGGATCATCTCTAGCGGGAAAGTTTTTGATTGCGATTCGACAAAATCGAGCCTCAACTTGGAGCCGTTCGCTTAAAATCAACCGAACCACTCATTTCGATTTTCGAGTGACGCAGCGTTAAGCGCAACCTCAAGCCCCGCGCTTCAAACGGAGGAAATTACCAGAGAGGATCGACCTACACCGCAGGTATCAGGGCAGGATGGAACGACGTGAGACGTTGGAAGGATGGAACCTCGGAGTTGGGAGGCCCGAGGATGACAAAGCTGGATGGATGCTGGGCGAGAATTCATTCTCCTTTTGCTTTCTTTCTCTCCCGAGAAAAAGGAAATACGCGCGTCAAGAAAGATTACCCAAGAGTGCTAAGGAAATGGCAGGTTCTTGGGGTGGTGTTCAGTTGTCTTGGTGATCGTTTGTCGTTGGCTGATAGGTTGGCCGTGGTTGGCATCACAGCAGCTGACAGGCGGGAACATTGCTATTGAACGCTCGCCCAGTCGGATACGGGCAGTAGTTTCTTGGCTTCTTGCGTTGTTGGTTCCCCGTGGCTTCTTCCAGGGGCCTGGAGGGCTTCATCGGCGCCCGTGGAGAAATTGGACATGGGAAGCTTCTGCCCCTGGAGGGCTGCCTTGGACAATGTCCGGGGAGCCCCCGTCCACGCCACACCAAGTTTGGTTCTCGGCCAAGTCTTCCGTCGGTTTGCAACGTCCAAGACTGACCAAGAGCTCTGCGCCGCCGGGGTTGCTCCTGAGTTGCTTTCCGTCATCCAGGCGGCCGGCTCTTCGGCTTGCTCCTCAACATCAAAAGAGCGTCAATCACTCCAGCTTCCCTTTTATAACCTTTGTTGCGCTTGACGTACCCGAGCAACCGAGAATCCAGAGACCCGCGAGACTCTGAAGAGCGGCTTCATCGGCAGCGGCTCCGCTCCTCACGTCCATCTTTATATCCACCGTCGACGAGGCCACACACCGATCCGAACAGATTCAAGGAGGACCCGGTCGAATTCGTTAGCCCGTCTCCATACCGATTCTGGACCGCCCGAACAACTTTGGACATCTGTTGACGGCTTCCGCCTTAATGCGATCTTAACAACCCTCTTCCGCTTCCGTCTCAACTTCCCACAGCATCCTTCGCCGTTGGAAAAGGGGTCACTGTTGATATGAAGTCTACCTTGGCCACCCTGCTGGCCCTGGCCTCAGCAGCCGTTGCCGAGAATGGTGTCCTCAACTTCCCTCTCAACAGAGGCATGCCTCATTTCAGGGTCGGCAATGTGCGTCAGAACGTCAAGCGCGACACCTACAGCCAGGCCCTGATCAACAACATCACCGGCGGTGCTTATTATGCCGAGGTCACTGTGGGCACTCCGGGCCAGAAAGTCAGCGTTGTGTTGGATACGGGGAGCAGTGACCTCTGGGTTGTGAGCTATAAGGCGGACTTGTGCACCGACTCTTCGATCCAACGTAAATCGGGGGATTCGTGCGACAAGACCTACAACCCGAACAAGAGCTCTTCGTACAAGGTCCTGCTGGAGGGTGGGTTCGAGATCCGGTACCTCGACAATAGCACTGCCGCGGGTGACTACATCACGGACAACCTGAACATCGGCGGAACCACCATCAAGTCCCTGCAGATGGGCTATGCGACCAAGACCGTCCGCGGCGCCGGCATCTTGGGCGTGGGATACTCCTCCAACGTGGCTTCCACCCAGCGCTACCCCAACCTGATCGACCAATTCGTAGCGCAAAAGCTCATCACCACCAAGGCCTACTCTCTCTACCTCAACGACCGCCGCAGCGACACGGGCGGCATCCTCTTCGGCGGCATCGACAAGGACAAGTTCATCGGCGACCTGTCGATCCTGCCCATCTACATGGCAAAGGGGCAAGCCGAACCCATCCACTTCGAAGTCGAGATGCAGAGCGTCTCTCTCGACCTCACAAAAAACGGCAAGACGACCAAGATCATCTCCACCGACCCCTCCCTCAGCCAGACCTCAACCATCGCCATCCTCGACTCCGGCACCACCCTCTCCTACCTCCCCACCAAAATCACCGACCAGATCCACGCCAAGCTCTCCGTCTACGTCGACGACATCTGGACCGGTCTCACCTTCATCGACTGCAAGTACCTAACCTCCAACCCGGACCTGCGCCTCTCCTTCACCTTCGGCTCCAACGCCACCGTCTCCGTTCCCGTCTGGGAACTCGTCCTCGACCTGCTAGGCGAGACCCAATCCGAGCTCCCCTTCAAGTTGCCCTTCCAGCGCGCCTGCATCTTCGGCATCCAGAGCACCTCCGGGTTTCAGGAGGACGGGTTCGATGAGGACTGGGCCCTCCTCGGCGAGACCTTTTTGCGGTCTGCCTATGTTGTGTACGACCTCACCCACCACCAGATCGGCATCGCGCAGGCGAACTTGAACAGCACGACGACGGATATTGTTGAGCTTACGGGGGCGGATGGCGGGTTGCCGAGTGGGTTGACGGGTGTTAAGGAGCAGCAGACGAGCAAGGATCCATCGGGCAATGCGGAATCTGGATCGGGTTCTTCTACGGATGAGGACGGCGCGAAGGAGACGGAGACGGTCACTGCTGGGTCTACCACCGCTACGGGGACGGCTGCTTCGGGGGCTAAGGAGTCGGATAGTGCTGCGGCTGGGTTGAGTGCTAAGGGAGGCGCTGCTGGTGCTTTGGCCGTTGCTGGGCTGACGGGCTTCTTTGCCCTTGTCGGAGGAGCAGTTTTTGCCCTATAGTTGTATACACAACATACACTTAGGCGGACAGACCTTAACTGCAGATATATACGGCGGTTGTTGTTTTGGATATAGAGACAACTGCTTATTGCTTACCTTGGATATAAGGGGCAGTTAGTTGGTAGTAGCGTAAATAGCGGTTACTGTACATAACCACCAGCGCAAAATACGGTACTGCCTCAGAATACCTAATCAAATAATCTTGTTCTGTATCACGGCTAGATGATAATGGGTTGTTATGAAAAGGGAGAAGATAAAAGAAGTGGTTGTCATTCTCGCGGGTATAAATGTCATCAAGCCAATGAACTATTCAGAACTCGAAGCAGGCACAAAAGAACGCCACAAGCCATCCTACTCCTGCAACTTCTCAAACCTCTCCCTAGCCTTATCCCTCGTCTTCTCCACAAAGTCCGAAAACTGCCCCTTCGTCCTCCTCGCCGCCTCCTCGCTCGCATCGCCCAACTTGCCTCCCTCCGCACCCAATCCCACACCAGGCGCATACGCCTCCGTCGCGATAGCCTGCGTCCGTCCCATGCCCTCGGCACCAAGACCCGCGCCGGTCGTCCAGCCCATCTTTGCCAGCATACCCGCGCCCTTGGACTTCTTCGCTGCCGCTGCCTCTTCATCAGCATGCTGTTGCAGTTGCTGTTCCTTGCGCTTCTCTCCACCAACAGTAGGAACGGATGCGCCAATCCCAGCAAGCATTTGCTTCGATAATTGACCACCTGGCTTGTTGGGCTGCAGGAATGCCTGCCGGCGCTCCATCGCCCTGTCGCGGTACTGCTGCGTGCGCTGTTCCTCCCGACGAAGCTTCTTGTCGGGAACCATGGTGAGCGGCACTTTGCCCTTTGCGGCCAGCTCGGCAACGGCGCGCTCCTTGGCTTGGGCGTCGGAGAGCATGCGCTTGTGCAGCTCGCTTTCCTGCTCATGGCGCCAAATGGTCTCGGCGTGCTTGAAGGTGCGGTGGCAGAGGTGACAGTAGAGGGCGTCGAAGTCGGCGTACGAGGTGTAGACGGGCGGAGCGTCGTGCTTGAGGCGAGGGGTGCGGCGGGCGATGGATCGGGGCCCCTTGCCGAGCGAGGCGAGCTTAGCGAAGGCCTTCTCTTTGGTTTCTGGGTCTTTGAAGTGATTGTGGACGATGACTTCGTGGCTGATGAGGAGGTCCTCGCGCGTATAGGGGCCATGTCCGCGGTTGTTGATGGTTTCTTGCGAAGGGACCTCCCAGTCGCAGAGAAGACATATCATGCGGTCCCAGTCGGCATATGAGAGGTGTTGATCGGCCCAGTGAGGGTTTAAAGGTCCGTCTGGCTCTTGATCATCGTCATCTCCCTCAAACCCTGCTGAATCGAGGCCGCCTTCAGCAGCAGCCAACTTTTTCCCGTGTAGTTCCGCCGCCTTTTTCGTCCACATCTGCATCTGCGGCATCATTGCGATGCCCTTTTCACCAGGGGCTGGCTCTTTCTTCCTGAATTTCTTCAGGAGGTTGGCCTGGCGGGTAAGGGGATTCTCGATAGCGCCGCCATCTTTGCGGTCGGTAGACGTATCTGCGCCTTGAGGTTCAGATGTAGGCTCGACCGAGACAACATGGATGCTAGGATAAACACGCTCGTCCCAGTACTTCAGCCGAATAGTAGGGTTGTAAATGGGCTGGAAGGAAAAGCGCGGATCCTCGTCCGGGCCAACCTCAAAGGCCGGGATGAAGACGCCAGTGTGGATGAATGAAACAACAACCGCCCTGGACGCAATCGTAAACCTAGGGGAATTGCGGAATTTCGCCACCGCACCCTTGGCGTCTTCAACCGTCGCAAACTCAGCGAAACCGTATCTCCACGATTCGTTGCTCTTCCGGTTCCGTATCAGAAAGACGCGGCGTAGGCTACCAGGTTTGGCGCCGAGGTTTGCAGTGTTGCTGCCCGGCGCTGTCGACTTCAACTTGTGGGTACCAGTAGGCGCCTTTGTCGTCTCTTCGCGGAACAGCTTCATGACGCCCCTGGCTAGAACTTCCTCGGTCACTGACGCCTCCAGATCTCTGATTACAAGATACTGTGACGGCATTTGTTGAGGGTCTTCATCGGTTTCTCCGGTCAGGAGAGGACCCGATGATGGGGCCCCATAACTGTAGCCGTAACTGGCATCATCTGCGCCTGTTAGTCAACAGTTTGCCAGGACAAGCAAAACGGGACGAAAACATACCGGGTCTCTCTGTCTTGCATTTGAAGCACACAGCACGGTAGGAGAAGTTGACTGCACCGCACTTGAGGCAGTCCCAGTCCTCATCGTCTCTGCGGGACTCGTCCATATCGCTACGACTCCTTTCGAAGAAGATATCCATAGTAATGTACTCCGAGTTGGGACCACGGGTGTGCTCGAGAGGGAAGGATATATCAGGATGATATTGCTCCATGAAGCTCTCTGCATCCGCGCGTCGTTTAAACTCGACGACCGCAAGGCGACGACCGGCGCTGTCGTAGCGGAATCGGACAATCTTGATTTGGTCGGTAGACGTGTTGGGATCACGAGTGACGAGGTTGAGACCGTAGAGAACCTACAAGAGTTTGGTGGATGGTTAGAACAATGTAGAGCTACAGGCTAGGCGCGAATACAGCAGCAGACTTACATCACGTTCGGTGGCGTCCTCCGGAATGCCTTGGAGAACTATGATCTTGCCTCCAGGCGCGGGCGCGGGCGCGTCGTTGTGTCGCCTGGAAGATTGGCCTTCCTTATACCCTCCGTTATGGCGACCGCTTGGACTTGTCCCTCGACCACGTGCTCGGTAATCGTCGTCGTCGTTGTAGTGTCTTCCACCACCACCACCACCACCACCGCCGCCGTGTCTCCCCCAATCTCCGCGACGGGCGCCACCGTATCTGTCACCACCTCCTCTGTCTGACCTGCCTCTATCTCCATCATTGTCTCCGCCGCCTTCGTGATATTCGCCGTCATCGTCGTAGTTGAGGCTTCTTGACGGACTTAGAGCATCTTGTTTGCGTGTCAGACACAACCAAAGTTAGCCATGGCAAGCTCGGCAGCAACTTGTAGTAGGCACAAAAATGGCCATCGTCCAGGCTTAGGCTTGTTCAGGTTTTACCCTCTCTCGACCGGTAGTACTCGCCGTCTTTTGGTCTTAGATCGTTCGAGCCCGGTAGGCGCGAGTATGGTGGTGGTGGACTACGACTGCGACGACGATAGCCACCAGCGTCGCGCGCCCTGGGAGCGTAATCCTCAGGCATTGCGGCGCGTGTTCATGAAGATGCGCGAATGCCGCGTTGCTTGAAGCGCGTCTTTCAAAGGCGTTGTGGGATCGATAATTTGACTTATGGTGGGTTGCGCGCTGTGAAAAGCTTCCGTCAAGTGATGGGGAGCTTTCAGTTGTCTTCGATGGTTGGTGAATGGCAATTGCGAGTTGCTACGGCAGTACAAATGTTCAACTGTATTCTACCCCACCCAGCACCTGGCAGCACCGCTACTCACACCCTACTCCCAAGCAACCAACCTGCAGTCTCTAAGTCTTCTTGGCCCTTATCTTTCATTTCCAAAGACTCAAAGGTCTTTCCCTCCTCCAATCATTCCTAAGAACTTAGAAGTCTTCCAAAATATATTTCCTAGTACATCAAATGGTGATATTTGGTCTACGGTGTTGAAGAGCAGCTTCCGGAATCCGGATCCAAAACGTCACTTGAACCACAGCTTCTCAATCAATCCCCAATTTGGAATTGGAGTTACTTGGTCAAAGCTTTTCGTTCAGAGTTTCTCATTCCCCAAATTAGAAGAAGTGAACCAAGTGAACTCCAAAGTCCAAGTGAATTCTAGAGGTAAGCTAAGTGACTCTAAAGGTAAACAAGTAACTCCAATATTCAAGTGAACTCCAAAGTCGAGTGAGCTCCAAGGTCCAAATAGCTCCAAAGGGTTCGTGCTTTTGGAGTCCAATTTTATTCTCGGTAACGACTTTGGGAGACTTTGAGCCCTTATTTCTTGGCCGATAGTGAGGGTTAGAAGACTTCCGAGCAGGCAAAGGGAGTGGGCGTAGCAACTGACAGGTGCTCCCAGGTGCTGGGTGGGGTAGAATACAGTTGAACATTTGTACTGCCGTAGTTGCGAGCATTCGACGCTGATGCAACTGAACGAAACAATGGCTCCCGCTCGTTATCTTATCGGGTAACTTACGACATCATTACGGTATCTTACGCCATGCTCCGCCCAGTCCCACTTACAAGTGAACTACAACCTTGATGTCAACTACACTGACTGATATGATGTATCAGTCATCACCACTAGTTTTCGGTTCTTCCAGTTTCCCAAACGGAATCTGTTTCTCTTTCCCTGATATATAATACTTCCCTCGGGAAACCTGTTTCACTCGCTGACTTTCTTCTGGCATATAGCCCACTCACCTTCCATTACCTCTTTACATTCAGTCCACACCTGCCAACTTTCCACTTCACATCATAGCTCAGGACAACTACTTCCTTGCTTAACTGTTCATATTGCTTGAACTACAACAAAGTACACCACCAGACACTCAAAAATCCTCACACCTCATCAAGACTCCAGTCACCAACCATGGCAACCTTACAACCAACTCAAAACGAGGAACCCCCTGAAGTTGGAGCTCAAGCTCAAGCTCCAGCCGCCCCATCTCAACAGCCAGCGCAAGAACCCACCGAGATCTCAGAAGACCACATCTACGTAGCCCTCACCCACGACCACCTCAACTATCAATCTATCATAGACCAAGTCCGCTCCCCAGAAGCCGGAGCTATCGTTGTCTTTGCTGGTTCGTTTTCATCCCCCCTCTAAATATCGTTCCTTTCCCGCTCCCACTCCCCATCTCATCATCCCCATAAAACCCGCCAACTAACCCACTCACTCCCCAGGAACAACCCGCAACAACTTCAACTCCCTCCCCGTCCAGCACCTGTCCTACACCTCCTACGCCCCGCTCGCTCTGCGCACCATGCTCACAATCTGCCGCTCCATCCTCACCAAGCACGGGTTGAAGGGGATAGCGATGGTTCACCGGCTAGGCGTGGTTCCCATCGGGGAGGAAAGTATCTTGATTGCGGTGTCGAGCCCTCACAGGCAGGCGGCATGGAGGGCGGGCGAGGAGGCGCTGGAGGAGTGTAAAGCGAAGGTGGAGGTGTGGAAGCGGGAGGAGTTTGCTGGGGAGGGGGGAGGGGTGTGGAGGGCTAATAGGGATGGGGTGGTGGGGGTTAGGGTTGATGAGCCTAGGATAGGGGATGGGAAGGGGGATGAGGGTGGCAGCGGGAATGGGAAGAATGATGGGCAGAGGTGATGGGAAGAGGTAGTAGCTGGGGAGGGGGGAAGGGGGTGGTAATGAAGAATGAGCGTTAAGGCATGAATGCACAAAAGGTGTATGTGATGATCAGACGACGGAAATGGTTCGAGGAAAGATGAAACGACATACTGTATATGAGAGATGCTGAAGTATAGACATGTTTGCAAACTCACCATCTCTTTTTCTTTTCTTCTTGTCAGGATCCCTATTGGAGGTATGTATCTCTCTGGATTCCAAGATCCTCGCCATCACGTTTATCGGTTTTTGACACATATCTGCAATATGCGTTCGGTTACGAAGCTAACCTTGGCCTAGTAACAGAAATTATAATTTATATCATAACACCATCCCCATGATTGTCAATCTTCCCCGGGATTAAAAGGCAGATGACCCCTACAAATTATCCACCCCAGATACCAAACTGCTGGTTGCAAACACACCAACATCATATCCTGCCTTTGTCACCCTCCCATAAATTAATCCATTACGTCTGGCCTTCATCACACTATATCTCCCTCTTTAGTCCCCTAAACCACCAACTCATAAACACATCCTCTACATTTTCCGCCACTCCTATTTAGAACCATTTCCACCATGACTTCCACTGCTACCGGTACCCTTCTCCTTATCCCTCCCATCACTACCATCATCACTGCCGCCTTTCGAAACACCAGTACCAACACCGGATGAAGGCTTCGGCGGCGGACAAGCACCAATCGGCTTCGGGAAGTCATAACCTGATCCACGGCCTCTGGGCATGTTTTTTTGATGGGTGGTCGGATGGTGAGATGTTGGGTTGAGTTGGGTTTCTGCCGATCGAAGGACAGGGTGGAAGTTTGTACAGTGAGTGTGAGGGGTTTGTCTCGAGTAGGTGTCTTCGGGTAGACCGGCTGGCTTAACTGGTTGGTTGATGGAAAGAAGGAGCCTGGTCTGAAACAAAACCCGGTGGTTTAAAGGTGTTTGAGGGTAAGTGCTCGTGGGTGGTTGTCGGTGACCGACTGACTGGTCGAGTAACTGAGTGACCGGCTGAGAAAGATGGAGATGTCCGAGGCCGCGGTGTTTGAAGTTGACTGCTTCGGAGAAGTAGATGTAGTGATTGTAACGTGTAGAGCAGTTTGCTAGCTCTTGCTGCAGAAGAGTGTCAACTTGGATGAGATGCCACCGTCTTGCCACAAAAACCCAGGGGGGGGGGTTATGGTTTTTCTGCGTCTTTTCCGGAGAATTTTTAGGAGAAAGACCAGCGGTGTCTCTCCACGAACGAACGATCGAATCGAGGTTGATGTTCTCGAATGCGAAAGAAAAAAAGAAACAATGTTTGTTCCAGAGCAAGGGATGGGATAACCTGGGATAGCCGCCTCTTTTTATTCGAGTCCAACAAACAAAGAACCAACTCGAAGCCAGCCCTTCCCAAGTCGTCGATGCCTTGATCGAGGTCATCTCCAGGGGTATGGGGCTCACGTATTGAGAGATGGTTCATTTCCGGATGCAGAGAGGAGAAGGAAGGCAGGAGCAGGCCTCCAAGAGATATCGGGTTGGTGCCTACCGTGCATGATCGTTTTTGCGGCATCTTAAACACTGCAGCTCAAGGGAAGGAGTGAAGTGAACTGTAAAATGGCATCTGGTTGGCACACCGCTTATCCTGTATGATCGAGGTACCTCCTTCCCGCAGAGCCTCTTAGTCCCACGTGCGTGAGAACCTTGCGGGATAATAAGAGCTTATAAGGAAGGTGCCTTCAGTCGGCTGAGAGCTGACGCAAGTCCATGGTCGACTGGTTGCAAGGGAAGTGCTACCGATGTACGGAATGGCTTCATGGGTTAATGGTGATGACGATCGTCAAGACCGGTCAGCCATGTCAAAGAAGGAGCTGAAAGGGTTGCTCTTACTTCTACTTCTAACAATGTATGACTGGTCCAGACACCCGGAAAGAATATTGAGGAAGGTGAATCCGGTACTAAGTCTGGCGGTGAAGAACCCATATTTTCATGATGCTCATTGATACTGGAAGCGGGAAGGCACGACATCAGCAGACCGGTGCAGGAATATGTCAAACGCCAGACATTCCTTTGAATCAAATCATTATCGCACCGAAGTGTTAAGAAAAATATGCGTATCGTCATAACCAAAGTCTAAGCTTTGCGCAGGTCCCTACCGAGAAGATACATAGCACGGGACGTCCTGAATCTCCTCCCGAAGACCCGAAAAATGATACATGAAATCCGTGGACCCGACCATAGGCCATGGACGCCTACGAGACCTGGAGTAAGCCCCTTCTCACTTGAGCCAATATCCTGTGAATGTGGAGAAATCTCTTCATGTTATGCGCGGGATGCATGTGCCGGCTGTGCCTGTCAATTTCCGCCCATATCCAAAACCCCAAGAATCCCAAGAAGTTCCCGCCAGCCCTGGAGGTGTTCCCAATCATAGACTCCTTCGAGAAAAATAACCAAACTCCGAAACTCCTCTTGTCTTGTCCGACGCCCTCGTTATTACTCGTAACTTACAACTATGGCCACTCGTGAGGTCCAAAGATCTTTCCTGGCTGGACGTGTTTCTGTACCGCTCTGGCGGTCGTATCCATGGTGCTCCCAGCCACTGTGTTGCCAAACCATTCTGGCGCTTTGGTGTGTGATAGCGTGAGGGAAAAGAAAATAACGAGGGTCGACAGCAAAAGACCAACGTCAAGGGCGGCCGAGGTGAGGTAGTTGTACTGCAGCCACCAACCCGTCTTCCGGCGGCGAATGAAAAAGTTGAAAACAGTGCCGACTATGCCCCAGCAGTAGTAGATGTAAACAGTTGCGGGCGGAATCCAGCCTGAACCGCCAAACACCAGCGGGAAGTTGACATAGCGCCAAAGCGAGCGCGGATATCGTCGAACGAAAAACCACGAAATCACGGGAGCAATGGCACCGACGAGCCAGAACCACTGCAAAGAGCTATAGAGTGCTTTGCCGGAGAACATGCGGGCCGGTCCAATCGCACCCCAAATGACGGATGCAGTGAAGAACACCTTGGCACTGGGGCAATCAAATTGGTTGGCCTGGCCGTCTGTGCAAATATCGGGGATTGCCCCAAGGGCCCAGTTCATGACGGCGATCTGGACAATGGCGGACCAAACCGAAGCTATCAGCTGGGACCAAAACATGACGCGAGGTGGCACCTTCATGTAATGGCCGAGCTTGAGATCCTGAACGAAATAGAGCGCCTGCGACATGACGAGATAACCGTAGTTCTTGAACATCATCATGACCAAGGGGCGGCCGGGGAGCATGTAGCCGATGACATACTCGGTCAAGACGTTCAGTCCCAACTGAATATTGGTAATGGCCTGAATGATTCCGATCGGAATGGTCCATACCACGGGAATCAATATGCAGATGATAAACGCCCACCATGGGAAGCTGGTGTCCCAGGCACACACCACGGCAAAGGACATACCAAGCATGATGGCGAATAGGATGATATACCACCAATCCTCAGCGTCACGGTATTTCTTCATGAGGCGCATGTGGACATCGTCTTCTTGATGGCGGGCCAACTTCCACTGATTCCAGATATCCTTGCCGTGATAGAGGCCAACATGAACAATGATGGCCGCGACAGCTGCGAATGACAGCCCGTATGAAAGGGCGAACTGGGTGGGGAGGTAAAGCGGCGAGTATGCGTGGTACTTGGCCTCGTCGAAATGCAGGTTTTGGTTAAGAATGCGCAAAACGTCATACCTCTTTCCGGTGTTGTCGTACGAGTGCGACTCTTGGACTGGCAGATAAGCTGAGTACCACGTATTCGAATATTGGATTCCGAGGGAGACAATAACGAAGAAAAACGTGACACCGCCGACGACGTTGACGATCGCATGGAATGGCGACGCGAGGGGTGACAGGAGATATCCAGAGATGATGGACCAATCCTAAAGAGAGTCAGCACATGAAAATGATCTCGCCCGGGAATCGTAAAACACTCACAAGAGTTAAAGGGAATAGCCCATAACCGCTCTGTCCGCCAAACAACTGATTGACAATGACGTTCTCGGGCCAGATCCAGGTAATCCAGCACATCCAAGACAGTCCCTGGAAAAGATAACCAGGAACCCAGTACCACGCAAATGATCCACCCATGACAATCAAGAACCATCGGTATCGGCTGATTGACCAACCATTTGTCCTTGCCGGATCCGAGGGCGAGTGATCGTGGAGCGTGTAGAAGAGAGTGCAGTTGACGAGATCCGCGGGCCAGATCATGGCAGCGGGCCAAACCAAGAACCTCCTTGCCAAACCGGCAAGTCCATAACCAGTGCAGAGCGTCGAGATACCGAAGAGGATTTGCCAGGCCCAGCCGAACGACTGTTTATACCAGATCTCCTGAGCTAGAATGACATCAGTAGCATACAAAGCACCACCACCGTACGCAGCCTAATGAAGAAAGCGTTAGCAGTTAGTTTAACAAGACACAAGGCCAGACGTACATTCGACATGACAACAATGATGACATGTTCCTTGAAGTTGAATGGTCCGGGTTTGAGGTTGAACTTGATGCCGAATACGGTGAAAACCCGGTCGGGGAAGATGAGATCCCAGCCCAAGCCGATGGGGTATGCTATGAGCTGGATAGCCAAGGTCGACAAACTGATGCTAGGGCTTCGCAGAGAGAGCAGCATATTGACAGCGGAACCGATGGTGCAAAGCAACATGCCGATAGTCCAAGCCCGGATGGTGTTGACGGGCATCTCGACATCGTAATTTCGTACTGAAGCTCGGACCTTTTGAAGTCGGAGTTAGAGAGAGTCCAAATCGGATACTGACCATGACGAGCAGAGCGATGAAGCAGGATATCTCACTTCTGGATATGGCGAATTATCTTCGGCCAATATTTGGTCGATCTCGGTTCCCTTCTCGATGTTTGCGCTGTTCAGAGCGGTTTCGACCTCGTCCAGCTCGTCCAATGGTAGGTTTGGGTCCAGGCGATGCATCTTTTCGAACTGCTTCAGTGCAGTCAAGGCCTCGAGGCCAGTTGAGTCCCCCTCCATCGATCCATCGTCTACCATATCCGGCATAACATCCTCATCGCCGTGCCGTCGTCGAAAAAAGTTGCGAAGCATTTTGGAGCAAAAGCGTGGTGGTCGCTATGCCTCCCGTGCAACCAAGCCCGGAAAGCAAAGCGGGAACACAATCGGTGTCGTGCCGATCTGGGGCGATTCCGCAAAGCGAAAGATAAAACTTGACAGCTGGATGGTTAGTAAGCTGATCGAAGCGTACACATGGCTGCCTCGACTCCAGCGACTGTTGACGTTGCACGGGTCCGGGCCTAGAACATCAGGCTACGGTGTGAGTTGAAGAGGTAGGGATCCAGAAGGGTTATGACGGAGGAAGAGTATTGTAAATGGAATGTCGACTGAGGGAGACGACGATGAAAGGAGAGACGGATGAGATGATAGGGAGATAGCAAAATGTGGATTCCGAGTTTACGCCAGGCCGGCCTCTAGACTTGGCTCGTCTCTCTGGCCCTCTTTCGACCCTCTCAGACCGTTCGAAGTCTTGGCCTTTCGCACCTCATTGCGGCATGGGCTAGCGTGGTGTGAAGATACCGTGAAGATACCGTGTAGATATGTCGTGGGTGCGTGGGTGTCCAGGTGGATGACTGTGTGCCATCGGAGCACCACCTCAGGGCACCACACCTCTTTCTTCACTTGTCGGCCAGGGCAGTGCTGGGAGCCAGTAGTTACGGTTGAAATTGTGGGAGGGGGATTGCATGATATCGAACTGTACCGTTTCTGGCAACACTAGCCATGGCGGAAGATGCAGCCCCAGCCAATGCTGACCTGCCTAAATGGGTCCGAGGGCTTGCGAAGGGCGACTACAGGGTGGGTTCAAGCGAGACCGACAGGGGTTGAGGGTATCTTGAAGCGGGGGGCACCACATGGGCTCGATGGGTAAAGAGGCCCAGGCCAGAGGGCAACGATGGGGGAGAAGGCTGGCGTGACCGTTTTCCGGCTCGCAGTCTGGATGGGTGCCCGTCCCTGGGCGGGTGCTGACTGGCTGGAATGCTTCTTCAGACTTCAGTTCCTTCGGCGATCATCATGGGGAATATGGATCGATTGGGTACTGGGACCGGTACTAGCAGTCTGTGGACGGCGATGTTGAAGTTCGAATATCATGGGCCCATGGGTCCCGAGAAACACATGTTGACTTTCAAAGTTCGGCTCTTGATGTGCGGATACCGTTTCGAATTGGATATCTTGATGAGGCCGGTGAAGGACCTTTTGATCTGTCCCGTTGCTGGTAGCAGTGCTTGAAGTAGGGCAACATGGTGATGTTGCACTCTGACGGCGCCGCCTTCTTGTTAATGGCTCAGTCTGATTGCTGAAGACATGTGCCTACACTGATTCTTCAGCTGCTGGTCTATCCTGCACCAGTGACTCCTTGGCCTTGGTAATAAACAAGCTACATAGCAGTGGCTAGATAGCCCTCAGACAGCGCCGGCGAAGCAGCGGAAAACGGAATTGCCTCCCATCTCCGCTACCGGGGCGATACGGCGCAGCGGTTCTGAGGAGGACGGCTTGCCACTTTCTCATCATCCTCGCTGACTCTCCGACGTTTCTGGGGAGTCGTAGGATCGATCCCGGCAAGGACCGTTCGTGTCACCGTTTCAGTGTGTGGTTTCTGAGTGGTCCAGCGGTCATGATGGTGGGGATGGGCAGTTCAAGCTAGTGCTTGACTAGGCGACGGCCGATGGCGGGCATGCAAATGCTTAAAATCATGGGGGCCACTAGCCCGGGCGCATTTTATTGTCGTGATGGGATCCGGAATGTTACCACGGAGCCCAGGCTCAAGGCGTTTTAGATTCCGTACTGGGACTGTTGTCGGTGAGGATCCCGAGTAGAGCTATGCAAGGCGGTATGTAATAGAATGTGAAAATGAGAAGATGGGTTGTCGTTGAATCCATGATTTATGAAGTGCAAACTGAGAAGCCAAGTCGGGAGGAAAGAACAAAGAACCGTCCACTCACAAGCAAGTGGGAAGTCTCCACCGTTCGGGGTCTGAAATGCACTGAGTGAGAAGGAACTGCCCGTCCCTATCCGCCCCGCAAAATGCCCTGTGCTTGCCCTTTGAGATTCATCTCATCTCCAATCTCTCGGCAGGCATCGTCCAGAACCGCCGACGCTCGGAACGCCCAACCTCGAGCTACCGCAAAGACTCGGGCCATCCGTTTTTAGGTTCCAGGGAAATCAGGCATAATCAATACACTTGAGGCACCTCTAGCATTGCAGACTGCTCGAATCTCTTCCAAAACCCAAACCCTAAGGCATCTAATACATAGATTCTGTCAGTTAGGCCCTGGAACCTAAAAAACGGATAGCCCGAGTCTTTGCGGTATGGCCTCGATACAAAGTACCTTCCAACGCCCTCGTCCAAGACGGTCCCGTACTGCGAGGGGGGGGTCTTACGAACTATTCGCGAACGGTTTTTGGACAGTTCTCAAATTGGTAACTTATACTTAGAGCCCTCGACTTTTTTTAATATCTAAATGCACTAACGTCTCACCTTTGAGATATTTCGTACCTGATTGACCGTTAATTCATAGTCTTTTGACAATCCGAATATTTTCAACGTTTGGAAATCCGGACGTTTCGCGGTGCGGGACAGTCAGTTGAGAGTACATTGGCAATCGCAACTAGTTTAACATCGGGGGTTCTCGAGGTGTCTAAGTACAGATCGAAAGACCCCCCTCCTCCCAGTACCGTTTCTTTTATCTCTGGAAAGTGTATGCAGGAGCGGTCTAACCTCATGACTGCACCCCCTTCCAAGCCGATTCCAAGCATCCACGACATCTCAGCTTGTGTCTTGGTTCCGTCGCGGTCCTCACCTCATCGCTCAGACACACCCACTCCTGCCATTGATTCCTGCCACTGACTGCATCTCGCCCACATTCTTGCCCAGCTCCATCACCCTCATTTTCCATTCCATCACGCCGCCGAGACGCCGAATGATGTTGTCTACATATCATGAACGATAACAAGGAAGCAATACCTCTCGTGCACACATCCCTTTTGGTACTGTGCGTGTTGCAGGCAGGGGGAACATGATCAACAGCGGCGGGCAGGGCAGTCGGGTCTGGTACTATCTTGCGAGTGCCGACCGAATCTCGGCTGATGAAGCCCCCCATGGCACCGTTATGTTATACTTTTCTCTTCGTCCGATAAGCTCTGTTGGAATGATGAGTTTCCAACGAGCCGTGTGACAAGTCATTGGCACCAAGTGCCGTCCTCTCTCTCTCTATCGTTATCGGAGAAAGTCGTTTTTGAATGCAGATAAGGAAAGGGGAAAAGCATGACAAACTTCAAGTTGAAGACTCAACCGCCAAAAACTGTCTGTCTGTCAATCAGGTCGATGCCTCCAAACATCACTCCCCAGAACTCCTCTGAGGACGGTGGGTGTCTTGGCTTCGTCCGCAGATACAGCCGTACCACACGAACATGACCGAGACGATAGTGGCCGAGACCGCTCAATAACCAAAATAGCATCAGCAATAAATTTATTGACTGACGCCCATGATCCGGCTAATATACCTATCTTGCCCAACCCAGTCCAGCCAGCATCTTTCCTCGACGTGGCCCGTCACTGTTCACTTTCCTCTTTTTTTTTTTTTTTTCAGTCCGCCGAAAGCGCCACCACCCAGGTTTTGGTTCTTGTTCAACCCACCTCCATGTATGCAGCTGAGTATTGATGGCTGCGGCAATGCCCTATGCTTTCTTCGTCTCTCTGTATTGACAACAGGAAGGAGCTGTTGACACGTGGGAAACCGGGGGTTCCTCCGAAGCACTGCATCGAGGATCGAGAAGAGAGAGAGCACTGCAGCATACGCCCTACACAGACATGTCCTGGTATCTGATGATCAACCGTCCCATCGAAAGGAACTCGGTTGGTCCTCGCGAGGCACGGCTAGATATTGATGACCGACTGCACTACGCCGCTTGCTTGATATGTACGTTGGCTCATTCCTTCTCTTCTCCAACATTTAGATTTTCATACCAAAGATATGTTTGGGGGCGATACGTCTTCATTCCTTTCTCGTGGATGCATTGCCAGAGTGTTCAATACACGCACCAGCTACATCTCCATACATCCAAGCGTGTCTTTCATTTATTTGCTTAGAGTTGTACGACGATGAGAACGAGGACTAAGTTGAGCGCAGCACACAAACACAAAGCAAGAGATCAAAGAGGCAGAGGAAGTCCGCCGTGAACAGATTCTCATATGTAAAATTAATGTTGCCCTAGTACAATGGACGAACTATGTATGTAATGTACGTAGGTAAGTGCCTACGTACTTGTATGTTATGTAAACCCCGATCCCATCCAGGCTCCTCTATACACCCCATTTGCCGATCCATCTATACGTCCATCCATATGACCCCTAGGTGTATATCAAGAATATCGCCAAACCTCCTGTCAACACCTCCACACATGATGACATGCTACCAACTGACCACGACAGTCAAGTCATGATCGACTACCGACTCCTCCCCCATAACCTCCCCCGCCTCCCCAAAACACTCTGCTTCCCGCTACTCTCACTCCCGCTCTCACGAGCATTACTACAACTCCTCCTATATCTGAATCCAGATTCTTCAATCACGTCCAGCTGCGCAGACCGTGGTCTTCTCATCTGAATAGCCTTGTAAAACGGGGTGGTTGTTGTTGTCGCACTGGGAGTATAATCACTAGCGCTCCGTTGATGATTCTGCCCTTGACTCTGACCGTCGTGACGGTAGTGGTGGTTACCATGTCCATGACCATGACCACCCAATAAGCTCCTCATTAATCGTCTGGCAAAGCTTTCCACAACCCCTCCAGCACCAAAATGGTTGTGGTCGTCTGAACTAGAGTCTGAGTCCGAATCCTCGTCGTCAGAATCCGTTTCGAATACTGAGACGACGGGTGGAGGCGGAGCAGGAGCAAGAGTAGAGGGAGGTGGCGGCGGTGGTTGCAGAGGTGGCAGTGGTGATGTTGGAGGGACTGGGAAGACTACTGGTGAGGGAGGTGATGATCGAGAAGGTCGTTGTGGTCGTTGTTGTGGTTGGACAGAGAGGGGGAGGGGGGGTAATGGGCGCTCTTCTAACCCTTGTTGTTGTTGTTTTTGTTGATGATGATGTGGCTGATGTGCCCTTGTTGGTTGTTGTTGGTGGTGGTCCCTGCTGCCAGGAGGCCTGGGGAAGGAGGCGCCGCGGGAATTACGACGCAGGTTGGTGAGGGATGGACGGCGGAAATCGGTTGGGGTGAGGTGGGGAGCGTGAGGGTAAAGAGAGGACGACTCTGTTGGGTGGTAGGCAGCAGAAGCCATCTGCTGTGATAGATTGCTTGTGGAAGAGGGGACAGGGATAATGGATGGCCTTGCTCGGAAGACCAGGCTTGCTGTTGTTGTGGTGGTGGTGGTTGTCGACCTGGGGCTAGGTGAACAGACCGTCACAGCCAGCGGCTCGCCCCCCAGTTTCCTTTTCCTACCGAGGCTCGACTTCCTGCACATCTGTACCACTGGGGTTCGTGTTGGTGGTGGTGGGGTTTGCTCCGACAGTCGCAAGGTGTCCGATGTCCATGGCCGGGCTAGAGATGATCTCCGTGGTGGTGGCGGCACCGAAGAAGAATGTTCACTGTCGGCAGTTGGCGGCGTGGGCGGGAAGAGTGAGTAAGTCGAGGTGGGAAGGGGCTTGTTGAATGTCCGAGGCACCTGGTGACTGTGACTGGTATATGGAGGAGTCAGAGGCCATTGGTTATTATCTTGGGCGAAGCCGTTATCCGGCCGCGACGATGCTAGAGTTGGCCTGCTGCTGCTCTTCTTCCTTTCTGGTGTGCTGTCGGCTGTGCTGCCAGCATGATGGCTGATGGGCCGTGCTGGAGTGCTTGCCGTCTGGAAGTCCTTTTCGTGTGCTTGAGTGTTGTTCCAAAAACAGTTCCACAGCCCCCCAGACCTGGAGGTGTGGTGGTACTGGTATTCGTCTTCGGTGGAGATGTCAGAACCATGGTCTTCGATCATGCTCGGCACAGATGAGATATCGGACCCAACAGACTCGCGGCCCGGAGATGTTCCTGACAAGGGGTAGGAGTAGTTTGATGTTTGGGACTGGGGAGGATACGCGGTGATGACTTGAAGGGTTGGACGTGGGTCCCGGTAGGGAAGCTGGCTGTGGAAGTCCATTGTTTATGCGCTTGGATATCTGGAAAACAAGACGGGAAGAGAGTCGTCGGAGTGAGCAAACTTGGAGCAGGGTGACGGGAAGTTTATCAATGTGTAAAACAGATGTGCGGCTCAACCGGACATGGGGGTGGTAAATGATATGCCACAAAGAAGCAAAGAGCTTTAAGCATCATCCGGGACGCAGGTTGACGATCCGATCGAGTCTCACACCTTCAGGTGTGGTAAACTCTCGAGGCGTATATGTACTCGACGTCGTTGCATGGAACAATGAGAGAAAGGACAGTGATCTTGCACAAATAAAGCGAATCCAAACATAAACAAAAGCTTCTAGCAAGGAATGAAAGGAGCGCATCCTTAGCCACCCAGCCGGTTTTTCACACCGCGCCATCGCGTTACTAAATCAAGCATTTGGAACGCCAGATTGGGAAAGTATAACAGTCCAGGCTGAACCTCAAAGTCATGGGAGTTTCAACTGGAACGCAGCGGTAGCCCCGGGCAACTCCGTGTCACCACGGCATCGACTCCCCAGCTCCTCCCCTACCACCATTGTACATAATATGTTATGCACCCAACCATCCCCAGGATTCCTTTTTCGGCCGCTTCGAGGCTCGTAAACGTCGTTGGGCCAAGCTAAAGTCGGAATAGGGCAGAAGTGGCACTTTGTTTGTGATATGACAAACAAGGGAGGACGGGGCTGGAAGGAGAGTGGTGTAAGTGGTAGGGGAATTGATTGCCATACCCCCGTTACCAAGTGCGTCCACGTTTGGAAGCCCTCAAGCTGTAACGGGAAAGGGTCCAAACAGCCCATCATGTGTTCTCTCTGAGCCACACAGAAATTGACAAGGTGCGATGATGCATCTAACCTCCCGATCTGGAGGTGGTGGTGATAGCTGATAGGTGTTGAGTCGGGCAACAAGAGGGAATGAATGCCACCGATGGCCGAGACAATGGAATGAGAAGCTGCGCGAAACAATGAGACAATAATCGCCCCTCTGCGCTATGTTTCAACTCATCTCCCCAGCAACCTAACCTTCAATCTGAACCCTTGTGACATAGAAGGCGCAAAAGTCCAAATGTCATCGATACAGGGAAATCTGCCCCCTTCGGCTTCGAGCCGGAGCTTTAGGTTGGTGTCTCAGATGGGATGAGCGGTGCATGGAGCAAGGGCTAGTCGGCTGGATTCCGGAAGTTTGACTGCTGCAAATCGGTCGAGGAGTTGATTCGTGTCACGGTGCGTCATAAGATATACGACGACGCTGCCGCAGCTTTGGGTGAGAAGCTCTTGGCCGTGATGCAAAAGTGGAAGAACGAAAGGATTTCTCAACGGTTGTTTCGAAACCGATTTGGATTTGCATGTTTGCTGATGGAAAGGGGAGCAAACTTGACTTTGATAGTTGCACGATTGCAAGTAACGAATAGCGGACAAAGCAGGATCTGCAGTCAGGGCCTCTGCTGCATTGAGTACAAAGATCATCCCTTCCCTTCGCCTTCTCTTTTCTTTTTCTTCCCTCGACGTTGCAACATGGCGCTGGCTTAACGGTCCTTTGACCACCATGGTCTTGCCGAAATCACCGAGATGGCTGCACTAAGCACTTGCTAAGTAATATTCTGCGATTTGTTTCGTTTCCTATTTCTGCGCATTTTGACCGCCGGCCACGCGCTGCGTTAGCTGGTGACGGGACTTCCAGTTTCTGTCGTCGTCGGAGGGGCTCACTCTGCTAATGCAGTTGGACGGGACGTGATTAGTCACAAGGGAGCTTTGTAGAGGCGGCAAACGAAGGCGGACCAACTTGACGACATGTCAAGTTTGTGCAAAACAATTTCCGTTGGCGTTGGTGGTACCAAGAAGTTGCTAACTTTGACAAGAAAAGATGGCCGGTTGTATAAAAGCCTGGTACGTCGGCCAACACTGACCAGATATGCCGTCCATGCCAAATAGCCCCGAGAAAGCACGATACATTGTCGATCATAACCTCACGAAGGATATAGTTGTTATAGAGTCTGCGGAATTATCCGGTGTTGCGGAGGATGCCGTCGGGTGATCCAGGTCAGTGTCGACGTCCTTCTCCCTTGGAGCACCTGTGCCCTCTTAACCGGGCTCATCCCCACCTCTTGGGCTTTTGACTTCATACCAATTGGCTTGCCACTCGACAGATTCTGGTTCACGGCTTACAGCCTAGGCTAGGGCACCCTTCTGGCCGTCATGGCTGGCCAAGACGATCGATTCCATGTGAAGGCATATGATACGACGAGGTTGGTTATCGGTTAGGTAAGAGTGATGGTCAATGGCCGAGAACAACATCTATTATCTGACTGTACATTAGCATATCCGAAAAGTTAAGTGCTTCACCGATGATACTCAGCCAAGATGGTCAGAGACCTGGACTTGAAACTTCTCGATTTCTCTAGATTCTAGGTAGACGCATATCCTTCAGTAATTGTTGTAAATATGCTCCAAATGCCGCGAGGTTCGCTAAAATCTAACCATAAGACAAACACTGTCGTTCCCTAGCCCTACAACGACGGACCAGTCCAGCCCTCTCTCTTCAATGCCCACCTCACCGCCTCCCGCGCATCATCCACAATGACCTTCGGTTTGAACCTCCCCTGGAGCGCCTTCTCACCCGCATGCTCCGGGCTCCACACGCCCGTCCGTACCAGGACCGAAACCCACTCCGTCCCGGCCTCGCTCTGATAATCGTTCGCCCCCGCGATGTCGCTCTCGGGATTATCGCCCACCATGTACACGCTCTTCAGCGTGCCGGGCTCATGGTGGCCGCGGCTCCTCAGCACCTCATGCCTATGTGTCTCCAGCACCCTCTCGGCAAACTGATACGTCTCACTGTAGGGCTTGCCAATCACCCGCCGCTGGAGCTCATGACCGTTCGTCAGACGCCGCCAGACGCCCGCCACGGCAGCCTGGAACGCGCCCTGTCCGAAGCGCGGAAGATGGAAACCGGTGCTCCAGAGCAGGTCCGCGTTGCTGAAGTACAGCGGCGGCTGCCCATCCTGCTGCCAGCCGCACGAGGGCAGAGCGGCGTCGCCGTTCTTGGGCGAGTACGTGCCCACGTAGCCCTCCTGCGAGAGGAGCAGGTCGACGATGAGCTGGATGTCGTAGGCCCAGTCGCGCGGGTCGTTGAAGACGAACATGGCGTCGATCTTGAGCGCGTCGCTCAGGCGCATGCCGGACCCGGGCGTGAAGATGGGCTTGGGCAGCGGGCGCGCGGTCGCGGTGTAGACGGTGTCGAGGAGCGGGTCGAAGGGGAAGACCTCCGGGTGGGCCTTGAGGATGTCGGCGGGCGTGATGACGTTGCGGAAGCCGTAGGCCTCGGCGATAAGTCGGCACTTTTCTGCGTTGGCACCCGTCACGAGGATGGTCTTCTCCCGGAGGCTGTTGGGCCCTTCGACGAGCTGGCGGAAGGGAGTGTGCGATTGGACAAAGTTGTCGGTCGTGAGCTCGACGCCAAGTTTCTGGCTAAGGTCTTTTACCCGTTCGGTCTCGTGCTTGCCGCCGCCGTTGGTGAGGAGGATGAAAGGGATGTTGTTGTCGTTCAGGAACTTGAGGGCTTCGGGAGCGCCGGGAATGGGCGTCGCGACGTGGAGGAGGACGCCATCGATACTGCGGTTTGGGGATTGATTAGAGATGGGTAAAACCACAAGGTGGGTGTACCTGTAAGTGACCTACTCGAAGGCAAAGGCAAATGGAGGTGCCTCGCTCGGCGTGCTCTTGGTGCTGTACTCGCAAGATTCTCGACTGTTACTCCTGCTCAGGCCACCTGTCTTGCCAACCAGAGACGAAAATTGGGCGGTTCGTGTATGCTTCTGCGTTGCGCGCGGTAGACCGGAAGCCGCGCCACGGATATGACGGGATATTTGGGAGGGCGATGGCGACGACGATGTCAAAGCAGTAAGGTTTGGTCGGGCGAAAGCAGTGCCCAAGATGCGTGAGGTCCTCATTATGTGTATAGCACTGAACTCGACGCGATTGATCTCGAAGTTCGGGTAGGTATGCAATAGTTGATGGTAGGATTCGGGGAAGAATAATGGGTTCTAGAGGATAGATCACAAGTAAACAAATGTCGTCATAACATGGCTGGGATGGACTTCGGTGGAGTACTCTTCTTCGTCTCGTATGGAGCTTTCCACGAATTCCATCCGTCCCCGTCCGGTGTCCACGATCCCCGCCATGCTCGAGAGCTTCCGGCAAAATCGACCGGCATCGGCGGCTCCCGCTCTCGAATGCAAGCCCGCCGGCGGCAGACGGGACCCTGATCTTATCATTCAGGTGGGGCAAGGTGTGCAAGGTCCGGTACGACGGGAGGTAGAGGTCGAAATGTGCATTCGTGAGCGCCGGAGCGCAGCTGCATGCCAAGAAATGTGCCTGACAGCCGTGTTCCTGTCAACTGCCCCACCAAGAAAGTGACAGGGAAGCTCTTCCTCTTCCTCTTCCCGTCTGCTTCGAAGCTCACGCAGTGACAGAACTGACTGAGTGCGCTGATCAAGATCAACAGGTGACGGGCATGATGCACACCACCAAGGTGAGCAAGTGAGCTGACCGTCTGTTTCCGGTGCTCTGGACACCTCCAAGATTTTGACACGTACAAGGCTCCCAATTAGCTACGAGATGTGCCACTCGAAGTTTCCCAAGCCTTATTATTGCAATTTTTTATGAGCAAGTAGAGTCTAGAATAAGGTGTGGATGGTCTTGGGAATGCGATTGGATACCTTATCTCTATCAAAACATTCGGGCCCTGCTAGGAACAAAGACTGATGCTCTCGGTAGACTGTTAGAAGAGGACGACAGAAGTAGTCTGGGATGTCTTCTCCATACCTAACACTATCAGTAAATCCCGTCGGTCCCCTCCGCCTCCACTCCCTCATCCCTTGCTCCCAAGGTAGGTAGGTATGTGATATGATATGCCCGATCTTGGACGGTCCTGGTGGGAGGTTTGCCTCTTCGTTACGCCGGTTTGTGAGGCACCGCTCGGCTACCTCTAGGCCCTAGGGCCACGACTTTGCCGCCCAGGTCTTCTGCTGCTGGCCTGCTGCGTTCGTACGACAACGTCACTCGACACCCTAGGTAGTGCCCCGGCAAGCCTGGAGGTGGCCAGAGCCCAGAGGGGAGTTGATCCGCCTCTTGTCCGTCACGGTCCTAAATTATCCTCCAGTTCATTAAAGTCCATCCACACTATTCTCATCAACGTTACAACCAAGTGGAATTATATGTGGAATTTTTTCTCTCGGTCTTTCAAACGCCACCGCGTCGACATGGTTCTTCTTTCTTTCCTCCTAGTGTCTACCTAACCTTTTCTTTCTCTACTTCATGAACTCGTCTGACAGTCTGCCCATAGAGGTGATCCAAAACTTACGCCATTTCGGCGCTTTCGCCCTTCCCAACGTCTCCGCCATCGACGATATACCATCCCCATTTGTCTTGCACCCTGTCTCCTATTCTAGGCCTTTGTCTCTGTGTCACCCTTTTACTCTTTTTCTTCAAAGTCTTTCGAGAATATCAACATACCAGGCCACTTACGACCGACCTCATGCGGAGTTTAATACGACACAATCGAAGGAAAGCAAAGCCGAACACCCAAAGAACCCGTTGATCGACGACAACCGTCCAATTATAACACCTTTCTATAGCCCATCAGTGCTACGCCTTCCCGTCCAAAAGAAACTTCGATACATCGCAAAGACGGCCCAAAGCACGCATACCTGTCGTGAGTATGGCGGTATGGCATTCTACACTCCCCATTCATTTCTGTTGCCCCCTCCCGTTTTTCACACTCTGACAAATACCCTCATATTTCTGCCCTATATCTTGAATCTTCACACCTCAAATCCTACACCAGCTTTCCATGGCCCTATCTGTTCCACGCTGAATAAACATCATCATATGCATCACAAAAAGCCAGTAAACGATAACAAAAGTCCATTCCTCCCCCTTCTTCCTTTGCTCGCCTTCAGTTTTTTCTCCAGTCATATACTCACACAAATTCCACGATCGAGAGGTACTTTGCTGATGGGTGACAAGTGCTTTTGCTCTCGCAAATGCCTTGCAGACCCTCACTCAACGTCAGACGCTATGCGCAATCCCGTGGAGATCCGGCCATATGCTGCTGTACTCTCAAGCGATACCTCTCATCGATTTAACGACAGCGAAGAATCGACAGATGGCTTGCGTGAATTTCTTCTGCCATGCCATCCACCGATGCCCAAAGTATCTTCCGCCATCAAACCGAGCGATGGGTACAAGGATATATACTGTTAATCTGACAATGTTCCGCCGAAGTCGGAAGCGAATATTGAAGCAAAAGTTGCGAGAGCCTAAGCAGGCTACAGTACCCAAACAGGAACAAGCTTTGAGTAATAATATGCTGTTCCGAATATGTGCGTCGTGCGGTGTGTTGACCGCGCGACGGTTCATTGTCACGCCTGGCTGACTCGGCTTGCCGAAGTGCGGCTACGTTCGTCCTCTTCCAGCACGTCGCTTAGCCTTGTTGGGTGATGGTGTCGGGGCATCGTTTCCCATCCAGGCGCTGCGTAGCCTTGCCCGCCATATCCGGATGATTCGGGGTACGTGCCGCCGTATTGCGAACTCGACGGGGGATAATTAGTCGCAGGATTCGAGGTAGGGGTTTCAAAATCCTCTGCCGCCTGGTCAGATTGGTGAGCTTCTTCCGGGCGGGGTGCTAGGGTAAGGGGTATTGTCTCTCGTCGACATCTTCGACAAACTTGTCATCAATATCGCCAGTTCAACTCACCTTCGTCATAGCCTGCTTCTGAACCGGCGCCATAATCTCCAGGTTGTTGCGTGGAGGTACCGGGTTGTTGCTGGTAATATCCGCCACTTGGTTGGCCAGCGGCAGTCGTGTTCGGTTGGGCAGCGGACCCTTGGGTATACTGAGGGTACTGGGGATTTTGCCCGGCGACATAGTCGGAAGTATCGGATTGGGTCCTCTGATGATCCCGCGTGCTCGCTTGGCGATTAGGAACACCTTGTGTCATCGGCACGACCTGGACGCCGCCTACTATTGTTGGATGGCCCTGCTGAAGGGAAAGTGTGCGGTCCCTTTCTTCCTGTTCTCGACGACCAAGTTCCTCCCACGCGCGACGAGCCTCGTCTTTCGAGATCAATAACTCTTTCCGCATCTCGGCAAGCAACTTCTGGGTCTTCGCGTTCTCGCGCTCCTGCTCCTGAGCTTGGCGGGCGGTTTCAGCTCTACTTCGCCGTTCCTCTTCCAAGGCGTTCTCGAGCATGGCGTTAGTCTCCTGCAGGCGCTCAATATCCGACCGTGTTTCGAAGAACCAGCGCTGGAACTTTCTCTCGGAGCTGGCGCGTAGCCTCTGCAGCTCAACGACTGCGTGGAAGAGGTTGGCACCCGCTGCTGATAAGTCGCTGACCTGTCTGGATAGCTGAGCGGAAATTGGGTTTCGGTCGAACTCGTCAGTATTCTCCTGGAGTTTACGTATCCAAAAGCTGGTCATTCCCTCCCAGTGCGCTGACAGGGCTTCCCATCGCTCAAAGGCATGAGGGAACGAGTTCTTCACCCTGGTACCGGCATTTAGCGCTGACGGCTCGGCTGGTTGCCCAGGCGCTGTACCGCCAGTCCCAGCGGCAGGTGTAAAGCCCTGAGGTGCCTGATTTGGTTGACCAGTGCGAGCTGGGCGCAAAGATTGCGGTGCGTCCGCTTGCGGGGGATTCCCAGGCTGTACCTGGGGACCGCCCTGGGCCTCTTGAGCTCGTTTTTGCCTACGTTGTGTGGCTGGATCGGTGGCTACGTTACCACCTGGTGCAGCGCCAGCAGCAGCATTTCTCCTTTCGGCGTTCTGTCGACGCGTCTCCTCAAGCATACGCGCCTCCTCTTCGGCGCGAGCACGCTCCATCTGCTCTCTTTCGGCCTTTTGTCTTGCCTCCCGTTCAGCACGTTCACGCATGATCATCCTAGGGCCACGGATCACCTGCTGGGGAGAGCCAGTCTGAGAAGGTACGGTAGGTCGCGATGAGGGCACGGCATGGCCATTGGAAGTAGCAGGGCCGACGCCGCCGCTCAGTAGATCCGCCATCGAAGCGTTTTCTTCGTCCAGATCTGAGGAGAAGGAATACGGCTGCCTTAGAGCTTCCTCGAGAGCCCAAAGGATAGCGCTCTTTGTGTGTCGAGAAAGGCGGAGGGGATTGGAGTGGGATAAGGAGGAAGTCCGTTCCGGGATAAACGACGGCTGGGGCGGGAATGTGTCTTCGTTAAGATCGTCACTGCTATCTTGCGAAAGGCGTTGCCGAAAGCTCTCGTGTGGTTGAGGGGGTTGTCCAAGTCCAGGGGGACCAGCAGTTGCGAAGATAGGTTGGGGTGCGATGCCAACGCTGGCCGCCTCGAGGTGAATGCGGCGCGAAGAGCGGGATGGGCTCGGGGTCGGGCTCGGACTACGGGCGCCTTGAAAGCGCGGTGTTCGCCGGAGAGTTCTCTGAGAAGACGGAGTGGGGGATGCGTCGTCTGATGCAGGTGTCGCCGTGGCTGACCGAAGAGGAAGAGTGCGCTGCTGGCGCTGTGTGGGCGTTATCGGGTTGTAAAAATCGCGGGGGTTCTGGGATGGTGGAGGTTGGTGTGTTCCGGCGGCAATATCTCCCTCATCGCCAGCGGGCGCTGGTGTGGTTGACAAGGTGAAGGGTCACCACCCTGGTGGTGACGAAATGCGACGCGCCTGGTAGGCAGGCTAGGGCGGGCTGGGATGGTGGGCCGAAGGCTGCGATTCGGGTCAGATGCTGCCGTTACATGTAATGCGCAAGGACAGAGGAAGGAGAAATTCCTGCAAAGCAGGCTGTATGTGTTTGTGGACGGATCGGTGGTGGTGGTGTCCATGACTGTCGCAACCAAGGTACACACCGTACCGACAACCGTCCGCCTTTTCGATTCTCTCCACTCACCTTGATGTCTCTGTTCAGCTCGGAGTACCGTGTATCATGACAGGATATGAAAGCAATATCCTGGCAGGAATGGAAGTGCAAAGGGAATATTCCTGTTCTTCCAGTGTGGAGTGAACAGTGAACAGGGGTAATGCAAACAAGTCTGGTGGGTAATCGTGGATTTGAGGTAGCTGTCGCGAAAAATGGACGAGGTCGGGCTTGGTGATGGGATGGAAGTGGAAAAAATGCGTGGCTGGTGAGTTTTGGTGACGAGTGTTTGAACAGCCAAAACAGGCGGGCGATTGGACAGCACTACACTGCACCGTAGCGTACTTGTAATTCGGTTTCGGTCAGGGCAGGTTGTCGGTTGGTTGTCCGGGTGTCAGCAAAGGTGATTAGGTCTAGTCATTAGGAGCTGAAGGGGTTGTTGAAGAGCAGAAAGAAAGCCAAAATCAAAAGCCGCGCTGTCGGCCGGGTGGGTGTCCTTTTGAAGGTGATACCCGTTGTTGACTCGTGTAGTCGTGTCGGGCAACCAGAGGACGACGAGCTGCGGGATGATGAGGCTGATGGATTGACAGCAGGGTGAGGTGATGGTGAGATGGTGTAGTGGGTTGTTCCAGGCCGGTCAGTTAGAGATCCCCCGCGTTGCTGCCCGGGCAGCATCAACCCTGGACAGAACCTGGAAACCTTAACACACACACACTGCTGAGGTTCCCTGCCCGCCTCCCCCAGGCGCCCCTCCACCTCGGGGTACCTACTACTACCAGCTATAGCACCTCACTCCAGCAGGGAAAGATGTCGCTGCCCGACCGCTTGTAAAGACCGTCACGACAAAACCACATCCGCCCTTTTTTTCCTCACCGCCTCACCACCGGCCAACCTTTTGCCAAGCCGAAAAATTGGGCGGTCGTCAATGCGCAATGGTTGAGGCGTCGTTAGGGAGTTGGCTCGGGCGCCAATGGCTTGAATTGGTGTCGATTCGTTCAGCCGGGTGAAAGCCTCGCGGTCGGTTGTTCAAGTCCGAGTCGGGAAAGGATGAAGCTGTAAGGTACCTGTGTCGACGATGCCATCATTTTCCCGGACGGGACAACACCTTATGAATGGTCCTAGCCACCACGCACTTGCCGTTCGGCAACGCAAGTTGACTTACAAGTGCAGGCACAGCTGTACACAAAGCGCTGCAGAACGATATGAAATTCCCGCTCGGGAAGGCACCAGGTAGAGGCAGGCAGGAAGCACAGAGAATGGAGGTGAACCCCGCCTGTTACCTCACTGCGCAATGAGGTTTGAGACAAACGTCACGGTTCCTTCCTGTTGGACTTATCGATCCTTCCTCTTCTTTGCCAGACGCAGGCCAACAAGTCCGGTTGTTTGCCAATCTTTGACTTTCGGTTTTCTTTTCTTTTCCATGCCAACACAGAGCGTTGTGCGCCGACTCGTAACCGGCTATCCTATCTCCTCCACGCCAAATCGAAACCAGCGGCGCCTGACACTACAAAGACGGCCCGGCTTACTCGAGCTGCGGCAATGGTTGACGTTGCTCAAACCGTCAAGAACTTCTTGGTCTCTGCAAGGCAGCATGGTCGGGCAACCGGAACAAGACTCGCAGCATCCCGTCACAGCATGACGGTTGTGACACGGGTAGGTCGGTCGATACGAAGTGGCCCGTTGAGACAGTCTGAAGATGCGGCGTGCTAGTGTCGTTGCACAAAGAACGCGCCCAAGGCACTTCTCATTACACTGACCATTAACAGACACTACCAATATGGAAAGACAAGCTCCAGTCAAGACAACCCTCTCCCAAAAGTCATCTCCGAGTTTGGATATCGGCCCCTTCTTTGCGTACAGTACGTACACACTGGTTCCTATCCGGATGCCCTTCTTCACAACCAACAAGCCAGTGCTTTCACCGGGGGCGAATACCAAAAAGTCACGTTGGCTCGGATTGAGCGGCTGGGGCTGGCTGGATAGCCTGGATGTGAGGCAGCTGGAAGTTGGAATGGAAGAAATCGATGCGTTGGCAGTACATGAGACGTGACGAAACTCATGCACCAGTGTTGCATTCTCCAATCGCCGACCTGTCTCAGGAACCCCAAGATCCCAAGAGGATGGTTCAGGGCAGGCTGCCCACAACCCGCTTTAGCCCCAACCCTGGTCCCATTCTCAACGTCGAGCTTGTCAAACAAGGCCCTACTACTCACCACGGCCAATCTCATTCTTCCTTCGTACCTCATCTTCGTACCGCATGGCCTCTACGCCTGTCTGACGTCGGTGTTATCCACCGGGGTCCCTCTCACGACTCGATTCCCAAGTTCTGGAGGCAAAATCGAACATTCTCACTGTGGAGCTACAGCGTTTTGGTGAGAAGGTGCTGCGGCTCCTTCAGTCTTTCCGGGGGGCATGGTTAAATATGTACCGGCCTGGATACGTTGCCGAATCGAAGATCCATACTCTTCTAGAAACGAACGCGAGAAGATCATCTAAATATGGAAGGCTCAGAGGCTCAAACGTCTATAAGACTGCTCCTATACCTACCTCATCACGCATGAGATCCGAGTTGCCAACGGTCCCAGTGGGGTTCATGATTTCATGACGCAGACGAACCCGGGGGAATGCTACTCATACCAGATTCGTTGAGAAAGCGGGAGAGACATGGAAGTTTTCGAGCCTCTTGGTGACAGCGTCTGATGCTGTTTCCCAGACCTCTCATCACCGGAAGATAAGCTTCGAAGGAAAATTCGAAAAATTTGCCAGTACAAGTGTACGTTACGATCAAGGAGCTGATTTCATCTCGATCAGATATCGGAACATCGTCAATAAACTCGTGGGACGCAGTGGACTTCTGTCCTTTGTGAGTGTCTATGTCTTCGCATGGGTAGTGAACCCTTCTGTTTTGCATATTTCCAGACATTCTCCGAGACATGACATGCGACTACCAAGTCATTCCTCTCACATAGTGTCTTGAAGGGCTTCCAGTAGATTCTTGCCCTTCTCCTAGCCGGAGTCCCCCAATCTGTGTTCCTTTACTCTTGGTGCCATATTAGCAGCCGAGATATCAAGGGACTGCTATAACTTTCACACATGAATATGCCTATGCTGAAGCCAGCATCGGTATGCGCCGATTCCGAACGCATGCTTGATAACAATGACATTCTTCGGTTTTGGTATCCTAAAGTGCGGTTGATTGCTATAACCACAACATGCTGGTCTAAAAGCAACCCGAACTCCAATACAATGCTTCGACCGCATCCAGGCCTTATATCGTGCGTCTGAAACATGACAGGTTAACCAACAAAGAAGTTGATACTCGTCAAAAAAAAGATTGAAAAAGTTCGTCGAAGAGGTTGAAAAATAGCACCCGCGAAAAGCCTCCCAAGATCCAAACAAACATAACCACCAAACATCATGACCATATCCTCATACAGATTTCTCATCATTACCATCATTAAACATCATAACAACCACACCTGCCGCAAGATGCTCATCTTAAAAAGGGTTGATCCAACCCTCCAAACTTGATCTGGCTCTTTCGAACCGTAAACCTCCTCGCCCTCCTCACGCCCAGCGTCTCCTCCCCCGCCGCACCGGTACTGCTGTACCCCATTCCAAACGTCCACCTCGGTCTCGTCTCCAGCACGCCCCTGCCCACCCCAAGCTTCTCCTTCAGCTCCTCCCTGCTCCGACAATGCTTGAACGCTAGATCGCCCAGCAAATCCTCGTTCGCCAGATAGGAGATGATCTCAGCCAAACAAGTAACCCCATGCGGGAACCGAAACGGCTTCCTCGCGGGGAGCAAGGACAGCAAAGCCAAAAAGTAAAGCACGCACAGCGCCAGGACGATGGCGAAGGCCGGGAAGTTGGGGAACATGAGGACTTTTTCCTCGTCGGTTGGGACGTTGTTGTCGTCTACCAGCGAGCCAGCCGGTTGCGTAAGTGCCATGAACATGCCGCCACCCAGGACGGGGAGCAGGATGAACAGCGTCGAGCACGCCGAGGTGAAAGCCACGCGCCAGTGTCCGTTCTTGAGCGCGTGGAACGTGGCTGTCAAGGGGCCGCACGCCGCGTAGTCGGCCAGCAGGGAGGCGTCGGCTGAGGCGCCGCCTTTACGGTTGGAAGACGACATGGCGGCCCACGGCTGGAGGATGCGGAGGTGCTTGTCGATGGTTTGGAAGAGCAGGTACAAGATGAGGCCGAGCAGGGAAGGGATGAAGGAGTAGAGGAAGTTGGCGGCTGAGAAGGCACCCTGCACGGGCGCGGCGGGGAGGCCGGGGAGAAAACCGTTGGTGATGCGGGTCGCGGGTAGGAAGGAGACGATGAAGAGCGCGAGGAGGAGGATGAAAGCGCCGGTTACGAGTAGGAGGAGAGGAGAGGTGCGCAGGCACCAGGGCAGGTAGCGGTAGCGGCCTTGGGGGGAGAGGGTGGCGTCTGAGGCGGCTTCGATGTCGTAGTCCCCTCCGGTTCCGGTGCCCGTGCCCGTGCCCGTGCCGGTCCCGCTGCCGCTGTTGCTGCCGGCGACGGGGTTGATGTTGATGGCGGACATCAGACCTTGCTTTTCTTGGAACTTGGCCATCCCTTTGCCGGTCAGCTGGTCGGGAAGCGGCACGGCGATGAGCCCTTGGTCCATGGGACTTCCCAACGTGTACCACACGCCAGACCGGCCGTCCTTCCACGTCCAGTAACCCAGTCGGACGTTGGCCTGGTGGCGGAGCGCAAAGCGGATGCGCTCGCGGTTGCTCGCTAGCTGGGTGCCTCGGTATTCGTCCGCCGTGTTGGTCTCGGAGACGATGGCGGTTATGTCGGCCAGGGATCGCGGATCCCACGCCAGTCCCGTTGATCGCAGCGCCGCAAAGTAACTCCACAGAACGGCCGTCGAGATGAACATGACGATGTAAAGCGCCGCAGCGGTCCACGCAACGCCCTGGACCGTGGCCCACATCCAGACACCATCGACCCAGACGACCGTGAACATGGAACTAAGCAACGGGAGAGTCATCCCAAACACCCAAGTCACCAAAAGTGGAACCCAGACCTTCCACGACCCAATAAGCTGCGGCGGCCAGAGGAACGAGCGCGGGTACATATCCTCGAACAGCGCACCGTCTCGCTCCCTGATATTCGGCGAAGCCAGGTGCGTAAACGGCAGGATCCGGAAAACGGTAATGATGATGAACTGCGCCCATAACAGCAACAACCCGCCCAAAAACTGCGGGAGGATCCGAAACAGAAAGTACGAAGAGCCGTAGTTGCTCACGTACCCCGTTAGTCCGTTTTGCATTTGCGACCACACGGCGGAGAAGATGAGCGTGGCCGCCATGAAGAGGCACATCAGCATGAAGGCGACCAGCGAGCGCGCTGTTAGCGGCATCGGGAGGAAGTCGAGCGTTGGGAGACCGTTGGCTCGTGGCTCGCCTATTTTGGCTATGAGCGCGTCTCTGTCCAGCGGCCTCCATTCGTGCGGTTGCGCTGGTCGCGGGCCGTTTTTTAACAGTGTCGATGCGAGCGAGTCCGCTGAGATGGCGGGGTTGTTGGGCCGGAAAGGCGTTTGGAGGAGGCGCCTGTCTTCTTCGAATTGGTGTTTTAGTCCGGGATCTAATGTTGATGAAGGTCCAGTAGGTCCAGGTTGCTGTTCCTGCTGTTGGTGCTGTTCGGGTACATAACCAGCAGGAAGAGCACCTAACTCGGGACCAGGAACAACATCATATCGCCCTCCTCCTCCTCCTCCTCCAGGTCCCCATTCACTACCTGACGATCCATCACCCGAGTAACCTGACTCTCTGTTCCCACGAGTGAGAGCTTCGATGGCGTACTGGACATAGGGCGTGTCGTCGACACCTGGGGTGACCACGCCGGCTTCCCTGGCGAGATCGTCTTTAAAATCTTGGACCGGACCTGCTGCTGCTGCTGCTAGCCCACCGTCTACAGGTAGGCCCCCCGGCAATGGCTGGTATGGATTTCGTTGCATTTGTTGATATTGAAGTCGAAAGGTTGGAGGCGGCAGTGGTGGTAAGTCTGGCATGACGCGCGGAGGTCCTTGGATGACAATGGGACCGGCATGAGCTTGGTGGTCTTGGCTTATTCCTCCGAAAGTGGTTGGGGTTCCGGTCCCGTGGCCGCGGCGGCGGTCGGTGGCTCCGCTATCTTCTTGTTGTTCGCTTGTGTTCTTGTTATCGGAAGATGCCCGGACGAATTCGGACGGAGGAGTAGTCGGCGGTGGATGTGAAACTGACGGCGTCGGTTGAGCAGCAGCAGCGGCAGCTGAAGAAACAGGTCTGGACGTGAACGATAAGTCCGAGTTAAGAGCACTACTGCCGACGCGGCGTTCTTCCGGGTGGCCAAACGTGCCTCCGGATCGGTTCGACGGCGGCCTTGGATCGGCGGTGAGATACTGCTGCGGATGTGGTGGGCCTCGGGCTACTAGTGGTGGGCAGTGCCGGCTGTTAGTGCATCGAGCTCGCTAAAAAAAAGTTTAGACTTCTTGCTGCCCTGTTGCTTGGATAGGTCCATCAACTTGGCAATATGACGCAGGTCTACATACGTGAATCAGGCTCTTCGGCATAATCGATATCTGGATTGTCGAGGTTCATGCTTGGAACTAAGAACAGGGACAGGAACCGGAACTGGAACCAGAACGGGCGATGCACGTATTGGGATCCGAGATTATGGAGTAGCGAGTAGGATGTACTTGTGGGAGGCAACCTGTACGTCAGGAACAAGGAAGATGCGCGCAAGACTCGCAAGCAATTCGTTTTGGTCCTCTTGAGGCAATCGATGGTGAGGATCCAACTAACGAGTGGAAGCTGATGATGATGCAGGCGACCTCTCTACACTGTCGCTAATTGGGGGGTTTCTCGACCAATTGACCAGCTCAGCGTTTTGACGTCGTCGAATAGAGAAAAGATACATTCATGCCAGCTGCAAGAAGCATGAAAGGGAGCTATTATCAGAGGGAGCTAATGCGTTTGTACCTTTTGGCCATCTCTCGCCCTGCTCGCCCTGTGACAATTTCTGTGGAGGTTGGGAAGGACGCTGCCCGAATGGCTTCGTATTGGTGGTTGGGCGAACCGCGACCAGCCTTGCCAGCCACCCGCTTTCCATCTACGTGGACATTGGTGGTTTGCGCGCGTTTGTTGGGCCTTTGGTGTCTCCGGATATCACACGCCATGTAACGCGGAGAATCTGACTAGAGTCGGCAAGACATAGAAGAAAAAGGTTAGTCGTGCCAGAGCCCTGTGTACGATGGGCCGAGTTCCGTTTATCTTTTTCAAGCGAAGAAGAAAAATGGGGGACAAAATGGATGGGCAAGAAGGAAGGAAACTGAACACAAGTGGAAGTCGTCGTGTCTTGGCATCGTCAATTGGGCACCGGGCACTTACACTACTGTGGGGCTCTCAAAAAGTCAATTGAAAGTCGAGATGAACCGCTTCAAAGCGGGGAGGCTTCATTATCTGGACTGTGCACTTTCCAAAGGTAATCATTTAGAGGGTACGTACTTGCGTTACAACGCCCATGTTGGAATACAATGTGTAATAGACTTCGACATAAATGTTGATCTTCACAACGGTGAGAATAGAGCTCCAGCTATATCAATCCGCACTCCGCATGCTTCGTATGTAGATGTACCGCTATTGGATATCATTGGACTAACAACTGCTACGCTATGCAGCCCTGGCTGGCTATGCAGGTCCCGTTTAACGCCCTCGCATCGCAGGAGGCCGTCAAGCTACGTACGGCTATGTACGCATGTAAGAGCTCGATAGCATAAAGGTCGGGCCACTTGGCTGGGCCTAGCCACTGCCTATTACCTAAGGTATGCGCTGGCCTTAACCCACCTGTTGTTCTTCGCCCCCTCATCTCCATCTTTTATACCTGCCGATATCACCTCCTCTTTTCTGTTCTGTGGAGAGAGCTTGGAGGCCTCATCACTGCTCAACAAACTTGAGCCTGGAACGAACATTCTCCGGCAACTCCTCCTCCGTGACAAGCCCAAGGTGTACACAGTCCGCCCAGAAGAAAAAGGCCCTCTCCTGCGAGTAGCCCAGGTAGTCGAACGCATCGGCCTCCTCTTCCGCCTCCAGCTCCTCGTCAGGCACGCTGCCATCCGGCGCCGTTACCACGTCTTTCGCCCCATCGGTCAGTCCGGGAATCTTTGCCTGGATGATGCCCCATACCACCCATTGAGCACTGTTGGCAACCCGCCAGAGCCGGGTTTCTTCCATGAGTTCCTTGATCCTCTTCTCTGACTCGGCCTCGCGACGAGCGTCCTCTTCTTTCCACCCGCCTGGCGGCACGCGGGCGTCCAGCATGAAGTCCACGATGGAGCTTGCCGAGTTGGTGCTCTGAAGCATGCCGGGCCTAGGCGTGCCCGTGCCTGACGGTGTCACAGATGGTGTTGATGCACCAGGTACCGAAGGGAACTTCGGCTGGTGGTCCACGTATGCCTTGATGAACCGCCGCTGCTGCTCCAGGGTTGGATACTTGGTAGTGTCGCAAAGGTGTGGCGTAACAGGATCGTGATAGTTGTAGGTCCATTCGGAGAAGTGATTGGCAAACTCCAGGCCGGCCAAGTTCGCTCCGGCATACTCGAAATCGATGACGATCAACTGCTTGTGCTCGTTGGCGGGCTGCAGCAAAGGCGACTTCTTATCGTCGGGCCGGATGCGCAAAATGTTTCCGTATTGAGTCTAGATTTCTGGTCAGTAATTTTCTTGAGGGAATAACAGGATATGGGGTGGACAAACATCATTGTGGGCAAAGACCAGCTTTTCCCTAATTTTGGTAGGGCTGCCATAATAGTCCTCCAGGAACATGCGGTACTTCTGAACCATCTGTCTGAACACGGGCCACTCGACACCGCAGACAAAACCCCTTGTCTTCCAAGTTTCCTTGTGACGAGTGGTCTTGTGAAGCTCGGCCGCAACCTGGTTGTCGAGGTACATGGCCGTCTTTTCAGCCTGGTCGAGCCACTTATCCCAGTTTCTCCAGACACCAGGACCTTCATTCTTTTCATGCTCAAGAAGCTCAACGCCGTCATGGAGCTCCCTCATGCGTTTGGCGATTTGCCTGGATGTTTCGGGCTCACGAAGATTCTCTGGCGTCAACGTGGTGGAGTTGAAGTACTGCTCGAAGCGGCCGTTCAAAAAGGTACCAAGCAACCGAGGACCGATCTTCTTTCTCGCCAGACGCTTGAGGACGCCCAATTCGATTTCTCGATCGATCAAATGCTCAACTTGCGGACCGTAGACTCTGAGCAAGACCTTTTCCGGCTGCTTCTTACCCTCCTGCGGAGGCAAAACAGACTCGGGAGGCGGTGACACCACATACACAGCGTTCGTCAGTGCTCCGCTGAGTCGCTCAACAGAGATCATCTCACCACCGTTGAGCGGAATGCGCCTCCACCCCTTCAACCTGAGAGTGTGTGCCAGCCTGATGATCTCGTTCTTGAACGTGAGCCAAGCCTGCTTCTCCTTCTCTTTGCTACGGCTGGCCTGCGAAGGCGTATCCTCGGTGGTGGCCTTCCCGCCCGAATAACTCATGGTCTTCGAGTTGTCGAGGAACACGTCACAGCTGGGAACAACGACATCGCCATCGAAGAATTCCGTGTCGGAAGAGGCTGTGCGGGCAGGAGGCGCCTTGAGACTCCTCCTAGATCGTCTGCGTCCAAGACGGGGGCCTAGCTGCGGGACTTGGTCAAGGCCGAGAGCAGACATGCCGACATCGAGGATCTTCTGCAGTCTGTCCAAAGAAACCTCGCTCGAGTCTGAACTGATGGAATCCGAACGAGGGCGGGTAGGCGAGGAGGCGGTAGGCTCTCCGTTCACATGGATGGGTGGTGTCTTGCGCCGTCGAAGAACCTTCATCGTCTTCCTGGTTTCCCGCTTAGTTTTTTCATGCTGAATCCATTCCGCTACTTGGGCGACCAGTCGCTCACTGATCCTGTCTACTTTGTTACGGTGGCGACCTTGTGGACCGTGTGCCGGAGACTCATCCATTGGGGCAGGTGATGCAGTCAGTACAGCCGGACTGCCCGAGTCGTCGATGTCCGCTTGGCTGGTGACTGAAGCGAGTGAGGTTCTCGATGGGCTTGAGATGGGTGCAGGTCGGCCACCAAGTCTTTTGGCTACGCCCGCAGAGAACTGTTTCTTAACGTGGTGCTCTTCAACAGGAGGAGTCTCAGGTTCCGCAATCTGCACAGCTACGCAAAGTTAACCACAACTCTCTAACCCGGGATGAACTGGAGTTTTATATACGGAAATTTCCGAGATTGGCAAAGTGAGCTCTGCCCACTCACCCCCATGCTTCCTTTGTTGACACGACATGGGCTGGAATGCCCACATCGGCCCATTCATCTGATCCACATTGTAATACATGAGACGAACGACGCTCACTCCCAGGCAGCCGTTTTAACCGTCAGACTTCTCTGGTAGCGAGAGCTTATTCTTGGGGTGGCACACGATAAAGGGTGGCTCATTGTGCGGGCGCATCATGGGTCGTACAACAAGTCTCAGAGAAAGAAGGAAGAAACAAAGACAGGGAACCACTAACCTTTGGCAGATGCGCCTGAAGAGTGTGCTCTGTCGCTGTCGCCTTCATATTTGAGTGCCGAACGTCTGGGGTGGAGCGTTGACCCGTTGACAGACCCGTTCACGGATCCGTTAACGGAGGACGGCGCCGACATGGTATCGGATGGAACAGATGGAGGTTTTGCCCAATTCAGCGCAACTAAATGGCGGTCGCGTTGGTCCAGACGAAAACGATATGGCGCGATTGAGATCAAATGTAGGAGTTTTCTCTCGAGATTACCACGGACTTCTTAAGATGTGTCGTGTGTCGTCTGCGACCTTCCGAGCCGATCTTTTCGCGGGGGCTCCACACGGGTGGGATGATAGTCGGCGACTGGAGTGGGTAGTGTGTGCCTGGAAGTCGGCTGGAGGGGGTGCGTTTGCTGCCCTGGGCCCCGAAGATCACGCCGGAGATGAACTTAAGAGGGAAAACCAACGCGTGCTTATTGCTTATGAGTCTCGGCCAAGATCGTAAATGGTAAATATACTCCGATATGAGACACTTTGTGAAGGCAAAGATAATGAATAGATTGCGAGGAGTCAGTCAAAGTGTTGTTTAGGGATAAGATGCCTGATTTATGCGTTTCGGGTTCCACGGTCCAACGATAGAAGGAGCTGGAGTGTATGAAAGAGGTATGGGACATCCCGTCTCCTTCCCAAGTCCTTATCTACTGTACTGCCCAGCCGTGTTAGTCGTCTTCCCTCCTTCCCATATTGTACCTTACGTATGACCTGAACTTTCCGTATCACATGGAAACAAGGAAGAGCATTTTCCTCAACACAAAAAGATGGGATTTGGGGTAACTGCAAGGGACTCGGCGTGGGGGAACCTATCGCAGGAAAGAGCAAAAGAAATCCAGGGCCCTTTCTCGTTGGCGCAGTAGGCGCAGCAGCAGGCGCAGCCAATGGTTGGAACATGGGGAAAAAAAAAGAGAAAGGCACGAATCAAGATGAGACCACCGCACTACGGCGACCCCACCGTCTACGCTCACCACAGCTTCGGAACCGCACGTGCTGACCATGACGTAAGATCCGATAAGATACGGCAGGCTCCGTTGCCCATTCTACCGAGTAGTGTACGTACTGTAAATATTTGTGCCACGGCTGACACGCGACTAATTGTACCACGTGCCGTTCTGCTGATCCTTTTTACTTCAAACGTTTGATGGAATACCATGGTTTGCCTATTATGCCGTGTCAAGGACTTAAGTTGCCTTACATGTTGGCCTGTAGCTGGATGGTTGCCAAGGGCCTTGGTTCGTATCCAGAGTTTTTGCCAAACACTCTGCCTGATCATCAAACCCGTATAGTTTTACGTGTAATTTTAGTGTGCACGGAAAACCAGAAAGAAAGCCCAAGGCGACGGACAACATGAGCCCCGTCTGACGGATATCCAAATCGGAACATCCTGGCTTTGTGACACCACATCCCAGGTATCGCTGTCCAACACAAAAGATCCTTCAATATACAGGTCCCGAAGTAGACTTATCGTACACATTTTCTACACTCTGTCTTTTGTGACTTATATCAAGTCAGAGGTCCGCTTAATCCTTCCTCCACTTACCCTGCCAGTCCTTCATGTGGTCCAAGATCACCTTGGCGGCCTGGTCGGGCGAGTGTTGGCGACCGAGGGCCTCGACAAAGTCGCCCTCGGGATCCATCAGGTAGAAGTAGATGCTGTGATCGACAAGGTAGTCCTGACCAGGCTCAACCTTGGAGGGCGTGCTGAAGTAGACGCGGTATGCCTTGCACATGGCCTTGATCTGGTCGTATGTGCCCGTCAAGCCGATGAACTTGGGGTGGAACTCGGCCAGGTACTCCTTGAGCACCGGGGGGGTATCGCGCGCCGGATCGCAGGTGACGAAGACAGGCTTGAGAGCATCGGGACGCTCGGCCTCCACCTTCTCGAACATGGCCGCCATCTTATCGAGCTCCTCGGGGCAGATGTCGGGGCAGTGGCTGAAGCCGAAGTAGACCTGTGAAGCGAGTGTGGGGTTTTGTCAGCGAGCTTGAAAGCGCAAGGGCAGTGTAGTAGAATGGGTTATGTCGAAATCAACATACCAAAGAATAGCGACCCTTGAGGTCCTTCTCCGTCATAGGGTTGCCGTTATGGTCGATCAGCTCGAAGGGGCCGCCGACCTTTGGCCTGCCAACACCCTTGGCCGCATCGGCTATCCTCTTACGCTGCATACGCTGCTTCTCGTGCTCAAAGTACCATAGCAAGCCGGCGCCGGTGAGGACGAAGAGAAGGCCGGCCTTCCAGGAAAAGGGCTGCCCGCAACAGTCGCTAGTGTCAGCTGATTGTTGCCGTAGGGAATGTGAGGGCGGAAGATGCGTCTAGTCGACGACACGCAAACGTACTCCCGAACGGTATTTGCTCTTTGCTTCCTCGACGGTCTTGTAAGTTCTGCGTTGCGCCAATGGCTGTTGGGGCTGGGCTTGGAGTCTCGGGACGGTAGGGCGGGCGGTTCTAGCTGTCGAGATGAACCGCTGGCATTGCCTCGCGGGGGTCCTGGAGAGGACACTGGAAAAGGTGCGCATGGGCGCAATGGCGTGCGACATGATTATTTCGAACGGTGGTATTGTTGTGGTTGATACTCGGAATGGAATTTCGAATGTTGACTTGCGAAACCCGAGGCGGACCGGATGACAGATGACGGGGAGGTGACCTGGAGGGCTAACGGGGGAGCTCCGGAGCTTGCAGCGCAAAATCTCCCCACGCAATACGGGCGGCAGTCGGCACGGCCTGTGCTCAAGCTGTTCCAGGTCCCGTCCCGCGTCAGAAAAATAAAGTGGGGTACTAAAGCTCGGGGTCGTCGGGTTAACACGCTATGCACTTAACGAGTATTGCCAAGCCTTTGGTATGCTGTTAGACGTCTTTGGATCGCGTTCACTCAAACCACCTTCATCCCTATCCCGATCCCAATTCTCACGCCAGGGTCACTATCACTCAAACAGTATCACCCCTGAAGATATTACTCAAGCGTGTTACTACTACCGGTTGAGCTTCTTTGTTTTGGTAGTCAATTGGCATCAAGTTGCCGTGCGTCGAAAGTTAAGCACGAATCAGTGTTTTCTCTGCACTGCGGCCGGACACCTGCTGGATTTGATACTGGTAGTTCAGGTTGCCTCCAGGTTGGTACCTGCACCCGTAGTTTGGGTGAACTGGCGGTAGCTGCCACTGCAACTGCCACGCAGGTTGAGTAACAATTGTTAGCATTTTAAATCATACAAAATCCACCAGGATGGCCTCCTCATTTTCAAACTCCTTCTTTACTCTTGAACCGGCCGCATCAGAGGCAGCAGCCAGCCCAACAACGGATGAAAGCGGGAGACAAAGCAGTCCTTCGGTCGCCGGGAGTGAGCAAACAACTAAGAGCACCAACACCAACAAGAACAAAATGTCGTTTTCACCCGCGTCTCACTATATCAACGATGATGTTTCACACCAAGGTGACCGTCGCCTCTACAATGACTCGGAACACCCCAGCAGCGACGAGGACGGCGACCATATGATGGGTGATGACAGATTCGGATCACCAGCAACCATGGCCAAGTCACAGACAACATCATCAAAAACGCCAAAGTCGAGGAGGCGGGGTACTGCAACCACTATCAAGGCACCCAAGCGGGCACGGGCAGCGGGCGGAGGGGCTAAGAAAAGCACGGCCAAGGGAGCAGCAACAATAGGAGGAGGCGGAACCAGGAAGAAGATCGACACATCGGCGGCGAGTCTGCCAGACGAAATTGACGACGGCGGCAGCCTAGCTGGCAGCCTAGTCGGAGGGCAAGATGGAGGAGGCAGCGGGATGAGCGAGTCGGACAGCGGACCGTACTGTATCTGCGGGGGACCTGACAACCATCGGTTCATGATAGCATGTGACCGGTGCGAGGACTGGTTCCATGGCGAGTGTATCAACATGGACAAGTACACGGGTGAGAACCTGGTGCAGAGATATATCTGTCCCAGGTGCAGCGTCCCCGGCCGTGGCTTGGTCACTCGGTACAAGAAGATGTGCTCGCTCGATAGGTGCAACCAGCCGGCGAAAATCTACGAGGATGCCAAAGAGGAGCGCAGCATTTTCTGCTCGCCGGAACATTGCAACGCCTGGTGGGATCAGCTGGTTGCTACGCTGCCACGAACAAGAGAGGTGGGCATGGACAACTTGACTCGGCAGGAGTTTATGGGACTTCTAAATCCTCCAGAGAGAAAGCCAGGCCATGAAGATCCGCCATGGCATCTTGGGGATGAACCTTTTGGTATGTGGTGCTCACACCAGTTTATTCATCTTTCAGTCAACTTTCACCTTCTTCCCCCGTCTCACTGCAGCTTTATTATCCTACATCCACCATCTTACTCACCTTTTCATCCACTCCAACCCTCCGCCCCCTTTAAACCACCCACAAACCTACTTCCCCCTTTCCCCCAAGTACACCAAGCTAACCCACACTCACAGGCGTCCCCCCCAACTTCTGGAAAACCGCCGACCTCAGTGTAGTCCTCACGCCAGAAGAGCGGTCCATCCTCGACCGCTCCGCCGCCGACCGCTACGCGCTGGGCGAGGAGATTGGGCTCTGTAAGAAGATGCTCCAGCTGCTCGACATGGCGGTGAAGCGGCGGGAGGCGGCCATCATGGCGGGGAAGGGCACGGCTAAGGACCTGTGCGGCTACGACACCCGTCTGGACACGGTCGGGGCCATCCACGCGTTCAGCGTCTTTTTGAAGAGCGACGAGGGAGAGGCGATTTTTGGGAGGGGACGGTTGGAGGCGCCTTTGGACTTGTTGGCTTTGTTGTCTTCGCAAGTCCATGTTAAGCACGAGGATGGAGAAGACGATGAAGACGACGAAGACGAGGAGGAGGACGAAGATGATGGTAGTGTGGATGGGGTCAGTGGTCCAGGCCGCCACAACGGAATCAATGGTGTTGGAACTAAGATCGATCCCCTGACGGCGGGCATGTGCACCAAGAAGAAGTGCAAGCCGCACTCCGGGTGGATGGGGATTCTTTCCAAGAATGTTAAGCACACCATGAAGGAGCTCGCTGCGGAGGCGAAGGAGAAGTTGGATACGGAGACGAGGGTTCGCGCTAGTGCGGCGGGGAGGTATAGGAGGAAGATGAAGGAGGATAATAAGGTGGTGGTGCTTTATCGCAGTTCGGATGAGGAGATGAGTGATGAGGATGAGGAGATGGGTGGTCAGTGAGAGATAAACGAGGTTGACACTGTCACTTGGAGAGGTCATTGTTATCATTCTTAGTCGTGGATGTCCATCTCTATGGTCGACGGGACTACAGTTAAACACTCTCACCTATCGATCGCTTGGAGGTCGATTATGGCACAGATGTCTCATTATGGAGGTTCATGCCCTCTGACCCTTGGCTAGTACATTCGTAGCAGCATAACTCATGAACACATGTTTTTTACATGACCATAGGTATACAAGAAAGTACAGAGATAGAAAGAAAAGAGCGAGAATGCACCTGGCTAAGCCATGATAAGCCACGCCAGTTCGTCCATGAGTGCCCGCTTTTAATAAATTCAACGTGATGGTTTTAGGTATGCCTCTGCCCTTTGGTATTGGCGGTGCTGTTTTCCTCCGCCCCAACTTTGATGTTCATAAATGGCGAGAGCTTAAACACGTGTACATCAAATTCGCTAGCTATGCTCCCTGATGATACCCCTAACGCCCAAATGATTTCATAACATGTTTTTGCCTATGGTCGCGGGACCTGGTCCTTCTATTCGTTTCATAACATGGAGGATGGATTTCCTCCGACTTTTTTCGTTGATGTGTGGTTGTAGTTGTTGAGTCCATTGCGATTAACTTGCGTATCATCGTCCTCTTTTGGTTATCTCCTTCTTCCAGTTCCATTGGGGTTGTGGTCCGCAATATAGCCCGTCAATGAGTGAGCGATCTGCCAGAACAATCCACCTTTGAATTTCTGGTTCTTCCTGATTCCGGCTGGCTCAACTCCTTTGCCTCCCAGAGCTCGAATGATGTCCATGACTGCGATGCGACGAGTGCCGGTGTCCATGTCCATGGCGATCCCTGCGCGACGAGCCACTCCCCGACCTTTCCAGCTCGCGCTCCAAGTCCTCGGCGCGCTGCCGAAACCCTGCCACAATCTCCCGAATATGAGCTATGCGGTCAAAATCCAGCTCGAGCTCGTCGATCTGGGCCATGAGGCTATGGTACCGCGCAATCTCCCTGTCGGCGTTATCGACCAGGTTTCCCGCGCGGTCGTACACCTCCAGGTTGACCTGCTGCGACTGCTCTATTAGGTACTCGAGCTGCTGCTGGATGCGCTGCATGACCCGGTCGAAGTGCCGGCCTAGAGCGGCCAGAGAGGAAGGGTCCATGACGAGCAGACCTTGGGACGAGGCACGGCTCGCTGCGCGGGACGAGGTCGATCCGCCACCGCCGCCCCCTCCTGCGGCCGCCACGGTTTGCTGGCCATGTCGTAGTAGTTGTATCTCTTCGTTGCTGAGTCCTAGTTGCGTGTCAGGCACGGCGTTCTCCGGGACGTGTGAGGAGGTCGACATGACGGAGTAAGACGGCTAATGTACCACAATCCCAACAATGGTCTGATACGCCGCGGGGGCCGGTGCGGTGCGGTTTGCGGATCCGAGGATCTGCTCCCCGCGTTAAAGAGGTATCGATGTTATACCGGAAGTGAGGAATCGCGAATCGCGAATCGTGCTGCTTCGTGGTGTGTTGTAGGCCAATGGAGGATTCAAGGCCAGGAATGGCTAGCGTCCGGCGGGTGAGATTCGGTAGGTCGGCGGATTGGAGCGTGCGAGTAGGCTCGGGGCTCGGACACGGTATCGTGGACTTCGGCGTCCAATCGCGAAAGGGGGCCGGAGTCCCACCGGGGGACACGGCGCAATGGGGGTTGGCAGCACGTGCAAAGTTCTCGGTCTCGATTTCGAAAAACTCGGTATCTCCCATACATAGAGGTCGGAGCTGCAACCTGCAAGGCGATGTGCCAAACCGCTGTTTACCGAGGGACCCCGGGGGTCGGCGCTGCGGGGTAAACGTAGTAGAGGTGGTCTTTGGACGGCGTCGGCGCAACGCTCGTCTTGAGCCTTGACACTGTTGACACTTGTTGGATTCCAGTCGGCACGGCACCGCCACTATTTTGAGCGTCGTCGACGTCCGTTGCGCGCACGACTTCATTGTCCTGTCTCGCGAGTGGAGGCAAACCCGTCTAGATGCGCGTCACAATCGAGCTCATCAGAAGCAAGGCCTGGCTGGGAGTGACAGTAGCGGCGGGGATTGGGGTTTCGATGCGACGGAAAAGATGTAACGAGGAAGGCCGTCAGGGTCGGTATCGGCGTCGGGGTCGGTGTGAGTCCTCAATGCCCTCCCTCCTCCTCCTTGTTGGTGATATGCAATCCGAAGGGAACCGCTGAAGCTGCTGCCCTCCACCAAAATCCCGCGCTCTTTGGAAATGTGATGGTGTCGGCACACCCTGACCTTCCTTGTTGTCGGATATAAGAGTTAAGTAGGGTGGTGGGACCTGACGCCGTCAGCGAACTTGGCCGTCTCTTCACGCCTGCATACCGTTTTGCCTTCCCGGGACAATCTGCGACGCGCTCCGAGACATGCACAGAAGCGCCTCCCGTCCGGGGTAAAGACGAGGTCTGGGTTTCTGACGGTCCGGCTTTGGGCAGAACTAGAATATCGGTGATGGGCTCTGTTTGTTTTTCAAGCCCATCAATGGGTGTTCGAAGCAGAAATGACTGCGCACCTCCATGGACAGCGATTGATTGACAGGTACCGGTGAATAGCGAACCGAACGAAACGGGTTGGTGGTTAAAAAGGTGTGTGTTGATCGGTCAGAAAGACAAGATTAGACAGTCCCCCTGTTTGATACACCACCGGCTGCCAAGTCCCCCATTACCAGACTTGAGGGGTGTCAACCAGCCAACCTTTTGTGCGCTTTTTCAAGCCGGCGTCGAAATGTAAGCATCTGACAAACATTCAGGAGATGCGGCAATGAGTGTCCATGGATGGAACGATCTTTGGTTGCATCCACGCATCCGATCAAAGCACGACACGATCAACCTGAGGCTGATCATCATGATGACATCAACCTCTGTGCGCCACATCTGGACCCTCGCGCGCTTTGTATACGTATACGAGCGATTAGGCATCCGCAAAGCCTTGGGATTTCAACGAGACCCGTCAACCGGAATCCCACCGGTATTATCTTGCTAAAGGTGCCCTCTGAGTCCTCAATCGGGGCAACCGGAGCGCTCTCTTCCGAGGTCAGCGGCACTCCAGGCCGTGGATATTCGCAATCACAGTGGCGTTGAGGGAGGAGTGTAGGAAGACTGGTTAGTTTTCCCGTCGAGTTCGGCGTATCTTCATCAATCTAGTCGATTTACTTGGGTACGCAAGGCGCCTCGTTCTCATGTTGTCCTACTATGGTTCATGCCGGTTCGGTTACACCGGTGGCCCAAGAACAGTAGACAAAGCACATGTACTGGTGACCGCAGTGTAGCTCCATGGTTATGAAGCAAGACGAGGGATGCAGGGCTAAGGCAAAAACTATTTTTTCTCACAAAAAGTCAAAATATCAACATCAAGCGATGCGACGCCGAATGCAAGGCTATCGGGCTGGCTGCAATGACATCCGTCCTCTCCTTCCGGGCCCGTCACTGTTCGAAGCCCATGAGCTCTTGACCCGGGCTGCTCCTTCCGAGGATATAAAATGAAAGTATCCGCTCCTTCCCTCGGAGAAGTCATGTCGGATTTTTTCTTGTAGGCAAACTTGACTTCCCGGGCCATCATCATTCGGCTGCCCGCTGGGTGATATCAACATATAGCATTATGTGGTCACTATCAAGACTGGCCATATTTGGCCTGAGTATCTTGTCAGTCTCGGCCACTATCCTACAGAACGGCCAGCCACGGATCACCAACTTCCCCAACAGTCGGATCGACCCGTCGTCATACTCCTTGACCACGTACCCACGAAATGCTAGCGAGATCTCTTACAAGGGACGATGGGACTCCAGATATGTCTCCTGGTGGTCGTAAGTTGTTTGTGTACCCTTAGTACCAAGTACGTGCTAATGGTCGTATAGGGCCCCGGGAATCAAGTTCGGATATACTGGACAAACCGTGGCAGTCACTTTCGGGAATTGGACCAGCGATGGAGTTCTAGTTGGGTACCGCATCTCCGGCCTGGATTGGATCTTTACCAACGTCACGGTGGGCGGTACACACCTCTTTGTGTCTCCCGAGACCCCAGGGTCTGACTTGACCGCGCCCATAAGTCCCTCCACATTTGAGTTGCGAGTGACGAACTGGGCATACAGGATCCAGATCGAGGCCGTTCATGTTGCTGAGGGCGAGAAGCTGATTAAGATTCCGGACTATGGTCGTCGTATCGAAGTCATCGGTGACAGCCTTGCTTCGGGCATGTATACCTCGTACGAGGGACTATCGAGTTGGGCATAGTAAGTTTTATTTCTTTATAGAGGCCTTGAGCATCGAGTCCTATACATCAAAGAAAAGTACTGACAGGAGGAAACAGCGGGCTGGGTGCGGGACTAGGAAACACAGAATACAGTATAACCGCATATCCAGGCATCTGCGCGGCGGATCAAGACTGTTGGGGTAACCCTCGAGGGCAGGTCCATCAATGGTTCTATACATCAGATACGAGCTACAGGGCATCTGTCATGTATGGAGGTAGGTTTGAAACTTCATCTGTACCTTTGGAACTCTCATCATGTAGATGTGGTCTGACACCTGTTCCAGACAACCCCGAGCCATGGGATTTCAGCAAGCGCCCAGCCGCCGACATAGTTGTCATCAACATCGGAACCAACGACCAAAACTCACACAACAACGTTTCCATAACTACCTACATCGACGCCCTGACAAAGATCATCCAAGGTGTCCACGGCAAGTGGCCCAAGGCCCAAGTCGTGGTCATGGTATGTCTACTTTCACCACCTCAACCCCTCCATTTCTCACTTTGCACACACCACTCACACAGATTCTCTCCTACACTAGTCTCTCTGGCTCGGTTTCTACCAATCCGGAAACACCTACCTCCCCAACGCGCCCCAGGGCTTCGTCAACGAGATCTACCAGATGTACAAGTGGTTTAACTCAGACGACTACCTCCGGAATCCGATCGTATACGACGGAGTGACCAAGAAGACTTCGAAGACCGGCAAGGGAACCGCGCCGTTCGTGCACTACTTCAATACCACGGGCATCATGCAGCATAACGATATCGGGCCCCAGTGGCACCCTACGGATGTGGGGGCTATCAAGGTGGCTAGTCATTTGCAGCAGTTTATTAGGATGACTTTTGGTTGGGAGTTTTATGCTACGGGATCTGAGTGAGTTTTTTTTTTTTTTCCTTTCTTGATACTAAGGGTTTGTCATGGACATCGTAATGCTGATATTTTTCTCCTTGTAGGGTCTTCCACGAGACGGAGTACTGGAATGATGAGCCTGGGTATTGAAGCAGACGTGTGTAACTGAGGAAAGCCGTCACGAAGGGCCTTGCGGATATGTTGGTCTCTGTCAGAAGTTCTCGCACTCATTATATGTGTCTGGGTTCAAAGCCCCTGACTTCACGTCGAGTATACGCCGGCCTCACGGTTAAATCCCGGAAAAAGTGTCAACCCTATGTCTCTCACTTGGATATTTCACAATGACAGGCTCTTGACAAGCCGTTCTTGTTGGACCTGACAGCACAAGACAAGTAAGAAGCATTAGACTATGCAGGGTTAATCAGTAGAACATAGCAATAGCTCAAGGTCTTGTAGTTTGTCGCTCAGATTACTTGTTAAATGCCACAAATTGTCTACTTGGTACACTAGACCTGTCGTGTCTACGCCAACCTGCAATAGAACTAATATCTACGGTCCCACGACACGGTCGAGTCAATGATTTTGGGTCCAAGATGAGTAGATGCTCATCAGTTAAGCGGGAAATTCTTCCTAGTCTCTAGAGTCGTTGACCGTTTCCTACCATACGCCAACGTCCTCCTTCCTCGATGTGATTGTTCTCTATCCATGTTCTACCCCTATTCTTTCTTCATTGCATCATTCGTACGCTCAAATATCACCACGAACGAATAGCCAATCTTCAAAGGCTCATTCATTACGTCCTGTGCTGCCCTTCGCAATTTTATCTGAAAATGACCGGTCGTTTTTCGTTTAGAAGACTTTGGAATGAATGTCCCCCGACTACGTCTGTTCATTCTTCAAAGTAGCTCAACATATCTTCACCATGACAATACCACAAAATTTTATATCTCTTACATCTACAGTTCAATAAAAGTAAGACACCGTGCTTCCCCCTCGCTGCACTCTTTCCATCGCTAGTGTCCATAACTCCCGTCTTCGTTGCCTACGATAACCGATAACTTCCGGAAAGGAGACAACCCGACTGGTCCATCACACGCCACCGGTCGTAACGGACAGACATAGACTTCATCACATCACATTTTGCAAAACGCCTCTTCGTTCCAGACAAGAGCTAGGTAGGCAGGCTCGGTAGGGATATCGGGACTGCTATTCGTGCCCCGACGGACACTCACACCGTACAGGATGCACTCCCTTCCGTTCTATCCCATCATCGGGTAACAAGAAAAGGACGATAAAAACAAAGGGTAAGGACGATCTTCACTTCACTTACCTCTACACTTAAGTTTACACTTACACTGTCCCTTCGGCATATGTTTGTTCAACTGGGTCCGGCGGGTCAACCGGAAGTTCGGAACCACATGGACTGGATTAGACTGGATGGGAGATACTGCACTTCTACATAGCTTTTTTTCGCCTCACGATTCCCATCCTCTGGGGTGCGCCATCGTTCTATCTTTCTATCCCATTCCATCACGTCTGTCGATGTGAATTTCGATTTCGATGTCGACGTCGACCGATCTGGAGGTATGTGGTGTTTCGATGCTAAAGGAGTCCAGCATTTTACATCCCTAGACTACATTCCTAGTCGGTACTTACACTTTCAACTATGTATGCATGGATGGATCTGTAGATGTCTGGACTCTGGAGTGCTCAATTTAAAGTACTCACACCGTGAGTACGGAATAACTGTTGATCCCGTCATGACTAAACTTCATTTCCTCCGTCGTTTCTTCTCCTTTTCTCCCACTTTCCTCAGGCCTGGACACTTTGTAGGTACCTTCGATCGTCACGTATGTATGAGGAAACCACGGCACCGGCACTGGCAATGAAGACTAAAGCGGGAGGGGTCCTCTGGTTATCAACTTCAGAATACCACGTCGATCGGATATTGAGAGGAGGTACGGTAGTCGGTAGGCATATAGGTAGGCATTGTATGTAACTGACTGACAGTTCCAAAAATACCAACAGTGCTCGCTCCCTTGGCCGGCCAGAGGCCGCCGCGGTCAATAGAACATTGGTATCCTCCGCGCGCAAGAATACACTTAGGGAAGTTGGCGATGTAGTGAGGTCGGAGGAATGTGGGGATGACAGTGGCACTTGCTTTCTTTGAACTGTTGCTCGCTGTTGACGATGGAGTTGATACTCGATAAATCCGATTATGTCCAGAAAAACTTTTCAGTTGTGCAGTAACAGGGGACACAACTCCGTGGTGGCGGTGATCGGTGATGATGATTTGATAATGTGCTCCATGTCTGGTTCGCCCCATCCCTGTAGGTAAGTAGTATCCCAGAGCCTACGCGTCACCGGCGTCGGCGCCGGCAGCGTCGAGTCTCGATGTCCCAAGGGTATGAGAAAAGGAAAGAAAATGGTACGATTTCCGTATCCCACTCCCACTTTCCCTGTCAATTCGGCATTTGAAAGCCTGGCGGGCCTGGCGAACATGCCTGCCTCACTTCTAAACCTTATACAGTACGGTATTATACCCCTAACCTAACCTGGTCAATATCTCTAGATAGAAATAAATACCTAGTAAGTATTTAAATTTGCCGGCCTCTCGGGCCGTTGAACAATTGCTATGTCTCTAGGGTCCTGGTCTTTGGTGACATCCGAATTGTAGCGGTCAAGCCACGCTGGGCAAGTGATTTGCCTATGATTTTTGACATGGTACGATGGCTGCTTCGGCTCGGGAGGAGCCTTGTCATGGAGCAACGCTTTGGGAATCCAGCCCAGTCCATATGAATACCTAACGTACAGTAGTTAGACACAATGCTCGAAGAGCAAGGAAGTAGCAAATAACCCCCTTCATGCCTCCTGCGCAGTAGGGGAGGTGCAGGGGCAAGGGCAAGGGGGCTTCAGAGGGCAAGTACCGCTAATTCTCATTCAAATCGGATTTATCCCCCACACTATACTAGCCAATTACATCTGGAGAGAGACCTTCATCAACGGGGCATGCAGACCTCAGCAAACCACATAATTAGCCAGGACAGGGGGGGATAAATCCGATTTGAATGAGAATTAGCGGTAGGGCAACCGACCGAACCGAACCGACGACGACCCTTGCTGAGGTGACAGTCTCGATTTCCCAGCAGCTCATCAATGAATGGCCAACCACCGGCTGAAAGTGGGAGAGAGTGGAATTGAGGGGGAGGGGTTGTGATGAAGCAATGTGAGTTCTTGGGGCAGACAAAACACGGTTCTTCCAATGAGCACCCTGGTTCAGGCACGGTTGAAAAGGAGAAAAAGAAAGGAAAGAGATGGGGAAAAGTAAAGTGAGACAGAAAGACGTTACGCTATCAACGGCGCCTAGCGTAGCGTACGATTTTAGTGCTGGACGAGTGGATCGTTGGGGGGTTTTAACGACGAGCTACTCGTCGGTTAGGTATGGAGTCCACCCTCTGGGGGTCTCGCTTACAGCTAGCCAACCGACTCTCATCGTCCCTTTAAGAGTCGGATTTTTTACATGTAACGTACAAGCTCTATAACGGTCAGAATCTTTAACAATCCGTTTCTCTACCAAAACACAAGCAAAAAAGATAGTAAAAGATTCAAATTGTTCGTCTCAATTGCGCGCATTCAACAGTATATTTCTTTTATAATCAAATTATTGTAATATATTATTATAGTATTGTAAAGCCATTGTGGCCTGTGCTTATAATATAATGTCCAACTCCTCCTCTTCCTCCTTCTCCCCTTATGAACTCCTATTATCGCTAAAATCGTCGTTTATAATAATTATTACCCTTATACAGCTTGCGAGCACCTCTAACTTTTTACCCGCTACTATTATAATTACTATAGTAACCTCCTCCTCGTTAAAATTTATATCGATAACCTTCTTGTTCCCTTTTTTAAATATCAAGAGATATTTCAGGCGGTGCCTAGATGTCTCCACGCTATCGTAATACATGCTAAGTCAGGCATAGGCATACTCATCTAAACATATTACAATATATAAGAGTACTCATCCCGTCGGTCTCTATTAAAACTAACGGATTAATTAATTATTACTTTACAACCTATTATTTATCTTACTTACGCTTTATAAAATTGTATATAAAGTTCCAAGTTGAGGCTTTTAATAATTATTATCTTTACTTCCTTTAATAAAATTATCGCCAATCGTTACGTACTATTACTCTATTTAATAACTAATTATTTACTCTCTTATTCTCTATTAATATTACTTATAAAGTACGTTTTCGTATAATAAATAGTACCTATAATTCAATTTCAAACCGACCTTATTATTCTTTATTCTTTTTCTCTCTTCCTTTTGTAAAGGGTGGAAATTTACTCTTTGTTTCAATAATTTTAATACAATTATTAAACTTACTATCCCAAGACTAAATATATTACCTATTCCAACTTTTTAAACTCCCCTTTCTTTACAACTCTTTTATTATCCCTACTAGTCTCGAAATATAATTTTACTATAACAAATAATAATAATTCTATTCTAATTACAATTTTTAAATTATAGAATAACTAATAATTAAATAAGGCGCGGTAAATTATTAACTATACCGTATCCTAAAAGTAATTTTACTATAAAGAACGTCTTTACGCTATTACCTAGGATCTTATTATTAAAGCAACCAAACTTCACCTCAATAAAATAAATTAAATCTTTACTAAAGAAGATTAGGTTACGAAGAACGAGAATTAAAGCTTCAATATAAATTGGGTTATTAATATAAATATAGCCGATAAAGAAATTTAATTTATCCTACGAAAATATCGCCACTTAATTAAAAATTATCCTATCCTAAATTACGAAATTTAACTATTTTCTAAGGATAAAGACAATCAAACCTATTAATTTAAGAAGAAACATCATCGCAATTATATAAATTAATTCAAAACTAATAATCGTAAAATTACTAATAATACAATCAAATAAATTATGAAAATACTAATTCCTCTTAGTACTAACGTATTTAAAATAGGCTCCTAATTTTAATTTCCTAATAATTTCTCTAATATTATTAGAATAACCGACGTTGCTTCTACTAATTTTTTTTTAAATATTATTAAAATAACTAATATTCCTCCTATCGATCCAACTTAAATCCTAATACCGCCTTCCTTACTACTAATTCCGGCCAACCAAAATATTCATCCTATATCTCTGATAGAATCCATTATTTTACACGCGAATTCAATTATATAAATCGTTACTAATCTTACTAAGCAATTTACTACTAACCTGGTTACTATATACTTTACTAATATAATTCAAACGAAGGCATTAATTCAATTCGTAATAAAATGATAATAAGAATATTAATTCAAATAACCCGTTCCGACTATAGCCGATACTTTTCCAATTTATTTCATCAAACCTCCCTAATATATTGTTCGCATTACTTAAAATAATCTAGCTCTAAATACCGTCCGTACTACTAATTAAAATTAGCGTATAATACCACTATATTATAGTACTATAATTAGGGCCCGAAACTTATATATCACTAACGCTACTAATTAATTAAAATATTTTCGTATTAACTATAATAATTGGCAGCCCCTAATAAAAAATGTATAAAATTTACTATTTTTTAACCATTTATCTGTTAAGAAGGACGGAAACTATTATTTAAATATAGATTATTTAGTGATTAATATATTAGTAACCGGGATATATCCTATTTTAATTACATATAATACTATAATACCCGGCTATCCCACTCGTTAATAAATTATATAAACTCCGCCACCCAATTACTATTTCCGCTAATAAATTAAAAATATCGTTCATTAAATTCTTCTACCTTAGGTCTAAACTTCCTAGTATTAAATCCCTAAAATTTCTCCTTAAATATAAAATTTGCCTCTAATTTAATTTTTCGTCTATTAATTATATTAAATTCTTATTTAGCCTATTAACCCGTAATAACCAACAGTATATTTTACTAAATCCCTTTCTATTAACTCTTTCTACTATTCAGTTAATTTTGGTAGTAACAGTATAATATCGGACTCTAGAGCGCTTAATAAAATTATCCTTAATTTATTAAAAAGGATTGATTAATTAGAAAATTAAATTAGCGAACGTTTCTATATATTTAACGGGAATTTTAATAATAAAATTATTCAATAGAAATTCTTTAACGTTAGAGTATTCTATCTTAATACGGATAGAAATAAGAAGAAGAAAGGTATTTATATTAACGGTAAAATTAATATTTATACCAATTACAAATTTTTCTTCAATGCTATTTACGAAGCTTCATTAATTTATACTAAGTATTATGAAGTTATTACTAATAATATTCAAATATTATTACGTAGAGCCACCCTTTCCTAATAGATTAATACGTTTTCTAGCTTTGAATGTAATAAATTTTATAATAATTTTAATAGGATTACCGACACCCTTAATTAAATCTTCGGGGTAACGCCTAATAAAACTTAGAAATAGTTAAATACGTACAAATTCACCGCAGAAATAAATAAGAAAAATAATTACGTTCTACACGATTACTCTATAAAAATATTTATATACATTTGTTTATGGGATAATAGTAATAACTTCTAACTTTATATTCGCTTATAGAATAATTTATATTCAAAATTTAAATTTTATTATGCTAAACTATAATAGGGCGTATAATTTGGCAATTACGTCGACGCTATTATAATAATGATCTTATTCATGCTTGACTGTCTAATTTAATTAGTCGCCTATTTAGGCATGCGGTCCTTCGTCGTTTAAAGCCGGGCGGAAAAACCGTATATCTGAGACTACTACTACGAATACCGGATAAAAACCTCCCGCGTCTTTATATCTAATATTTTCCTTCATTTTATCCCAAGCCTTCCCTTCGTTGTCCTCCTTTAGCTAGCTCTTTTACTCCCACCCTTTCTTTACCGCCCTAGGACCGTCTATCTTTTATAGGGCAATATTTTAGGGAGAGGGAAGAAGGGACTAACGGATTCGATCGGCGTTCTTAAAGTCTTCTTTCGGCCCGAAGGCCCTAATTTCGGAAGCGAGGATAAGTATTACCTTATTTGCTATTAGGGAATTGTACGTTAATTGGGCGGAAAAGCTATCGTACTATTGGACGGGGTAATTTCTTTTATCAAAAAGTAGAGAATCGACTCAAATCCACTTTGGTAGGGTTCCTAGGGTTTTGGACTAGGGAGAGCCCTGTAAGTTTAACGACGTGCTTAGAGTGGGGGAAGAATTCTAAGCCGAAAAGATCGGATGGAAGAGAGGGGAGCAGGATTCGAACCTACAACCTTACGGAAACAACCGCAAGGTAAACTAAGCCCAGATCTTCCCAACTGAGCTATCCCCCCTTGACGCTATTATAGAAAAGGCCGAAGTAGTACGTAGCGAGCTAATCAATCTTTCGAAGGCTTTACACTCTATTTTCTAAATACTTATAAGTACCAATTATAATAAAGGCTCCTTTAATACTACTTTTAACGAAGTATTAGTAAATTTTAGGGAAGTCTTTATTTATTGGGGCGACTACGACAATTCGAAGGATAAAAATAACAAGCGTTTTAATAATTAGGGTTCTAATAATCGGTTTAATAATAAAAAACATAGTAATAAATTTAGAAATAATAAATTTAGTAGTAAATTTAATTAAAATAATTATTATAGTAATTATTCGGGTAATAATAGTATTCGCTTCTATCATTAAAATAAATAGTTCGATAAACAATAATTCTATAAGGACGGCTATTATACTTATACTAATTAAATTAACATCTATATTAATAAATCTAATACTAATAATAGAATATCTAAATTCGAAAGCGAAGGTTATACTTTTATTTATAATTTCGAAGAGGAAGTAGATAATTTTTATATAAATATATCAGCCCTTAAATATAATAATAAATCTTCTACTTATTTTACTAGTCTTATTAATTTCGTTATCTTTATATTTTCTAATAATATTATTCCAATTGCCCGGCCAACGTTTAAATTCGCATACCCGGCCGCTATTCTTAACGGAAACGCTATTAAAAATACCTCCGCTAAGGGCTATATAGTAACCATATTATTAAATCTACTATCCGATCCTAATTTTACGGCGATTCTTAAATATTTAGGAGTAGCTTAAACGTTTTGTAAGTTGTTTAGTTTTTTATTTAAATTTTAAATTACAATTTCGGAAGGTTTCCAGGAAACGTTCGAATAAGTCGGAAAGGTAAAAAATATAAATCATAAAATAAAATTACCCGTATTAATAAATAGTTAGAAGTTGACTTTATTAAATATTATATATAAAAGCTAATATTATTTGCTCGTTTTTACCGAATGTTAAATTATTAAGGCTATTCCTAATATTATATTACGAAATAGAGAATTAAATTTAAAGTAAAATACTTTATATTTATAAATTAATATTAAACCTAGCCCAAATATATTACTAGTTATAGTATACTTTAATTTAGGTTATTCGTTAACTATAGTAAATCGTATATTTATTAAAAAAAATTTACTTAATATTCGGGATTCTTCGATTCTGCCGAACGTTATAAGGGGAATTAATTTAAAAATAATAATTAATATTCTCGCTAAATTTAATTTCTATATAGAAGGAAAAGTTAATAGTATTATAGTTAATAGTTACTTTCAAATATCCGCCTTGGTTATTAATAAATTAGGCCCGAATATATTATTAGGTACCGATTTCCTTTGTTGTTACGGAGTGAAGGTTGATTTTAATATTATTTTTTACTCTTTTCGATCTATTTTTAGTATAAAAGTGTGCGGCGAAGTTTTTTCTAAGAGGAGGTAGGGGAAGATACGCTCGTTGCTAAGATTTTCGCTAAAAATAATATAGTTCTTCTTTTAAATTAATTAAGTATTTTTTTAGCATACTATAATATTTAGTTTAATAATTATCATAATTAAAATAAACGCCCGGTATATAATTTTTATATTTAATATCCTTTTTTATTGGATGTTACTATAGATAGTAAAATACGTAAGGTAATCCTATATTTTAATTAATTTATCGAACCATTTTTTATTTTTATAAGTATTTGAATTAATACAATTATACGCCCTTTGCTTAAAGTTATTAAAAAAGTGATATTTACTAATATTTTAAACGTAATATATTTAACTACAGCAATTTAAGCTGGATTCTCTCCGGAATAGTACGCTATATATATCGATAAAGGTATAAAGGACGATAAGGAAATTATAATTTATAAAGTAATTTTTAACGTCCCGTTTTATAAATTTAATAAATTTAACAATATCGAATTTATTCTTTCTAAAGTAGGTATTAATATTTATAATATTAATCCTAAATTTGCTTAGTAAATTAAGAGCTTCCTAAATAAGTACGTTAACGTTTTTAGAAATAGCGGGATCGTTCTTATAAAGGAGAAGGATGAAATGCGTATTAATTTTGTTGAAGGGTAGTAGAACTAGCGGAGAATTATTAGATTTTACCCTCTCGGAATTAAAGATTGTAAATTCTTTAATAAGGAATACGATAAAATATACGTTTAAAGAAAAATATTTTTTATATTGTAGTCTACGCTTATTATGTACCCCATATTTATTATTTAGTAGAAAGTTAATAGGGTTAATAAGGGTCGTACTGTTATTAACTTCCGATTGTTAAATAGTATTATTATCCTGGATATATATCCGTTATTCGATTAAGAGGATATTATTAACGAAATAGTTAATAAGAAATTCTTCTTTATTTTCGACGCTGCTAGATTTTTCTATTAATTACTTATTTTTATTTATTATTATAACCGTATAGTAGTAATTAGTCTTTGGGGTTTTAAATAATTTAATATCATTCTTATAGATTTTAAGAATTTTCCCGCTTTTGTATTAGATCAATTATTCTTCGATTATTGTTTATTCGTACGAATATATATTAATAATATCATTATTTATAGTACGATTAAAGAAGAGTATTTAAAATATTTAATTATTATTATAAATTTATTTAATAAGTACCGTATATATATTAGCGTTAATACATTTTTCGCTACTTTTCTATCTATTTAATTACTTAGTAATATTATCGACGGCGAAGGTCTTTTGCGTATAGAAAATCGAATTAAGGCGTTCTAAAAGTTTAGCTTTCCGGATACTTTGGATTTTTTAGAAATTTATTTTAGTATAGTTAGTTAGCTATGTAAAGGTATACTTTAGTTCGTAGTTAAAGAAGAATTATTAAATAAGAAGAAGATTAAATTATTAAAATAAATACGAGAATTAGGAGATTTATAATTAAGAGTAATAAAATACGTTTAGAAGGCTTATATTTTCAAAATTAAATTCGAGCCGATTAAGGAAGAATTAGAAGTTTTTCGTAGTATATAGGAAAAGTTATATAATTAAGCGTATTTATTTTACTATAGGAAGAGCGAAGTATTATTTATTAAGATAGATATTAGTAAAAGCGTTTACGGGGTTTACATTTATTTAATTCAAACATATATAAAGTAGCGAATTTATCCTTAATATAAGTAAACTTTCTTTAATTATAATTAAATTAGTTTATTTCCTATTAAAATTAATTATTCCGGCCGAAAAGAAATACGGCTCTATGGAAATCGAAGTTGTAGCGATTATTTAAATTTTACGAAAATTGTATAAAATAGTCCAATTAAACGAATATCGCGCAAATATTATTATTGATTACGCTTTAACTATAGGTATCGTTAAATATACTTTTTTACGTACTATAGATTTAGTTAAAATTAACTCTAAGTTTACTAACGCTATTAATTGAGCTTTTTAATTTAATTTAAATATTTTTTATATTTTAAGCCTATTAAATATCGTTCCCGATACGTTATTAAGGTTGCCAATTATTAAACCCGCTAACGATAATGATATTTCTAATAAGTTTACCGATATTTAATTTTATTTTAATTATTTAGAGGAAATTAACATTTTTACTTTTATATATACGGAAGTTTCTTAGGATACTTATACTATAATTCCTATTATTTCCTTTACTTTTTATGAATAATTAATTAAGGTTTACCCTTCCGATTTTAAGTATAGTAAAGTCCCCTAATTAATTATTAATATTAATTCTCTGAAGTATATTTATATATACTAGTCTAATAAATGTCCTAATTTACGTACTGGTCCTTACTTCTTTAAAAATAACCTCCTATATTATATAAATTATTAAAATAAACGTCGCCTTTATATCCCTCACTCTTACGTATAGAAAATTCTATAATTCGTATATAACGAAAAATACTATTTTAGTATTAATAGGATAATGGACGACCTATTTTACTTCTATATATGTTAAAAGATATAAATAGTTCGGGAGTATATTAAGTACTATAAGGTATATTAGTAGAATTAGTATAATCCTTAGCCAATTTTTAGCGAGCTTATATTAATTCGGACTTTTCATAAGCTATATTATACTATTATGATAAATTTTATTACGGATATATTAATAGTTCTATTGATTAATACGATATAGAATATCGCCGCCTTCGATAAATTTAATACTATATATGCTGTAATTTATAAATTTAATAAGAAGGTAGTTTTATTAATAGGACATTCTATTTACAGCGTACGAAAATAGGCTACCGTGCTATTATAAGCTTTATAGTATTATAATTAGGGTTTATTAGTTATTATAATTAGCGATTGTAATTTAAAGTTCGTTTTTACTATTTGGCGTAGTATTTTTGAAGTATTGGCGGTAAATTTATTATTTTCAATAGCCTATTATACTTAAACCAATAATTAATCCAAATATATTAATTAAATAGCGGAAATAGTAATTCGTATATAGTACGCTATTAATACCCGGGTATAGCCGTTTATATTGGTAGTATTTTAATATAATTTGAATAATATTATTTAAATTATTATTAGTATATTTCCGAACGAATTGGTTTATAATTCTAAGCTTAAATTTATAATTAACCTAATAGTCCCGGATATAGAAGAAGTAACTATAGTGGAATTTTTAGCGCTAGTGCGTTAAGAATTCCAATTGGAAACCGCCGAATTTATTAATAAAGTAAGTATAGTAATTAAAATAAAATATAATATAAAATATTCTCTAATATCGTTTGAAGTTAAAAATAGAATTTATGTTTGCTTTAGTAAAGGTTATTATTTATTAAGTAGTCTGAAGAATAAATAATTAATAGAACGGATAAATCTTAATAAAATTTTAAAGAAGGTTAATCTTTTAATTTATAAATTTAATTTACTTTCTTTATAGTGTATTTATTTAGTGATTTTTATTATATATTTATAGAAGTTAGTTTAAAGTCCTAATCCGTTCGGGAAAGAAGTTCCGCTTCCCTAGTCTATA